AATATGGTTTTGAAGTTGTAAATTGAGGTAAAAGTGATCCATGTACTGATATGATCCATGTACTGATAAACCACGTTAATAGAAAGAATTAATAGATATAGGGTATAAGAGAAGAGAATAAAAATAAAAAATAAATTTATATATATATAAGAAAATAGATCTTCAGAGTATTTATAAATAAATCTAGTTCATTTTAAAATATTTTTATAAATTATATAAACTTAGTTTATTAGATAATAAGCTAGTTTACTCTGAAATCTAGCTTATTAGATAATGAGCTAGGATACTGCTCTATGAGCTAGCTCATTTCGAAATATATATAGAGCATTTCACAATCGGGATATTGCGGTATGGCCCGGAACATATATATATTAAACTCTATCTTCCGTCAAGTCCTCCATGTGGACTGATACGCCTGGTATCTGGTTACAAAAATGAAGTTGAAGAAAAAAGGAAAATTGAAGACGGGTATTATATCATTTGCCCCCGTGTCTTCGAATTGACAAAGCAAGCTGCGCCAAAAAACTTTCTGATAACGCCACCAAACCAATCTGGAAATTTTGAATGTGTATTTATTGACCAATACTTGTCGATGTGTATTTTGATTTTGAATGAGGATTGCGAAGAGGCTAAGCTGGTGATGTTGAGGTATATTGGGACATAGTATGCTATTGACGGCATGGCGTGAGTTTGAACAGGCATCGCAAAGAGGACAAGCTGGAAGATATGATAAGAGGGCGACTGGTGATATTGGCGTATATTGAGACATAGTATGCTATTGACAGCACGCCATACCATCTGCTGAACGCTGATTTTCCGATTTGCTTTCGATAAATCCACACTGGAAATCGCGCACTTTCAGGACCCTGAAGGGCTGAAGCTTTCCACTCGAACCAAAAATTCTATTCATGTGACAATCCCGGATAGATATGGCCGACCATTTGGGAATAACATTCGAGGTGAGTCGTGAACGAGTGTAAGGGTATAAAATTCGTCAATATTCGTCCAGCAGAAGGGATGTTTTGGATGATCGTTGGTTGTCCCATCGGCATCGTCCATCAAACCCTCCTCACACATCCAAATCCCCATCTCCAGTGCCAGTTCGGTCCCACTCCATATCATATTGAATCTCTTGTCTCCACTACCCTCCTACCAAATCAAGTCTCGGAATTGTATCTTCTCTCCCGCCATATTAACTCCGACCATTCCTCTCCCATCTCCACTCATTATCTACCCCCCTTAACTTTCATAACCCTTAATGACTCTCCGCAAACACTCCACTAGGTGAAGCCCTCTTATTTTTGACAGTCCCGACCGTCCCTGCAATATTTCCTAATCCAACGCTCCCCACCAGAGGCGTAGCTCCAATAGCCCAAGTACCCAGTGCTGTTGCCGCAAATGTCTGTGTATATGTGGCTATATATTTAACGGTCGTGGTACCACCTGAAGTATAAAGTGATGGACAATTGAGTGTTGTGGTTGCCATCTGCGTGGCTGCCAATGTGGCAACGTCACCACCCAAGCCTGCCTGTGCATGTGTGAGGGAGGGAAGGAAGGCGAAGAGGGATATAATATGCCCTAAGGAGAGATACATTTTGGTGGTAATTTGGGTCTCGAGATGCAACGAGGTCTGGTGGATCGAAGATTGAAGTCGTTTTCTTAGGTTAGAAAGGCCGTTAAATCGTATCGTGTTATACCAATAATCAGGTATCTCGAAGTTGTTTTCGTTATGATATTCGTAATTCAGATTTTTGTCCGTTTGTTAGGTATTCGTAATCTCTAGTAAATTGTTATGTCGCAAATAGTATGAAATTATGAATATCTTAATTTACTATTTTTGGAAGTAACTAAAGGGGTAAAGTAAATACATAGCCACTTCTTCTGTTAGTGGACCAACGGGACTGTCTATGCTGTGGCTTGTTTGTCTGTGTGGCGTTTGTCGCTATTTCTTATTCTATTATAAAATCCTTATGTAAGCAAGCTTCAAGCATTCATGTCGTTGTTCTTCATGGCATAATGTTGTAGATCTCAACGGGTTCAGATTATCTTCATTAAGTTTATAAGCAGGGAAGTCTTACCGCTAGAAAGAAGTTTCTTAATAGCCAATAACCAATCAATACTTTTCGGGAATCTGCTTATTCGGACTATTTTCACTGCTCTGTTTGATATCATCCTGAAGCTGAATACCATCGAATCGGCCTCTCCGTTATTTTATTCTGAATAATACATGCACCTTTCCATCCCACCGATCCCACCACCCCTTTCAAAGGTCAGAGTTACTATATTATCCACATGATCTTATCCGCTTAGACCTTCTGTGCATCCTTCTAGAAGATTTTACCCAGATTGTGATACATGCTGCATGCGAGAGCTTGGGGCAAATGCTGCTCTGATTCATTCCACTGTACTTTTTTCGATGGGCAGCTTTATAGGTAGGATGGATGGATGTCATCATCGTCATTCCTCCTTGCAAACACTCAAGGTTTGTGCATGGATTTTTTGCTTTTTCCACCCCTCCTGCCTTCAGCCCTGTCTCTTGCTTGCTTTGTATTATCATCGGTAATTCAAGATATTTTGATGAAAAAAAAGGCGGAAAAGACTACCGTACCCGGCGGTATTAGTTGAAGAAGTGAGTGCCGCATCTCAAGAAAAAGGAAGGTTGGTTCCGTGTCCCTTATCTGAGTTCCAAGCTTCATATCCGAAGGAAAGCGAGTTATTCTCGTATCAAATATGATCGGTGTAGCGCTGGCTTTTTCTATATATCATCGGATCTAGATCTATTGACAAAAGCCGTGTTCTTTTCGAAATACCCATGTACCTACACATGCCTCCTTTGCCGCTCAACCCTCCCAAAGCGCCTACTTCCTACAAAGAAGTTGTTTGATACTGTACTTTGATACCCAATCATTCATTTTTACCCAATAGATATAAATAACTCAGATGAAAATCATAGTTTTTGCCAACTTCAGAGCATGCATATCTAGCTAGACTTGCATGATATATTTTAACTTTTAAGATCACTTTACAACTCTTTTCTTATCTTTTGGATTTTTTTACTCTTCGTTTGACCCAAGCTTTTACCCGCAGATTTGGTTGCTGGGCAAAAATTGTTAATGAGTATGACAGGTGACAAAAGGAGAGAAGCACAACATATTGAAACTTGGACTAATTGGACGGACAACCAATTAGATACGGGTATTCTTACCGAATCCCCAAAGCTAAGACAAGTTCCGAGAATCCCAGGCTAGAAAAACAAACAATTTTTCCAGATTGCTGGGAATGGAAATTTATTATACTAGGTAAAGTCTTATATCCACCAACCAAAACCTGTTAGATTTCATTTTGCCACTTCTTCAGTTCCCATAACTGCAAGTTCGTCAACCCTTGCAATTTAGAGCTCTGTCAGGGGGGATATCGATGAGTCTAGTACAACTTACAACTACATTAGGCTAAGGCTGAGTGAAATACCCTCTAAGCCTACTTTTCTAGCCTTCCAAGTTGCAGACCCCATCAATCCTTATAAAAGGACCGGCCGATTGGTTCTCCTCATGCTTCCATGCTTGAACGGTCACTTCGAATCTATCTTTTCCAGAACATAAACATCTTCTTTTCCCTCTCGTTGATAAAGATTAAAGATTTAAAACTCTATCACCCCTTATCCTTCTCAGGATCAGTCGTAGTATCACCTAATTCCTCAACAATACTCCAACAAATTAGCAACCAATACAAGCTTACTCGAGTCAAGTCTTCCCGAGTTATTTTCACCAAACATTAATCGCGACATTTCCTCCTGATCGAATTTGATAACATTAATATCTACTATACCGATACACATCTCCGCCATGTTCGAGAACTTTACTTTTGGGGCTACTCCGGCCAATCCTTATCAATGCGACGATGATGTACAACTATCACCCATGGACGATTCATTCCTATCATTATCACCTTCTCCCAACTCTTATCCTTTCTTCGACGACTACAAGCCTTCCTCTCCACTTGATGATATTATCAGTCAATTTGGTCAACATTCTCTTTCATATGAAAATGCAAGAAATATCCAGCCTCGGCAATACATATCACCAACACCTTCATTATCGGAAGATTCGGGAATGAGTTCTCCATCCAGTACCACCCAATCTTTGCCCACCACACCCACCTCCCCTCCCCAAGCTGGAGTCCTAGCCTGCCGACGACTACAACGCCAACTCAATGTTCAACTCCAATGTTCCACCTCTCATGTACGCGATATTAGTACATTAGTCGAGGATATGCTTAGCAATAATTCCCAATGCAATTTGCGCAAGTCACCCTCGAAAGGCAACGTTATTTCCTCGCCTATCTCTTCTCTGGAAGTTGATCCTAGTACACAAAATGATTGGAATGAGATGGAAATTGAGAGGGCGAGGAGACGATGGCTAAACACTGTCGTTAATGACATTGATGAGGGGTATGTGGAAGGAGATGACTGGTATAGGGAAGAGGAGTGTTTATCGCTTAGAAGAGCTAGCACACCGAGTGGAATTAGGAAGCAAAATCTGAGGTGTAGAACGAGTATTGAAAGTGTTGGTGGAGTTAGAGTGAAGGTCGCCAAGATACCGAGAATGAGGATCAGGAAAGGAAGGGTTGGGGGGGTGGTTGAGTAATGGGGGGAGTTCTATACCCTGGAATTTTTGATGTGTTCGAGGGCTACTGTTCATTTTTCTGCCGAACTTCAACTTTTAGGTTTAGGATTGGCGTTTGGGGGGGTGAGGAGGGTCGGGTTGGATGGGTACACAGATGAGCCCCACGGCTTGTCATTCAGGAAACGACCTGGGATTCGAATTGGACTGGGGATCTGGAAGATTGGCCAGGCATCCTGACTTACTCGCCTTGTTGGCTTGAGTTTGTTACACATATACCCCGGGATCTTGGAAACGGTGGGAGCACACTGCTGTCTAAATAGGGGGTGTTCAACCTTGCAGATTAGATCATACATCTATCAGACGAATAATTTAGATTATTATTAGATTCGTACTTCTTGCAATCAGCATAAGTCAATGAACGCTTTTTTTTATGTTGTATCGTTTCACACTCCATGCACAAATTCCTATCTTACTGCTTTTCCTTCAGAGTGATCATGGGAGACTGGACACTTTACAAGGAATCCGTATCATTACTCCTTTCATGATTCAATTTATATCGAACATTATAACTGCACTCTCATCCCTGCTCGGCCACCGTACCCGCCATTCAATTTCAATTCAGCAGCCTTGCCAAAATTTCCCTGGCATTTCGATTAGCATCTACAACCCCTCCATACCAACAATCACCAATGCCGATTCGATAGCAAGAAGCTCACCTAGAGCTCTCAAACTCGCATCGACATCCCAAACATGGCATCAGCCTCATTGCGCGCCGCGAGTACCAATCTTTTCAACCGCACTGTCCATGTTAAAATATACCCCTCTGCGAGAACATTTGCGGAAAGGAGAGAGGTGCTAAAGGTTCTGGAGAAGTTTGGTCAGGTTACTATGCTTACCAGTTTGAAGGTTTGTTTACTTATTTGATAATTTTCAATTTATGACATTTAGATTGGAGAAATCAGAGCATGAATACTAATATCAAACACCATAGCACCACCCAGTCGCCCCCGTTCAAAACGCATTTATTACCATCTTCAGTTCCGAGACTGCGGCGCAGGAAATCATTAATGCGAGTCCGGTGCGCTTTCGATTAATTGTTGAGCCCGATCCGTTGGCCTCGTCTCCTGTGCCCCAGAACTCGTCTTCTGGTGGGATTAAACCACCTGCGCAAAAACCAATTGAAAAGGTCTTTTCTCTTTCTCTCAACATCACTCGCTACACTCACGATCAATATATTTCTCATCCCCTCACAAATCCTATGTATGGCCCCTTTAAACCCATCGATCCGAAGAGATCGGGAATTGCGGCGCATTTGAGTAAAGGCCTAGAATCTAGTATGTGGAGTAAAGGATTGGCGGATTGGGAGAGTGATATGGGGAAGAAGAGTGCGTGGAATGAAGGGGGGAAAGATGAGGGTAAAGGGGGAGAAGAAGGAGGTGGGGGGAGCAGGAGCATTATGAGGGCCGATACGTCGAGTACGAGTGTGCCGCTGAGGTTGGTTGGGAAAGATTTGGATATTCGGAGGGAGGGGAGGCCGAGGATTATGGATGGGTTGCTGGGGCTGATTGGGGAGGGAAAGGGGTGAGAGGAGTGAAAGGAAAGAATCGTCCTGCTCAAGGTTTGAAGTGTGGACTAGAAGTTGCGGATACAAGCTACGCCGTATGATAGGGAGGAAGTACTCCTGTCTAGGCTGTAGGATGAAGATGAGGATTACCAGGACAATAACTCAAGTGCTGAGGTTAGTCCGAGGAAAGAATATCCAGTTGCTGGAAGTTGATACGGAGAACGGGACATATACATACAGAAGTGAGGTGCTTCGTGTGGATGTACTTTTACAATTTTATGAAATGTATGCATATCCATTACAGGTGTATATCATATTTCAAACAGGATATATCTAAACAGTACTAACTGTCTGTTAAAGTATCTAACTGCGTATGCACGAAGTTCTGTTTTGGGTATTATGCGTCATTAAATCAAATAATAAACAACCAACTGTTGCAATTAGTTTCTTGTTAATCACTGGTCCACCATCGTCACATAAATAGCAGCAACTAATCCCCCAAATTAATTCATTTTTTCAAAAAGGATAAAGCCTTCATTTCAAGCCGCCAATATGTCTTCTCCAACCAAAATTCTCTCTCTTGCAGCGACTATTTCCGAAGCAACCGCAATCGTTAACACATATTTCACCACTCACAATCTTCCAACCCCATCTTTTGAGGTTTCCGGTCCAACCAGAATATCCATCCCTCCCCATGAGAAAGAGGTCTCAAAAGTATATGCCGAAGTTCTCCGCGCAACCATGGAACTTCACCATCTAATGCTAGGACCCACTGCCGTACTTATGGGGATCTCGGTTCGTATATCACCATTGCCCAAGCTACTTCCGTGCCACCTCTTTATATAGAGACATAGAAGAACTGCGCTGAACCAAAAGTGATAGCCGGTAGATAGTCTAAGTCTCAATTGCATCTACACTTACAAAATAGCCCATGCATTCCCCGTCGATAGCGAGGCTACTTTCGAACATATTTCAGATCAGTGCGGTCTGGATCTTATAGACACTCGTAGGATACTACGCCATGCCATGACAAATCACATTTTCCAGGAGATTCGCCCAGGTAGCGTAACGCATACTGCTGCGTCTAAATTGCTTGCTACGAATTCCTTGGTGGAGGATTTCGTGGGGATTGCTAGCGAAGAGCGTTTTCAAGCCGCTGCACACGTTCGTATCATCTCATCTCATCTACGGTCAATATCAAGTCTAACGGGCAGAATAGACAACGCAGGCGCTGCAGAAATGGGGATATGCGAGAGCGCCGAATCAATCAGTGAGTACATATATTCCATTCGGGCACATGTTTCCTTTCGCATTAAATTTACATTGTCGGATGAAAAACGTACAGTACTTACACAAGCGTGACATTTTCCAGGGATTCAGTCTAGGGCACCAAACCACCAATGGTCTCTATGAAGAGCTACGCTCTCATCCATCTCGTGGCCAACGCTGGGCCAACGCTATGAGTGTTTACGCGTCGAAAATTCCGCTTTCACCATTGATTGATAGTTATGAATGGAGCAGTCTTGGCTCTGCCACTATTGCTGGTGTGGGCGGTGGTTATGGTCCTGTTAGTATTGGACTCGCGAGCCAGTTTCCATTGCTCAATTTTGTTGTGCAGGATTTTGAGGATGTGGTTGCTGATGGGCCTGCGTGTGTACCTTCTGAGATATCGATATTGGACCGGATATCCTTCATGCCTTATGATATATTAACACCGCAGCCTCTTCATTCGATTGAGATACTTTTTTCCCGTGCCGTTTTTCATAATTGGCCGGATTATTGTTGTATCCAAATTCTACGAAATCAGATCCCGGCGTTAGGAAAGGGATCGAGATTGCTGATTGTAGAGCCGAGATTGGGGGAACCGGGAAAGTTGTCTTGGGTGGAGGAGAAGAGGTTAAGGTGAGTTTTATTCTCGAGCTGTACGGGTTTATGTGTGGGAAGTTTCACCATCTGATATAATCTGAATTATAGAACCATGGATCTTAACATGTTATCCTACTTTGGATCGCGCGAGAGGTCGATTGAGGATTGGGAGGGGATATTCACGGAAGCGGATGAGCGGTTTGAGGTGGCGAGGGTGGTGGATTTGGAGGGTGGGATGAATTGTTTGATGGAGGTGCTTTGGAAGGGGGAATAGATAGATGAATGTATGGTATCTTTTTTGCGCGCGGGTTTTGTTTTCGTTGTCGTTGTCGTTGAATATATGGTTTGTTGGAATTTCTCCTTTGATGATGATGAGAATTTGAGTGGTGTGCTTGCTATATACGAGTATATAAATATACTAGTATGGCTTTCTAGGATTTGTAAAGCTTAAGTAAATAGACAACGACTGTTATACATAAATAACGATAAAACCCCTCGAATAGATCTTACAAGAATGAATATCGATATACGTTTTAGTACAAATACTAATTATTGTTAGAGATTACTAAGTTCTGTTTTATATAATAGTTTGACACTCGTAGATGTAACAATCTCATGCTAAGAAATCGAACCGCTCCGTATTTTCGGTTTGCCAGGTATGTATATATGTAGCACTGAGCACCATAAGATCCAACTCCAAACTCCCTTCCCCTCCCTCCCCCATCACCTCCACCTTACAATTACCCCTCCCACAACCCAACTCTCTTCCACCAAAACTCACAAGCTTCTCCCTCCTTCCCATCCTTCCTATCCTCCTCCATCTCCACCACAACACCTTTCTCCCTACCCCCAGCAATCTCATCATTTCCCCTACCAAAGACCATTTTCTGCCTTTTCCCTTTCCCATTCCCACCCTTATACTCTGACCACAGCATTCGAGCCGGATATCTACCCGGAATTGCATTTGGGTCTCCTATTTGAGAAATGATAAAGGATGTCCAGTATGCATGCATCATGCCCGCGATATCTTTGATAGTTTTGGACTCTCTGGTAACCTCGGAGGAAAATACTGGGAAGGGGGATTGATCGCCGTGTGCGGCACCATGGAGGATGCTGCTATTGACTGCGTATTCATATAGGTAGACTGGAGATTTCTTGAAGGAAGTTGAATTTCTCCTCGAATTTTCATAGGGATGTTCATCTGAAGCAAAATAGGCAGTTTGACGCACAGGACTTATATACGCGAAATCTGCATATGCTTTAGCGAGACGTCGATATTGGTTTCCTACTATGAGAGCAGTGTTATTGAAGGCGTATGGGGAGTTTGGTTTGACATCGGGGTTTGGATAGAGGGAGTCGAGGGTTGAGAGATCGTCCATCGAAAGACTGGGTAGGAGAACGTGGAAGAAATCGATAAAGGAACCTGCGTTATTAGGGGCTTTGGGGACAAAGATAGATCCTTCGTTGGTGTTATATCCGGTGAGAATAGGGATACGATGGTAGGTGTTGTTCAAAACGGCTTGGATAGGAGGGATGGGGATAATGCTGTTGGGACCGGGTCCATCGACGCATGGTTGGAAGGGCCAGCGAAGAGATGGGTTGTAGGATTCAAAGATTTGCTGGGAGGCAGCTTTTATGGCTGAGACGGGAAGACTGCGAAGTTTGGAGAGTATTTGAGCGCGGGGAGTGCTAGAAAGATCAAGCTTGTCGAGAAATTCGGAGAATTGACTTTCGTGGAGTGGATTATCATAAGAGTAGACAGCTCGAGCGGTGGCTCCACCCGATTCGATGATTGCTTTGGCAAATGGTGGAGGAGAACCATCATTGTTCATTAAGTGATGACCGATCTGCATAAGCATCAGAATCCACAATGATAGATCAATTATACTACGATGTGTATTGAGAAGAGTAAGGTTTCGAATAGTGCAAGACTGCAGTCCATGGTTGAAAACTTTCAACATAACTTAATATTCAGGATGGATTCAATATTTTAGATAGATTCAATATGTCAAATGGATTCAACATATTCAAAGATCAAAAGTCCCTCATAATCGAACTGCAATCCAGACTACTGGAATCCCTTAGATCAGCTGTTACCAAGTAGCTAAACATGATTATTACAACAATGAAACATACTTACAGAATGAGCTCCAGCTGATGGGCCCATCAACGTAACATTATCCGGATCACCACCGAAGGCCGAAATATGTTTCTGCACCCATTCAAACAAAAGTTTCTGGTCTTTCAATCCCAAGTTCAATGCCCCTTCCTCAGCCATTAATTTCGATGGTAGAAATCCCAAAGCCCCTACTCTATACTCAAACGTGACCGCGATCAAAGGCTCCTTGGACCAGCCCACTAGAGATGCTATCTCCCTACCATTTGCATACCCAAAATTGAATGCTCCTCCATGAACGTGAATCAAAACCGGCACTTTTTCGCTTGATGAATTTGTGCCCTTGGGACGATATATGTTTAGATGAAGACAACCCTCACTTTGAGGTTCATTGTCTGGACCGGACATACATCTCGGGGCAGATTTTGTGACGTCAAAAATTGCATTTGATGCATTCACGGGGATGGGAGGTCTAAATATTCGGTCTCCTGTTGGTGGTAATGCGTAAGGGATTCCAAGGAACTCTTCAAGTATTTGTGGATATTTCGAGGTTTGTTTGCCGGTGAATGTTCCTTGTGAGATGGTGACATTTGGACTCGGCGAGGTGTCAGTAGCTATAGGTATATGGGAAGTTTCGGTCATAAAATCAATTGATGTGCTCCAGATTAGAGAAATGGAAGTAGGTGAATGTTGTGATATTGTCCCATCGTCATTGGTCGGCTCCTTGATAAGGCCAGGCTTTTCCGGAATCACCGGCTTTGGCTGCATTCTTTCTTCTCCGGCTTGAGGTGAGTATTGAAGTCGCCAGTAGTAGAGGAGGACGATGGTGAAAATGGAGATTGCGAAGAGAAATGCTAATCGTTTGCGCAAAGTTATACTTGCCATTTTGTTACTCTGCTGTCGTAGCTAGCACGCACTATCGGTATTAGATATTAATATGGAATTAGTTTTAAGGTTGAAATAACTTCACAACATCATTTAGATGTGGAGTCGGTAGTTAATTGGATGTTTCCAATGTTGCCCCAGCATGCTGCTATGCTGTTGTTGTGGTGTTGTGGTGTCACGGTATGCTTAATCAAATCATTACTATGTGTGATTTTGTATAGCCACTACTAACTAGCCTTAATAATCGCACCAACGAGAGAAAAGCCAGTTTTTCAGTCATCTTAATCAATTCCATCCATCTTTTAGTAATATGATGCTAATTCATTAAGTACATCGAGAATTTCCTATCCCAGTATAAAGATTGCTACCTGACCTGAGCTTTCGGAATATAGGTTATCAAATCTGTATCTCCTTGTTAGAAATTATATATCAATTCAACGCCCCAATACATCTATTTAGTCTTAATTTGATAATTTAATTTCCCTTCTTCTCAATCATTTATTAAAATGTATCAATGAATGTATTGAAAAAGGTGTCTAAAAGGTGTCTCAAAATCAATGAGATAGTATGCAACAAAACATATTCTCATTCTAAACTCTAAATACTGCGAAAACCCTCAATTTTTCACTTGGAGAAGTTATATTGCTATATAATACTATTACTTATTGTCAGTTTGTATATAACATTCAAAGAAGTATCAATGACATTGTAGGTGTCACGGTATTTTCGAAAAAGGGGTGCTGAGAGTGTGAGATGTGCAACCCCAAAGATAGAAAACTTTAATCTCAAGATTTCACTACTTATTATCCTTGGCTAAGGTAGTTAGTTTATGGGGTACTTGGGAGACTGCATTTTGATGTGGGAGAAGGAATTGTGATAGGGCGACAGTATGCTAGGTTGAGTTGGTTGGTCACGGTGACATATCCAGGAATATCATCCTACCGAGATTTCAAAATTTACATCAAATTGAACAGTTTGAGCTTTTCAAGTATATTATGTTTCTTTGGAGCGGACTCCTCGAGCTAAACAAATGGCTTTGTCAATAGACATCTCCCGATTCAGCTTATGCACCCACAGTCTTTCCTTCCCGATCCAGAGCCAGCTCCAAAAGCTTCCCCCCCCACAACTTCCTCTCCACCTCAGAACAAACCACAATCGCTCCTCCCCATCCTACACTGACACACTCACCCACACAAAGATCTCCCACTCATTTCTTCCAATTCTCATCCAACAATCAAGCACACAGCAACATCGCTACAAATTTTGCTCTCTCAACCTACCACTCCCACCAGACACACACTCACACAAAATCTTGCTTCTCTACATTTAACATCAGCTACCCTTGTCCTTTGTCACATAGCTTTCTTCTCATCTCCAACTTTCATCCACGTTGAGCGTTGCTTGTCCATGAAGATCGGATTTAACCTTTGGATTTGGTAGATTACCTTGTCGACTCCTCCGATCCTCTCTCTTTATATGAGCAAGAGCCGTTGACGGATAGAGTAAGATTTTCGAAATACTCAAGGGAGGTATTTTCAAGGACGTCGAAACCCATTCTAATCTCAAGCCTATCTCTGAATCTGATCTTGTCACTGTCACATTGGCAAGGGGGAAACATTTCAAAGAACGAGAAATACAAAAGAAGTGTTACTCTTCTGCAACACGCCTGAGTAAAGTTGTACGTTGCACTGTTTGAACCCAAGGGCTAATATCTTCTACAGGTACCGTTCGATTTGAGATCAGTCGACTTGGTGTCAAAGGCATACAATTCGGGGAAATACTATAATAAAGGCAGAGTTGATTAAAGACATAATGGTTTATTATGAGCAGAGAAAGCCACGACTGGTGCTCAGGAATGCTCCGGCTAGAGGGACGGACCCTCCAAGATTGATGTTGAGGCAACAGAGACAGGAGCCACCATACTCAAATGACAACAATACAACGAACCTACCATTACATATGGCCTTCCTTCAACAAGCGTATCATGGCCCTTTCCAGAATGTGGTCCCGGGCAGTTTACCATATGCGGCTTTTCAGTCCCAGCTGCCAATGACATATAACGTTCCGACGAACATGAATATGGCTCCTGGTCATTTGGCATTGCAGACAGTCAATCCAAGGAATCATCATCATAACATGACTGTCTACAATGATCGAGGACATACAGTTGGCGAGAACATATATGCTGGACGTACTCCTGTTCTCGAGGAGCGACGAGATGAGAATTTTGGACGAGTGTCCCCCCGAGTTGCTTTGCGTACTATGATGCAGCAGGCTTTAAGACCAAATACACAACCTGAAAAGTTCGGACACCAGGCACACTGCACTCAGAATTCGCACGACTCCCGAAATGCTTTTGGCTTAAATTCACGCGGCGTCAGTGTGGGATCCGATGTTTCGATTTGCCCTCCAATTGACAGAGGTCTTGAGGCCAATATTCGTGAGCAGCTTGCTCGCTCTGGTCTTCTCCGGGATTGTCCGGAGCCGGAATACGTCAACAGACCAATGATAGTTGATCCTTCTATTGTTTCATGTGGACGAGCCGTAAAGCAATATGACCCAATTCATCATCGCAGACCCCAGTATCTCTTCAGTCAGGCACAACTATCTGAAGAAGTTAGATCTGCAACTCACAGAGAGCTTTCACGAGCACCTCTTAAAGTTCGGAGAACTACGGGAATTCCAACCTACAAAGTCAATGTCCCACCAACAAATGTCCAACAAGTTCAGACATATAGAGGTGTTGATTCAGTGGTCAAAGACCCCAAGAGAAGAGATAGCCCTCAGCCGTACAAGGTCGAAGCAGGACCGAAATTTTTGACGAAAGATGATTATACTCCCACCAAGAGAATCATTGGCTACTTTATAGATCCTCCAGTCGGAAGTCCTAAATCTGCTAAGAAAATCCCAGTCCAGCCACTGAGCAATCAGGAAGAGGCAACTCCTAAACCCTTCAGGCAATCTGCTAAGAATCGACTGGGTGGTGCTTCGGAACCAGAAATGACACAAGCCCCCATCAGAGAAGGCAAAAACAAAGTCAACATGAGTGAAGACACACCCAAGGCATCAGTTCCTTCGATGGAAACAACTGATCACGAATCCTCAATCGAGCAGGTCAAGACTATCGACATGCATGCGACTAACCCCAAAAATCATGCCCAGATTACAGTGGAACGGGTGTCAGACGAGGAATCGAATGGGAGTCCAGACGGCAAGAAGACAGCAGATTTGCTTGAGGATTGTATTAGGTCCCTTGTTACGTGGGATAAGGGAGATCGGAAAGTTCTTCACAAGCTTTTGAAGGTTCTGAAAAGTCTCGATGATGATGACGATAATGCCAAGCCTATCAAGGACCCGAAAATTACTCATGATACCAAACACAATCCAAGAAAAGAGAGAGGATCCAGCAGCAGTTTAAATCCTAATGCGGCTTGTTTCAAAGGTTTTGCGTCTGCGAGAGCTCATACTACAGAAACTCGTAAAGGGTACCATGAGCGGCGAGGTCTTTCATTACAGGAAGAGATTATCCCAACCTCCAATGAAAAGCTTCCAATGTTTTACCCAAAGCCACTCGTGTCAACAGGACCAGTTTGGATCAAAGCTCAGCAAAACAAGTTCGTAAGACCGCCACCAGGACTTCATATTCCATTCAAAGCACACGTTGGTCGTAAGGTACCAGTCAAACCGATCCTACCCCAAACTCCCCGCGAAGATGAAGAAGGAAGAATAGCCAAAGCAATGGATCATCGTCTAGCAGAACCACTTCTTGCTCGGTTCTACGAAAAGTACCCATTGACTGGAACGATATGCGAAAATCCACCTTCATCACCCCCGGCTCCTGTGAAGAATGCAGCCGAGATTCAAGAGGAGCTTGAGCGTCTTCTGTTGCAAGAAAAGGAGAAGAAAGCATTTGCAAACCCCATCGCTGTTAAACCTCGTGCACCCAAGGATTCTTGTCGAGTCGAAGCTTCGAAGCTTGTTAAGTGATTAATTAATAACGGATCCGGGATCAAGAAAAAGCGAAAGTATTTGATTATCATGGTGTATTACTATTATTGGTGATAGTGTTATTTTAAGATAGCGGCGATACTTTATACGCAGAGCAGAGAAGGAAGAGAAGAGAAGCAGGAAACCCTTGTATACGATTAATTGTTGTAGTAGACTTGAATGTTAGCCCTTGTTTGATTGCGATTCAAGATGATGTTGTGTTAACACTAACTTGAGTATTAAGTGAGGTTGTATTGATCTACTCGAAACGAAAGCGGTCATCGCGGTCATAGCGGTCATCGCGGCCGTAATATCCGCATCGCTCCGACAAACCGATTAACGATTACAAGATATCCAATATCTTTGAAAACATTTCCAATTCAATGACCACTTTACATTTACCAGCGTTCATGAAGCCGTATATCCAAGCTTGAATTCCATACGCGACCGTGAATTATACTATTTTAATCATCGTGACCTCAACCGCGCAAAACCCCACAGCTCTGAAGCTACGGTACTAATTCTTCGTCCCTTCTACTTCAATCTACAGTCCCTCTCTCCCAAAGTCAACATTTAATCGCAATGGCAACTCCAACCCCCGGAAAATACCCCGGTTTAGCAGCTACACCTCCTGTCTCGACCCCGTTTTCGACCTCCCACTTAGCTTTCTCTCCTCATGGGCCGCGCTCTGTCGGACCGTCTCCTTCACAAGTCAAGAAATCTAGTCCAGCAGGAACTTCAATGTCGAATCAAGGATATAACATGGGGATGGTGGGATTTGATAGTCCCTCTGCGGCGTTAGCCTTAGGGATGGGCGCGGATACGGTGGGGGATTTGGGAATTGATTTACATGGGATTGGTGGATTGGGCGGAGGACCGGCGAAGGACGAGGAGGAAAAGAGGAGGAGGTTAATGGGTTGTGTGGAGATTTTGAAGGTGAGTTGAGTTGAAAGCAATGGGGAATTGGGGAGACATTGTTTGTGGCTGGTATGGATGGCGAAATGCTAATGTGGTTTGAATAGCCAAATAAAGGGCGACTCAGCGAAGCCGGGCTCGAAAGATTAGCTCGTAGAGTTGGATTGGAATGTTTATGGGAGGATATGATGGGAAGCGCAAGTAATGGACGCACACTTATTATAGCAGGGAATGCTCTCGCGCTCGATATCGATTTTGCGAATAATATCGTACAGAAAGTTTCACTGGCATTTCCCGATGCGCCGGAATCGGTAACGAAACATGAGAAGACGGCTTCGGATATATTGTTGAAGGATTTACAGTTTGAGGCTGGAGAGAGTCCTTTGACGAAGATGTTGGATCGATTTGCAGCGAATTTGGAGAGCTTGACTATGTTGGACAAGTTGAGTATTATACCTGGACTCAACTGTCATGAGGCAATTGCGGGGATCTTTTGCAGTTTGCATAAGTTACGTAACTGGGAGGTGGGTAGATTGAGGGAGAATGATATGCTAGGGATGGAGGATGAGGACATTGAGAGGGCGGCGATGTGTATTGGGAGTGGAACACCGGTTATGCATTCAAGGCAAAAATTAGGATTAAGTCTTGATTACTGGCAGGAAAAACGACGGATTCCAACGAAAGGGAAGGAACACAATAGGAAGACATGGTCGTTATTGGTGGGAGTTGCGCCGTTACCTTCGTTGGCCGTTGGGGTATACACTCCTTTGCGCGTATCCGACAAATGGATATCAGATGATATACAAAGAGCGGATCTAGCGGTCATTGATCTGTTCCAAGCAGCACAATTACGAGAAGGGCCAATTTTAGATTGGTTGGAGCCGGACAATACGTTTCTGCCGACAACTTCTGATAATAAGACGGATGGACTAGATGTCGGGACGCCGAAATTTCCAGAAGCAATGTTTGTTGCAAAATTCGATCCGCCCATTATAGTACCATATGCTATTGCGATGCAGATATACCAATCTACTCAAGCTCCCTTTGATTTTACAGAAATCACAACGTTTGATGCATTGATGTTTCCGTTGAGTGCGGAGGAAGCGTTGAGGTCTAGCGATACACAATCTAGAACCATCACAACGAAGAGAAATAATCCGGTTTGGGATCGAGAGGGGAGGAAGACAGTGAAGGAACATAGCAATACGCTGTTTATTGAAAGAATTGATTATGGCAGGAGGGTGGAGGAGGTATCTTTTAGTCATCCGAGGCAATTGGTTGAGATGTTGCCGTGTTTAAGACAGTTTGCATTTTTGAGTACGGTCTTGAGAAAAACTTTTGGGGCGGAGGAACTTTCAAATTCAAAAGCGGAAGGGAAAGAATCATCTAAAGCCGATATTGTTGGAAAGGCTCCTGAACCGGCAACCATCAATCCTCCGACTAAGAAACAGGAGTTTGAGGATTTTATGAAGAGTTTGATCTCTACGCCTATGATAACTTCTACTTCTACTTCCATAGGAATAGGAATAGGAAAGGAAAAGAAAAAGGAAAAGGAAAACACATCAAAACATCTAGATGTTTCAATGACATTAACGCCAATACCTAGGTTACAGGTGGTTTTTGACTACAACAAGAGGAGCGCGAATGTGATATTTGAAATTCAGGGGAATGGAGGGGTGGTGGTTGTGGAGGAGAATGTTTTGGGTTGGGAGGAGGGAGGTGGAGGTGGAGGTGGAGGTGAAGGGGTGGGAGGGGATGAGGATGAAGATGAAGATGTGGATATGGTGATGGTTATGGGAGGGGATGAGGGGGTGGGAGGGATGGGGAAGGAGAAGGAGAAGGAGAAGGGGAAGGGGAGAGCGTTGACGAGAGAGGATTTGGGCAGGATGTTGGAGATTTGTGAGGATTTGGGGGTTTGGGTTGAGTGGGTTGGGGGGAGATTGTAGGGTGGGGGCGAGGTGTGGGAGAGGGAGGGGAGAGGAGAGAGGAACAAGAGAGAGGGGAGGGTAATTATATATGTGGAAGTGTACTATACCCAGGAATTTCAATAAACAATCTATCCATCTAATCATCGATCGATTATCACTGGCATCGATATACATACTCGAATACATATAAGATCTTATACATATACACACTACAATGAAGATGAAGATAAAATACCTTCTTCTTACAACACAACATAGAACTATGGTATCGATACAATCGGAGTGAGTAATCTATCTAATATATACTGCAGCAGTGGTCAATTATCAGATATGTGAGGTATAATTGTATATATATATATATATACGTACCAGTGATGTGATGTAATGTGATATGATATGATACTCATATAATCGCCAGCCAGCGAAAGACAGCAGATGGATGATGGGTAGAAAAGTGATCTAACCGTAACCCATGGTTTTAGTTGGTACTGTACTCGAGTAGTATTGTTCCGAGAATATTTAAGAAGTAAGTAAGTATTCCTATTCCTATTTTGATTCTTGCTAAATGGAGTAGATGAAGTAGATGATGAAGTTCTCTACTCTATTAAATGATGGGTTGTACCTCCGTACAGAACAATTTACCGAGTGGAATCCTGCATACATATTGACATAATTGACAGCGGGTACCTACCTATTATAGATCGGTTGAACCTATCACAATCTTATGCCGGTATCTTATCATGGATTGGATGATTGAACTTACTCATCAGCCGAGAATCTTCACCGTTCGTTTTTCAACCCGTATTATTATTACATGCCCTTCCCCTTCCTGAAACATTGCATTTGTACTCGTATGTAACCCGATATTAACCGCTCTCTTCCGAATCCGAATCGTGATTTTGAAGAATGTTACAGTAATTATGACATTTTGTTTCATAGAGAAAATCGATGAAAATCGATGTAGTATAATGGTACAGTAACATACATAGTAAGACTTACATCATACCGGTATACTAGGTAGGTAGGTAGGTAGGTAGGTACCTCGGATCTCAAAAGATGACACAAGAAATACGAACGAGATTGTACGAAGAGAAGCCTGTGAATAGAAACAGAAACAGAAACAGACAATCCAAACCAAGCATAGAGTTATCGGAGGGCCCTGCCCTGCCTTGAAGGCGAACGGTGGAATATGGAACATGATTTGTCGCATTTGAGTTTTTCTCGAGTTTCTCGAATTTCTAGCAGATCTCGGGGTTTGTGTTATGTTACTAGAGTTAGTACGAGTATAGTAATAGGGCCAAAGAACTTCATGAGTACTGGCTAAAACATACCAAAATAAAACATTCAGGTATGGATACTTCCATGAACATTGAGTTACGGTGTAGTACTCGGTATAAGCAAGCAAGCTGAGGGACGGAGGGAGGATCTTGGCACCTGCGAACACGCATTGAAAATACTGTATACGAACAAGTAAGTGAATGAATGGCGAAGATAGACAGACAGACAGATATTCAAAGAATACGATACGACTTCGCCTGTTAATCGGTGTCAGAAAGGGGCTTGGCTTGGCTTGGCCTCTTATAGAATGAGATGCGATTTCTTCTTGTAATGCATACGAGTAGAGAGAGGTATCAAGGGGTTATAGTAGGAAACACCGATTGATTGTCTGTGTTATTCACTCGTATATGTATATTGCCAAAATACTTGTGAAGTACGGAGAGATCGTATTCTATAATGAATGAACATTTGATGGGATAAATGAATATTGGTTTGAATCTTGTAATTAGGAGAATATATTTTGATTGTACAGTACATATTGTATAATAGATAATAGATACTAAACTAGAACAGCCAAGAAACAGAAACGGAAACGCAAACGGAAACGCTTCACTCAAGATATATTTAGAACCCGGCTTAGAATTAATCACATGATGAAACCCGACAGATTGTATTTGTATTCCTCTCCGATTAACATCCATCCATCCATCCCTCCACCAACCAATCACCAACCCACATACATCACCCAACAGGCGAGATCGGACGACAGACAGCCACCTTGATTATTAAATTATTGGTATATTACGAACTATGCTTAATCAACCCAATCACAACACAATCTACTTATCTCCTTATCTCAATCCATGACATTTTTTTTTTTGGGCGCGCCACGGGTCTCGGCTGGAACTCAAGCGAATTTATGTTGAAGGCTTGAACCGAATTTGTTATTGGGAGGGATTGGGAGATTATCCTGTAAGATGTGTTTGATTTGTTTTTTTGGTACTAAAGTGTTGGATTACCGATATTAGATACGAGTAGAGCCTAGAGGAAGTGATGAAGTGGGAGGGAGAAGTTGGAAAATATCTTTACATTGGTATTGATTGGTTACCTACCTCTGGATAGATTGAGTGGAAGGCGCATATGGTTGTTGTGTGGAGGACCTTTCAGAGGCGGCCAGGTCCTTTGGAGAAAGAAGACCACGTCCCTGATGGGCTGAAGATGACTTGAAGAATTCCCTCACCTCACTCTGCTTATATGTAGATTCAGTACTACAGTATCTAAATGACCCGATAGAGTTAAAATCATAAACTCAAAAACGATGATAATGATAATGATAATGATAGTGATAGTGACCCGCTCGGCGACAGCGATAGATACAAGTACGGGTAGGTACCAACTTACAAGCTTCTTTCGCCATGACGGAACCACTGTTTTCTTGTAGATCTTGTCGATGGGTCATTCGTAACTGCTATATACGGGATTTTTGTACCTATGCTAGGCGAAATGGATCAAGTATTGTAAAGTATTTCCCCTGGATGATGGAGGGCTGTATAGATATCCATATAATGGTTACCGTATATGATTTTTTTGGTGTTTCATGACTCTTCAAGAACTTTATGTCATGACACTGATAACAGGGAATATTCAGATTATTAATCTTTTTGGTAGAGTAATAAGTAATACCGGTATATACCTCAAAAGTTGTAAGTATTATTATCTCAAACCAAAAGGGGTCTTGATCTGTCTGGTCTGGTTGCTTAGGGGATAGGTAGATATTGTTGGTTGGGGATAACTGTATAGAGTATTAAGGAATATCAATATGATATGAACAAAGAAGATTGATTATCAGATATGAATACAAATTCCTCAATAACTTTGAAACTAACCTATTATCGTTAAGAAAGAAGTATTTCTCTGATCTCTTATATCAAATGCATCCCTAAAATACCCGTCATTCAACTTATCAAGAAATGTCTTATATATCTTGTTATATCTTCGAATCTTCGAATCTTCGAATCTTTCCAAATAAATCCTAATTTGCCTCTCTCTCTCTCTTCTATCCCATTTCAGCCCCGTTCTCTAATGCTCCGCCCACAGAATTCCAACCCTAATTAAATTCACTCTATCTATATTTAATTAAATCCCTGCAATTTCAACTTTCACTCAATATTCTTTTTATTAACCGACCCCACTCTTATCTATACCTACACCCCCATTCCTAAAAATCTAATTAAACAACATCTTTCCCAAGTTCCATTTTTTCAATCTTCTTCTATCTATTCTTTCCCCCATCTCCACATTCTGGACTTCAACAAGTCTTGTTTAAAACATTGAATAAACCTCTGTTCTCCTCTCTACCTCTTTATCATACAATACACACCCCTACTATCTCTCTCCTCCTCAACTATTCTCACCCAAGAAATCTACAATCATGGCTGTTTCAACAACCGTTTCCTACACGGCGAACGTAAGTAATTTCTTATTGATTTTTCAAAAGATAATAAACTCCTCCAAAAATACGCATACCCCGCTATCGGCGCGCAACGAATACTGATTTTTACTTTTGAATTTATAGCTCATGAAATACATGGCGCTCGACCAGAAGGGATCTGCTATGGCAGAGTAAGCTAATTAACAAGAATATTGTTTCCTTCCTTTCAAAATCTAATCCTTTACAAAGGTACATCTGGATCGATGCGAACGGTGGTACTCGCTCCAAGTCAAAGGTAAGAAAATATCCCCAATGCCGAGCCGAGTCTTTACTCTTCCTGCGCCTCCACCAAAAGAAAATACCGCAACATGACTCATATACTAATATTAATTTCTATTCGCAGACTCTTACCAGTGTCCCAGAAGGCGGTCAATTCACTCTTGATGATCTCCCAGAATGGAACTTTGACGGTAGTTCGACCAACCAAGCCCCCGGTGACGACTCCGATGTTTACCTCCGCCCTATCGCAATCTTCCCAGATCCATTCCGTGGTGCCCCTAACATCTTGGTCTTGACCGAGTGTTGGGATCCCGATGGAACCCCAAACAAGTTCAACTACCGTCATGAGTGCGCCAAACTCATGGAGGCACACAAGTCTCATGAGCCATGGTTCGGTTTGGAGCAAGAATATACCCTCCTTGATATGTCCGACAGACCTTACGGATGGCCCACCAATGGTTTCCCCGGTCCTCAAGGTCCATACTACTGTGGTGTGGGTACTGGCAAAGTTTTCTGCAGAGACATTGTCGAGGCTCACTACAAGGCTTGTTTGAACTCTGGTGTCAAGATCTCCGGTACCAATGCCGAGGTTATGCCAGCTCAATGGGAGTTCCAAGTTGGTCCTTGCGATGGTATTGAAAGTGGGTACTCCTCTGTCTCCATTATCAATCCGAATAATGACTGACTCTGATTCTTTAGTGGGTGATCACCTCTGGTTGGCTCGTTTCCTCCTCAACCGTGTCGCCGAAGAATTCGGTGCCAAGATTTCCTTCCATCCCAAGCCAATCCCAGGTGACTGGAATGGTGCCGGTCTTCACTCCAACTTCTCAAGTGCTGAGATGCGTGTAGAGGGAGGCATGAAACACATTGAGGCTGCCATTAAGAAGCTCGAGGGTCGTCACAAGGAGCATATCGCGGTTTACGGAGAGGATAACAGCATGCGTCTTACCGGCAGACATGAGACTGGTTCTATTGACAGTTTCACATACGGTATCGCCAACCGTGGCGCATCCATTCGTATTCCAAGAGAGTGTGGCCAAAAGGGTTACGGATACTTTGAAGATAGAAGACCCGCTTCAAATGCTGATCCATATCAAATTACTGGTATTATGATGGAGACGGTAAGTTTATTTTCGTAATCAAGTGGCAAATGGACTCGGCTAATAAAGTTCTAGATGTTCGGTGGACTTGATGGTACTGAGGCCAAGAAATAGATGAGATGATTTATCGCATGTAACAACGGTTGGGTGAGAGAAAGTTGATAATGGCTTGGCGATTAAGGTCTATTTTCGTTGCAAGCGTTTTAAGTGTTGAATGCTTCTCGTTGATTTTTTTTTCAACAGGATAGTTGCATTGTAGATGACTGATTTTTTTTCTAACTGGACAAGAATGAAATTCTGATACTATTTATGTGTTTGGTGCTTTGTTAATTTGGTGTTGTAGTGTTGTAGTGTTTTTGGTGCTTTAGTACTTATGGTGGTAGTACTTGTAATACTCCGCGATACTTTTGAATACTTGTGATACTTTTTTTTATCCTCTTCATCATTTCCGAGTAGCTTGTGCTGTACTGTGCTGTGCTATACCCACCTACCTACCTACCTACCTACCTACTTCATACACCATGCAATCCATCTTCTATCCTTCTATCCTTCTATCCTTTTATCTTCCTATTTTTTATTTTTTATTTTCTATCTGCTATTTTTTTACTCGAGTATATTTTATCTTTCATCTTCTAACTATATAGATATTATCTTCTATCTTCCATCTTTCTATATTTCCAATCAAATCTATATATTGTAATATAATCTTCTTTCTCTCTAGCTTGGAAATTAAAGTTTATTATTTAATATTTAAAGTTTAAAGATTAAAGGTTAAAAGTTGCTTAATAAGTACTCAACTCAGATATGGAAGGTGGTATGGAAGGTGGTATGGAAGGTGGGATATTGAAGGAAGGTGAGAAGATAAGGAAGGTGGAAGGGGAAGGGGATGGGGGGGAGAGCAATGGGTAGGGAGGGTATGTTACTGTTACTGTTACTGTATAGTGTGGGAAAGGCGTAGATAGATGGTAGGGTAGGGTATGGTAGGGGTGTGTGTGTGAGGGTGTGGGTACAGATATAAATAATGGGATGGGATGGGATGGGGGAGGGGAGAGGAGGAGACGTGAGGGTATGGATGGGTATGGTAGGGTATGGTATGGTATGGTATGGTATACATGTAGGGTATAGTAGGGAATTGCATAGAGAGAGTAGAAGAGGTATGTATAGGAGAAGAGAAGAAGAGGGGGGTTAACTATCATTTGTTCGTTAGAAAATACAATATATTATACAGTCTAGATAAAGTACGCCATTCATGCCTGCATGTATGCATGCATGATGAATCGTATGTTCGTTCCTTCATTATGCCACGCCGTGACATTCCATGCCATGCTATGCCGTCCTTTCATATGTGTACGAGTATATATACATGGATATGCATGTATACACAATCCCTCATAGACCTTATCTTACAAGTACACATTTTCATTTCTTCCTTCCTTCCTCCCCCATCCTTTCCTCGTGATTTCATATCCTCATATTTGCATCTCCCAAATTAACACAGCTCAACTCAACTCAACTCAACCACTCTTACTCGGCATCGTCTTCATCTTCTTCTCCTCCTCCCCCAACACCTCCACCAATTTCTCCCTTAGGAAATCCGTCAATCCGAAGATTCCCTCGCGTGTCACGATGCGATAACTGCCGCTTTCTTGCCAATTGCCGGGGTATGTTTTAGCTTCTGTGGTTGCTGTGATTCCTGCGGTTCCTACAGCTTCTGTGGTTTCTAGGGCTCCTCCATCGCCTTCGTCGCCAGCAACAAATTTTCCAGAACCGGTTACCTCGAGTGATCCGAAGATATCTTCGGGATAGGCGATGCGTCCGTAGTCTGGGGGGGCCCGCGTGTCGGAAAGGTGGATGTAGCCGCTGTGGCCGGAGGAACCGGCGCCGCCTAGGAAGGGGGGAGGGAGGGATTAGTTTGGGTTTGAATTTGGATTTGGGTTTGGGTTTTATTTGTGAGGGGATTTGTGAGGGGATTGGTTTCGAGAGTATTGGGAAATCTGAGATCTGAGGAATTTGATATTTGGGAAGGAAAAAAGTGTATCACCCAACATACCTTGACTAGCACTAGGCGGCGCCCCCGAATCCTTCTTCATACCCTTCCCATTCTCACGATAAGCACTCGGAGGCGATAATGAGAAATGACTAGCGGTGGTAGCGAAAGCAGCGGCTTGCGATTGGAGTTGGGGATCGAGATGGGCGTATTTGGAGAGGACTTTGGAGAGGAGGGGGAGGAAGTGCGGGTTGGGGGTGAAGGTTGAGGGGGTTACAGGGTGAGTGGGGGAGGAGGTGGTGCTGCCTAGGGAGAGGGCGGTGGTCGGGGGTGAGGTGGGGAGGAGTGAGAGGGTGTAGGATTGGGGGCTGGTGGGGGTGTTGGTGGAGGTGGGGGTTGGGTGGATGTACTGTTGGGAAGGGGGTTAGCTGGGGGTGAAAAGATGGGGGAATTGGGAATTGGGAGCTAGAATTGGAAACGGGGAATAGAGAGAGTGGAAACGAGAGTAGGGTGACAAACAATATGAGGATTTTCCTTCAGCGTCGATACCGCGCGACGTATATGAGAAGATTTATTAACCAATCGTAATGTGCGCGGTAAAGCACGGTATGTAGTTGAGAGTAGCATATTTAATTGTGTATTATATTGGGAGGTTTTGTTATTGCTATGAGGGGGTAGAGTAGAGTAGGAAGCATGGATAGATAGATGGCTCGATTAGGCAATTAGCTTTAGATTAGTAAGCGTGCAGGGTCAGTAGTAATTTTGTGATGTTTTGAGCTTGATTTTCTTAATACATGTTTACCTAATTATACTTAGAGTAATGAGTACAGGCAATATGATTGAATTGTAGAAATATTAGCCTATGTAACAGTAACAGTAACAGTATACGAGTATATAGCACTACATATACCATTTATTATGAGAGGTCTACATCGGTATCGAGTTTCTTAAATTGGTTTCCTAAATTCACTCAATATAAGGCTGGTTTGTTCTTTTTCCAATTTAGCTCTTCTTTATCTCTATGATATCCCTTAGACTTTACATGGAATTTGGAGAAGAACTTTAGATAAGTACTACCAGAATACAAATAAATCTCTTATTAAAGGGAGTTGAGCGTATTCGATTCTGGATATATACCTGACTGGTGTCCTACATAATGTATGAGTTGGCACTATAAATAGATTGGGAGTTGTCTCGTGAATTGGGTCTCAATTGTCTAAGTCTCAATTGTCTATCTTGAAGACAAAGTACAATGGTTTCAAATACTATCATCTAATTATACTTTCTTTTCATATATCATACAATTCTTCGGATGGAACAAAACACAAAAAAGAATCAATAAATCAATAAATCTTCAACCCATCGATCTGGTTATTCTGTCCCCTGGCAAGCTGATAACTCCACCACTCGATCCCCCTTCACTTCCCCAGATATCGCTAAAATACAAGTACACCTCGGATTCTGGTTGAGACTTGGAACCACAAATCATCTTTTCCTTTTTATAACTTATCAAAAATTCAATCTCGACGGAAGAGTCTTTCAATCATTCACTGAATCTTGTTAGCTTGGAATGAAAAGGTTGACTCTTCTCTTCTGACTCTTCAAATATTACTCACAATAAGTGATTCACAACTCGATTTGAAGCTCGCCGTCTACCTACAGAAAGCCACCAAAAATCATCTTTGGTGGGGTTGAAGCAACGACAACAGAACATTACCCCAGTTCAACATACAACTTTTTTCAGCGCCATTTAAATAACCTCAGTATATTGCCATGAGTCGCTACGATGATGGCGAACTAGAGATATCTCTAGCGCCTTCCGCAAACCGTCGCGCACAACATAGACCCTCGGAAGTCAGTTCAAATACACGTCGTCAAACCCATAATGGAGGGAACAAACCTGCTCCGCAGAAGAAGACGGAGCAGCGTGTGGGCGCATATTCGGTAATACGTACATTGGGAGAAGGATCTTTTGGGAAGGTCAAGTTGGCGGTTCATCGGGTTACGGGTCAACAGGTTGCGCTGAAGATAATTGCGAGGAAGAAGTTGATCAGTCGTGATATGGCTGGGAGAGTCGAGCGAGAGATCGAATACCTTCAACTTTTGAGACATCCGCACATTATCAAATTGTATGTATAATCTCCACCATAAGTTTGTCTATTTGATGGCTAACTATACATTACAAGATATACCGTCATCAAGACCCCCACCGAAATTATCATGGTTCTTGAATATGCAGGGAATGAGTTGTTCGACTATATTGTACAACATGGGAAGATGAGAGAAGATGAAGCCAGACGATTCTTTCAACAAATTATCTGCGCAGTCGAATATTGTCATAGACATAAAATCGTACATCGAGATTTGAAACCTGAGAATCTTCTCCTCGACGAGAATCTCAACGTCAAGATTGCCGATTTCGGACTCAGTAATATCATGACAGATGGGAATTTCCTCAAGACGAGTTGCGGAAGTCCAAATTATGCCGCCCCGGAGGTTATAAATGGGAAACTATACGCTGGTCCCGAGGTTGACGTTTGGAGTTGTGGTGTCATACTATATGTTTTGCTCGTCGGGAGATTACCTTTTGATGATGAACATATTCCATCTCTGTTTGCGAAAATTGCTAGGGGTCAATATAATGTCCCCGGTTACATGGGTCGTGAAGCTGCTGCATTGATCAAGAAGATGTTGGCAGTCAATCCGGTCTATAGAGCTACCATCGCAGAAATCCGAGATGATCCGTGGTTCACGACAAATTTGCCCGCTTATTTGCAACCTCCAGTGGAAGAATTCATTGATACGGGCGTTGATTCGGCAAAGGCTATCAATCCTCGAGCGATTGCACCTCATGCGAGTCCGGCTATTCAGGAGAAATTACATGTGCAAGTCACTGAGAAGATTAGTAAGACGATGGGTTACGGAATTAAGGATGTTCAAGAGGCTTTGGCGGCAGAAGAACCTTCGGCCATCAAAGATGCATATCTTATTGTTCGAGAGAACAAGTTGATGCAGGCTAATCGTAAGTGCTCCATCATCTCAAGGAATCTCAGCGTAGTTTTAAAACTAACAGTGAAACAGCAAATCTTACGGATGACAAGAACCAACTTCTCTTTCAGATCCCTTCGCCTCCATATTACGACTCGGCAATTCCAGCAGTGCCCGAGTCGCCTTCACTTATCATTAAGGAGCGGCCTGGTAATATTCAACCGGTAGTTACACCATTTCAACCTCGACCTAGTCCTCTTCTCGATGCCGTATCGCCGAGATCCAGTAGTTCTGTTGGTACAGATAGATCATTTGTTCGACCGTATGTGAGCAAAATTGGAATATTGCCAAGCAGTATCCCGCAGTATCATAACGAGTTTATGCAAACACACATATCGGGCCATCAGGAGAGCACTCTATCAACATCTCACTCAGAAACCGTTGAACCATCACCTCAAACTGAGGCTGAAAAGGCGGAGACGGTTCGCCGATTAAATCCACATTCGAGAACTCTAGCAAAATTGGATGAAGGCAAGAAACCCGCGGGTATGACTCCAGTTCCATCGAAAAAGGCAAAACCTACAAAGTGGCAATTCGGAATCCGATCTCGAAATCAACCTCTTGAGGCAATTGGATGCATTTATAGAGCTCTCCAGAAGCTTGGTGCAGAATGGTTGGTGGGTGATGAATGGACACCTGGTCATGATGAAAATAAAAGAAACAATCGAAATAATGATAACGATGTTACGGATGATCCAAACGGAAGTGGCGCCTCTTTGCATCGCGAAACTTCTATGAATGAAACTTCTTCGAAGAAAAATAGATTCAGCGGCATTGATAAAAAAGGCACCTACAAGTTACCAGAAGACCCATGGGTCTTACATGTCCGCTGGAATAAAACTGGTAAGTAACCCTTTAACCATACGAGACTCTCTCTAACCCCCCTCAACAGATATTCGACGTCACTCCATAGCCTCCCTGCATAGTTCAGCATCCAGTCCCGCATATCCCTCCTCACTACTCAAAGATGAAGAAACCGAATCCATCGACGGATGCGTCATCATGCACCTCGATATCCAACTCTATGAAATGGAACCCGGCGTCTTCCTCGTAGATTTCAAATGCGCAGGCTATGAAACTAAAAAGGGTATGATGTGCGAGGAAAAGGATGTGACTAGTCCTTTCCCATTCTTGGATTTGGCTAGTAAATTGATCATTCAATTGGCGGAAGCTGATTGAGTTGGTTGATTTTTTTTTTTCGAGTATTGAGTGAAGTGCGAAGTGAAAGAAAGATACGATGAATGATATGAGCTATGAAAACTTTCTATTCTATGATTATTCTATGATTATTCGGGGTACGGGGTGCGGGGAGTAGGGATGCGGATGGGATGCGGATGGGGATGGGGATGGATGGACTCGGCTTGGGGCTTGGAAGGTATGGAAGGTATGGATGGATGGATGGGTTGAAAGGATGGAATTTCAATAGTAGCAAATGGATGGTTTTTATCTCTTACTACTAAGTTACTTGCTACTCTGAGTACAAAGATACCGATTAGCATATCATATTGGTTTGCGCTTGGCGAATGAATGAATGAATGAATGAAGGATTGAATGAAGGATTGAAAGTCAATATGAATGGTTGAATGATTGAATGATTAAATGAACATTTTTTTGAAGGTTTATATCATTACTCGAGTAGAGATTCTATGTTAAATGTGAATATTATTACTTTGTTTCATTGATTTGACTTGGAAAATGAGTTGAAGTCTTGAAGTCTTGAAGAGTGGTTTGAAGAATGGTTTGAATAGAAGAGGTTGGAATTGAGATTGAGAGTGAGGTTGAGGTTAAGGTTAAGGTTAAGGTTGAGATTGTGATTGAGGTTGTATGAAAAGGAGGGAGAGGAGGGGAGAAGGAGGAAGGGGGTATTTAATTTGAAATTTGGAATTTGATATTGGTGATGTGAGGTGGGATGTGAGGTGGGATGTGTGAGGGTGAGGTGTAAGATGGGTGGGATGTGTATATGAGTTTGTTTATATGTATATATTTGTTTATTTATTTATAGCAATAGATGATAAATTAAACAAATTAGGCAGGGTAAGCAAGGTAAGGAAGGTATGACAAAGGGATAGATACATATATATTATGAGATTTTAAATATCATTCTTGATATACTCATACTCGAGTACTCATATACTGATAATATTCTCTTTATTATGAGATATATATCCAAAAAAAAACTAGATATAATAGATGATTGTGTTTAGAATGACAACATGAGTATTACAACATCTTCATTCACAAATAATTCGAATAAATAGATAGATAGATAGATGCCAACTGGAGATTTTTGCTATGAAAAGAATTTCATCCTTTCGCTTGTTTTTGATTTAGTTCTGCTGATGCAAGTATAACTGCAATCATATAAGTACAAGTTATCCCAACTCCGGTATTTTCCTGTGGAGCTATGCTTATTTAACAATCTGCATTGCTATCTGTAGCTGTCGATAATGCTGTTCAGAATGCTGATTCATCGAATGCATATATCTAATCCATGCTCTCATTCAGCAACCATTTGGTCACGAAATATAGTGTCCGCATAACGAATATCCCCAATAGTTTACGTGCCGGTATTTCAATCCTAACGCCAATATCCGTATCGTCTCTCTCATTCTCAACTCTCTCACCCTATACCATTATCCCCCTATCTCCTGTCATCATGATTACCCCCCGGCGGAGGCATACCCGGAAATCCTTGGATCCCCGGCGGCGGCATGCCTGGAAATCCTCCTGGTGGAGGAATTGGGAATTGAAAATTGGGCGGCAAGCCACCTGGAGGAGGGAACGGCATCCCACCAGGCATTCCACCGGGCATTCCACCGGGCATACCCGGGAATGGTGGCATGGGTGGCGCACCAGGTTGTCCAGGTAATGGAGGCATAGGGAAACCTCTTGCGCCAGGTGGAGGGAAAGGCATACCGCCTGGACCAGCAGATGGAGGAAATGATGGGGGGCCGCCTCCGGTGAAGGGGGCTGGTGGGAAGCCTGCGAAAGGTGATGCGGCTGCGGGGTTGTGGAGCATAGGGTTAGAGGAAGATTGACCTTCGGCGGCGTAGGAGGATGTTATGGAGTCGATTACGGATTGCGCTTTTTCGTGACCGATTTCTGAGATTGAGAATGATGGGTTAGTTTGTTTGTAGTTTGGTTATAGGATGGACATGGAGAGAATGGAACATACGTTGATAATAATCGACGACATTGCGCAGATGGTTACGTCCAGTGTTGTGGGCTTTGCGCACACTCATCGAGTCGTGAGTGAGGTAGACATCGCAGTAATCGCCTTTGAAGATGTGTTAGCAAGCTATGCGCGAAACTGGAGCTGGAGCTCAAAGAGTCACAAGTCGCACGGCGCGTTATTTTCGTACTTACAGAAGACTGCGATAATAATTAGTATATACTTCAGAATCGCGCTTGATTGGAAACTTACATTTTGGCATTTTGGCGGTATTAAATGACTCAAACTGTTGATATTGTCGTTGAGGTTGAAGCTTAAAGATAACTCCAAACCCAAACCTAGAAGTTTAAACTTCGCTGTCACGTGACACATAATACGGCCATCCCTGTACCCCAAACCTTACACGTCGTCTAATTCTTGGGTTGCCGCGATCTGGTTTCTGAATCTCGAGAGCTGCATTTACAAATATCCGCCGAAGCTCCTTGTTTTCCACACGATCAATTCGGTTTCTGCACATCATGGCATATTCAAGGTCGTTTCTGCAAATACTTTGCACTTTCTTTCTGGTATTAGCAGTTGCGGAAGCACTGAAATTCGATATCGACGCTTATCACAAAGGGGACAAGAAGGCAGAGAGATGTATTAGGAATTTCGTGGCGAAGGATACTTTGGTAGTGGTTACGGCTACGATTGATGGTTCAAAGGGGGATGGCATGCAAGTCGATATGCACGTAGGTTTTTCTGGGATTGACTCCAAGGAAGTCTGGGGGCATGCTAACACGAAAGGATAGATTAAAGATGCTGTTGGAAATGAGTATGGAAAACCAAAGGACATTGTAGGCGAGAAGAGAATGGCCTTCACATCTCACGCCGATGCATCATTCGATGTATGCTTCTACAACTACTTTGCAGCATGTTCGTTGTCATTCCTTCATCTCCATTCCCGCCAGTACTAACTCGCACTTAGCAAACCGTATCAACAATCCTCGCCGACACGTTGAACTCGATATCGATATTGGAGCCGATGCTAAAGATTGGTCCGCTGTCCAGGCTACCGAAAAACTCAAGCCAGTCGAGACTGAATTACGGCGCATTGAGGAAATGGTCGCGGAAATCGTTTCGGAAATGGATTATCTCAGGCAGAGGGAACAGAAGTTGAGAGATACAAATGAGAGCACGAATACTAGGGTTAAATGGTTTGCGTTTGGAACTATGGGAATGTTGGTCTCATTGGGAGCATGGCAGGTGGTCTATTTGAGGGCGTACTTCAGGTATGTTTTTGAAATTGTTAAGGGAAGGAAACTTGATGCTAACATTTGGGGAACAGATCAAAGCATCTTATCTAAATTTCCGTACGATGATCAGTGTGAGGGCAACGGCTTACAGGGAGTTTTACAACGAATAAGACCATTTACTTTACTAGAGTGTGAAGACATTTGTATAATGGAAATATGAAGATATCAAAAGTTACCACAAATCAGTGTGAAGAAGTTGCTCTTGACTCCTGATGAATATCGCATTGTCAGTTTCCATGAGAGAAGAGTTTCAGAAGTTTGAATCTTTCTTCCTCATGCATTGGAAAAGCTAATTTATGAGTTATAGGTGCCACCAGTGGCACTTATTAAATGCATTCTTCGTATTAAGTTATTGTCTCTATTCCCTAATCCAATACTAAAAGCATTTAGCGCCATGCCGATTGCACTCAAACATCTCAACAATAGCTCCTCGAACCATTTCTATGCCAAATATAAGATTCCTTGTCCCAATATTCAATAAGATTACCCCTCAAAGCTTTCCAAGTCATTACCCTGTGTTTCTTTGCTTATTTACTTCGTCTTCATTTATTTCTTGTTTTTTATTCCTCTCATTCGTCTTCTCCTCCTCCTTCCTCTCTCAGCCCCTTTCCCTTCAATTGCAGCAAAAGGTCCTGAGTATAATCCGCTGAGAGCTTTACTCATGGCCTCCAGCGCATGCGCATGCGCATCGTTGATATCTACCACTTGTACGGGTACTTCCGTTGATGGCAGTATCGTATATTGAAACTTCGTCACTATGACATTTGTTCGAGCGATATATGGTAGTATGGTAGTATGCTAGTACGTTCACTAACCTCTGTTACTATCCGTAGCTTATTCACGTAACAACTGAGTTAGAAACTTACTCGGCACCCATCTTCAGGAGCTAGTGACGGTGTCATATTTATGTTCCTCGTGATTTAGAGTACTGGGTGTGTAGATAAAAATACAATATCAAAGTTGCGAAGGGGATACTTGGGAAGTGCCACTAGTTTGGTTGGTGGATACAATCGAGGATGCTACAATGAATATGCATATGAGTATTATATCTAAGGATCGGGTGTCTGGGAAGAAAGATCTCAAGATATGAGCCGCGATTAGGGTCATATTGTGTTTTCTTGGGACTACTGATAGTTAGTATATACTATGGAATATTAAAAATATGTAGGCTATGATTTGGTGGATCTAGTATACTACTCGAGTAATATAAAATTCGTAGCTCATGACAAGTAAGCAGGAAGAGAAGATGGAGTACCTGGTCACAGTATGTAAGATACCTCACGACATAGGAGATATATTCGAATGAATATGCATGAAGAGAAATTTCCAATCAGAATATAATGTACGATAGCATGATGCAAACGTCGGTATCTATACACGCCATTCGAACTGTTCTCGTTGAATAGAGTTGGATTGATATCTAGGGTAGATTGAGTGGTCATTGGTGCATATGAAGTGTTGGGTGATTATTCCAATAGTTTGGGAATATAGTGTAGTGTCAAAGTGAAAGATGGAAGACGGAAAGCAATTGTATTGATGTTTAGTATTTACAATTATATATGGGAGTTTACCCTTTTTATATGCCAGATGATGGGACTGGGACTGTCCTTGAATTGAGATATCATAAACTTTCATCTTCTCCAATTTATTAGGCCATCTTTTGTCATGATCAGAGATGTTTGAAATGCTCATACATCAATCTTCTATTTTCTCCAGTTTAGACTGTCTCTCGAAACTACTTGATTATCATAAACTTCTACTCAAGTATCTTCTCCAGTTCACGCTACTCTCTGTATCCACAAGGTTCCAGCAGAAATTGTAAGAAGAAGTCCGCGCATTAATAAAGACTTCATCATCGCTGAGAGTCATATCATATCAGTTTTGCTGCCAACTCGGATTGAAAAAGCCCCGAACTACGCATCCCTTCGCTGAGATCTAGCATAATAGCTAGACATCTTTTGGTAGACAACCAAACAGCCAAACAGCGTAATCGGTTCGTCGTCGTCATAAAATTCTCCATATCCCTCTGGCGATCAGTCACATCTTCATTCATTCAAGGATTTTTCTCTTCTCAAAACATACGAATCCAAGTAATTCCAAGTAATTTCGCTCAGTACTACACCAAATCTCTATGGAAGATACTTTTACCTGGCATTTCATTATATTGTAGCCACCAAGCAGTTTTTGCGCCCAACATGCATCTTGATTTATGCTATATTTATTGCATTTGATTCCAAGAAAAAGTTGTGCTATGCTATGCTTGTCAAAGATCCAGTTCTCTCGTTATTGATATTTACTATCTGTAGCAATCTCTTCTAATTCGTATTTCCAACTTCTCCTTCTCTAGCATTTCCGGATACTATATACACCTCGCCTGTCTCCTCACAGTTCCATCTTCTAATCTTGTCATCTTTCATGATCTTTATCCAACATAATTATTATTATACAGCGTTTGAAAACTCCCATCCTATCCTATCCTTCAGATTAGGATAGGCAGGATGATAGTGTTTGGGGGACTAGGCAGGATAAGGATTTTCAAAATTTTCGGAGGTTATAATAAGATATGAACAATTTAGGATAAGATAGTAAAGGATATTTCAAACGCTGCCGAGATATGCCCACAACACTCGAGAGTTCCCCATCCGGGCCATCCAATCCATTCGCTTTCATCAAACATAGGTAATCCCTCCATTTCCATCCACCCAAATATTCATACACTGTACTCTATACCTCGATCCCTTTCCCTTTCCCTTCTCCTCCAAACCCACCACGGACCCAGCCGCGCCTTTCAGGCTTCAAGCTTCAGCAATCAACATCAGTTATTTCTAGACCGACCATCTGCATCTATTATATCTGTTACCTGATTATCCTGATACGACACTCAAAGCCCGAAGCTTGAAGGTTGTGCATCAAGTAAACTGTATATCAGTAATCGATAACCAACAATTATTCATATTTTGCAATTGTGAATAACTTGCCTTTTGCATACCTAGGTACAGTACATTGATATTCTTTCGTATTCCCGGCGTTGGACCCTATGGCTTCTGTACGAGTTACTTCTGCCAAAAATTCCTGGCTCGCTTGTGAGTTGTGAAGCCATCTGCCATCTGCCATCTGCCATCTCTACTGCTATCTGCTATCTGCTATCTGCCATAACCCAATCCTATAATTAGTATAATATTATACGGGTGCGAAAGCCAGCGTGGACTATTGCGGATGTTTATTGGGTTTAGTGTTGAAACTATGATGTGATTAGATTGATAGTAGACCTAGGTTGATTTTTTGAGTCTTCTGATTTGGATTTGAAGCCGGCATATGCAATCTCCCCTCCTCTCCTGAGCCCTAAAAATTCTTATATTCTCTTATACATTTGTTGATTTCTCCTGATCTATCTTAATCTTTCAAAAATTTCGATTTATTCTTTTCCTTAACAAAAAAAAAACTCGATAATTTAGAATATATCTAAAATGTTTATTAGATTCTTGATCTTATCAATATAATAGACTTATCTAAATAGAAAATAATTTTAACCTTTCTTTTTATTTCCCCTTTTCTTCTAAATATTTTTGGAATTTATATTCTTCTTCAATATTTCCCCTTTTTTCTAATCTATCTAATTCTTCTAATTGAAGCTATTTTTCCTCTCCTTTAGCCAAGGAGAAGAGAGGAGGGGAGTTTGCATACGCTGTTTGAAGCTATTAAGCATCTTTAGTGGATTTTATACTTTATTGTTGTAACTATTCAAGATTCGAGCAGTGGTAAGGAATCAGGACCTACGATGAATAGATATGTGTGTGTATATGTAAAGGTCGTCTTTACTCAAATAGTTAACTGGTTAATAATAATATCTAGATTTGATGTTTTGGATATCATTCCCTTTAGTGTCAGATATATGATACTTCTTATTTCAATATCTAGATGGAAGTAAATGCACATTGGCAATGCAATAATTTCATTATACAATGACGAAAGATAATAGGGGAAGGACGATCGAGGCTGATTTGAATAGAGTAAAGTATATCAGATGGCATATAATATATAGATACCGGAATACATGTACATCGAATGAAAAAAAACCTGTACAAAAAGAAAAGATAGGGAATTACTTTTCTTATTTATGTTTGCAATGCAAAACAAGACAAGGAAGAGAAACACTATGGATCTCTGATATTCAAAGAATATATAACACGACAGTATAAGAACCCTAAGCTCAGTCAAATTTTGAGGAAACAATGAGGGCAGTCAGCCATTACAGAATGATGAAGGAGTGGGAGGGGAAGAATTGGATGATGGTCAAATTCAGACTGATGGATGGATGGATGGATGGATGGATGGAAAAGTTGGCTAAGATGGAATGCTGTTTGCGAGTACCATTAAATTGATGACCGTGACAGTCGATATTTCAACATTTCAACTATAGTGGAATCTTGAAATTCTGAATAGGGACTGAAAAAGATAAGAGATGGATGCTGAAGATTACACATCCAAGAGATAAGACAATGAAAATTCATCACAAAGAAGATAAAAGTCCCAAAATTTGATCACTTTGCCTATGAACTTCTACTTGCGAAATCAAATTAACCATACTGTCTATCTGTCATCCGCAAATTATAATTTCCAAAAGCATATATCTGTCCCGCAAATCAAATTCAAATTCAAACTCAAAAAACATCGACAATTATGCAGTCAATACTGTAGCCCAACGAGACAGCTAATTAATCTTTTGAGATTAGGAGCTTAGCTATAAATCTACGTGGATAGCCTTCATGAAGCAATCACCACAAAGCGGAAGATGTACAGATTCGCGAACATGATCAGTGCAGTCAGAAAGAGGGGAAGATAGATTGCGTCTAGATACGGGGGGAGATCGAATTCGTTGTCGAAGAGCATGGTCACGAAGTCGCTGGGAATTGGTATTGTGACGTGTCGGGGGAAAATAAACGGGGGATGGGCGAGGACCAACTGATCGGTGGCGGGGGTAAGGGGTTAAGCCTCGCGCTCTGGGTCAGCGATTGCTGGGTCTGGGTAGCACTCGCTCTCCTTCTTCGTTGGTATTTATAACCTGTTCCTCGTTCTTGATATCGGCAGATACCTCTTTTTTGGTATCCGCAAACTCGACTTGCGTAATAATATCTCTAGCTACCTTCTGAAAGTCACTAATTTCAGTCAATATAGACGCGCACTGTTCCTTGAAGTCCTGGCGCAGTGTGGAAAGTTGGCTTTCAAGCATTGCAAATTGCTCTTTCAACCGAAGCTCTCTTAATCGAAGCTCGGTCGATGAGGGTGTGGGTGTGAAGTTCTTGATTATCAGTTCCACAGAGGGCGATAGGACCAGTTGGGGGGATGGTGGAATATAAACCAAAGAGCTCTAAGTTGCTTCAGGAATATAAGTGAAGTTATCACCACTTCGCTCCTTGAATTGAATGGCGAAATTGGCTGTGGGGCCGTTGCGTTGAGGTGTGTGTTCAGAAATGATAGCAGTACCGACAGAGATAGTGGCTGCACCGGTATATACACTTTGCATGGTGGCAGGCACCTATTGGTAATAGTCAGTTACATGTTCCTTGGGAGATAAGGTTTGGCGAGCATACTTGGGCTTGCTCAGATTGGATTGAGATATGGTTGGTTATCGGGCCGATGGCAACGAGAGATGAGTTGTTTTGGTTGGACATATTGCTTTAAAAGATGATGATGGATCGCGAGGTAAATTGAAATTAAAATGGTAAACGTGTGATTGTGAAGTTGAATGTTGATTTGAGTAGTATTGTGCAGGAGTTTGAGTGATGGAGAGAAGTAGTAAGACAGAATCTAAAGTGCAAATCGTCCATCCATTGAATACCCTTTTCGTGCCTCGTACAGTTACCTATTACAGAATATGTATATAGAATCTGTTATTGAGAATCTGTCACTGAGAATGCTACCTAGTCGTGTCATAAAAGGTCACGGCAGATGAAAGATACGTACCTTATTCAGACCGTCAAAATCAATCTGCCCACTTAGGCGCCCATCCGGCCCATCCGCAACCACTCAACGCAGAGATTCAAGTGATCGACGACAAGCAATCAACCATACATACACAGAGACACCCCTCCAGATCGCTGCAATCAGCATGCATATACCCACTTAGGTACTTCACCTTGCATCTCGACCCAAACCCTCGGATCACGGACAGTCATCAGATAACCATTCACCAATGAAATCCGTTTTATTTGTATCCAATATCCAATATCTAAACTCAGTAAACAGAATCAATACAACTGAATACTATCAACAACCATGCTCTGATTACAATCTATCAATCGAAACACGCACCCAACATCGACCAACACAACCCCGGACACAACCTTGGACGAGCTTGCCATTGACCACTTACCTGTTCAAACTTCAGAAGCCATGAAGTCAAGGGCAACCATAATGCGATTACTTGCATTACTACCCTACTTTGTCCTACTAGGTCATGGCTAGCCAGAAATATGTCATGAGCCATTACTCTGGGTTCCTGTGTCAATTACAGCTCCGGGGTCAAAATAGCGCCTCCTTCAAGATATGATAATATTAAACTCACAACGGCAGACAGACAAAGGATGTAACTATTCTCTGCAATGTTGCATTCATGAAAAGAAGTCTGGGCAAAAGCCTATGTTTGGTCGAAGTCCTCACGTATTGATTGCTGCGTCGTTGTATTCTGTCCCGGTCGTCAATACGGGCCCATTAAATAGTCGGGTACCGGTATTCTTACTGACCAATAGTATTGATTTCCTATCAAGTTCGCTCCTACCCCATATCGCACCAACCAACCAAAAACGTTCCGTTCCACCCACGGTCCATCTCGCTTATCCCACCACACAAAAACGACCCCGCCGCCACAACCTCAAACCTTTTGGCAAAAAAAAGAAACTCCAAAACATAGGAATTGAATGGAATCAAACCATTAATTTTTCAATCCAAGCTGTTACACTTGGCGGTGCTGGGAATCGAACCCAGATTGAAACGGACCAGCGTGAAACTCCTAAGAGGAAGAACCACAACGTCACGTGCTACCATTACACCACACCACCTATTTCTTTTTCTGCTTGAGAACTGTGTATTTGGGGATATATAGAGAGTAAAATATAAGTGGAGATGCGTCGGGGGATATTCGGGGTTACGTTTGGTTGCTGTGGGGTGATTTGTGATGAATCTCAATAAATTCTCACAATAGTCGGCTCTCCATGGAACGGGCCGCCTGGTTCCCAAGTCGGGGAAAGCGATTGTCCCCTTCAATCTTCAAGTATTGGATTATCTATATAACACCCCCAAAAAGATTATTAAGAATTACATTACAATTTATGAGATATTATTTCTTATTACTTCTTCAATATACATCCTCTTTTTCATTATTGACTATTAGTAGTCGTCGGTCTTTGGTGTATTCTAATGAGACTATGAGGTTGTGCTATACAATCTAATAATGAAATGAGAAACAGAGGCTTGCTATCATTTATCCATATATTCATATATTCATACTAAGATCATCAATCATTCTAATCAATCATCTGATATTCTAAATGCCATTGACAACTTTCATGTAAGTTCGTGGACATGTACTCGAGTATACAAAGAAGAGCAAGGGACACGACTCTTGCCCTTGAACCACCGATGGCCACCAATACTGGGTATATAAGAAAATCCACCTCCTTCTTTTGCGAAATTACAGTCCAGTCATTACACAACCTCAAGCATCCTATCTGATAACGCCACTACGACCTTTCTCCGGATCCGCTACACTCTCTTCACTGTCTCCGCCGGCAAGTGTATTCTCCGCATGTACCGCTGTTCCATTACCGCTGCTGGTCTCCTCCTTTCCTATTTCCCTTCCGTCCGCTGCACTTTGGTCCCTATGAATGCGATCTTCCGTATTCTCATAATCAATCAGTAGTTCCCCATTTCTTCCATATCTTGACGGTTGATGCCTTGCCACGCTTACTGCACCAAACCAACTCTTGGTCTTGATGAATATCGTATCGATTTCCTCCAAACTTCTATATGCAGTTTCTGGGTAGAAGAAATATATAACTGGCATGATAAAAACGTTGATGACAGCAAAGATAATATAGGTCTTGTATCCAATTGAATTGAATGCCACTGGGGTGATCATCACAACCATGAAGTTGAAAATCCAGTTGGCGGATGTGGAGAGACCATTGGCTGGAGCACGGATTTTGAGGGGTACAAGTTCGGCTGGAAGTAACCAAGGAATTGACAACCAGCCGACTGCAAATGCTGAATTGAAGACGAAGAGGAACACGGCGGAGACGACACCAGGTCTTGAGCCGCCAATGTGTTTTTCGGAAAGGTAGTTCATGATAGCGAGGATGACCATACTAGCCACCATACCTACCGAACTCCACAACATGAGATCGCGACGACCAAATCGTTCGATTGTCCAGATGGCAACGAAGGAAGCAAGAAAATACTCCGTCCCATTGGCGGCTGCGAGAATACGGGAAGTTTGGCCGTCAAGACCAATGTACTTTTCGAAAATCGTAGCTGCATAATAGGTGATGAGATTGATACCCGAAATTTGTTGAAATACTTGGATGAAATATGCGAGTACAACACGATGAAAGTGACGTTCCGGGCCCATGGTAAATAAATCACGATAACCGTAACTAGACATCTCGAGGACTGTATCTTTGATCTCAGCGAACTCCGTGCGGACGAGATGATCATCTGGAGGAAGATCCGCAAGCGCCGAAAGAACGCTCTTAGCTTCATCTTCTTGCCCCTTGAGAACAAGCCAACTAAATACTTCATTAGTTTGAACCACGTCGAACATTCGGAGAAGGTACCTACCGAGGAGATTCTGGAAGCTCAAGAATGAACGCAAGTAACAGAAGGGCCGGAACAATCTGAAAAGCAATCGGAAACCTCCAAGCTACCGTGCTTGGTTCCAAGAAAGAGAATGCAAAATCAAGCCAGTACGATAAGGCAATACCACCCGTAATCATGGTACCCTCAATCATGACCATTTTCCCTCTCTTATGAGATCTCGATGTTTCCGAAGCCCATGTCGGAACCGTACTTGTACTCATGCCATTTCCAAAACCGGTGATGACACGTCCAGCAATGAGTTGACCGAGACTAAAAGCAGATGCTTGGAGAATCGCTCCAATGATCATGATTGAGGAACCCAGGAATATCATACGACGACGGCCAAGAATGTCTCCAATGAAAATTGTAACAATGGCACCCACGAAACAACCGAGGTTGTAACTGGCCACTGATATTCCTTGGATAGTGGATGTGTAGTTGGACGTATCGTGAACAGTATCGATTTCAGGGAATGTGGCGACGAAAGATGGAAGAGTCAATAATCCTCCCCTAAAAATCTGTAAGCTCAATCCTATCCTATCATCGCTTCGGGCGATTCGGAGTCCCCATCGCAAACTTACATTACACCTTGGTCGTAACCGAAAAGACTGTGAATAAGTTAGCTGTGCATAAATAGGTATTCATTACCCAATTTTGATCCCGGAAAAACATCGGAAAAGCAATTGCAAGGGCATCATCAGCATGGAAGAAGGGTAGTATTTAACCCCACCCCCACCTTTCTCCATAACCTTCCCCAGCCATTACCTTCCCCAGAAACTCGTACAGTGGGTACATGATGCGCTACGCACGATAATTCTTGGATAGGAACAGAATACTTACGCAAAATCTAATCCAGCAATAGTAGTAACAGCGAGATTCAGTCTCTGGCCTCTGAGACCGAAATGTCTTCCACCACCAAACATATTTGCGATTGTCGTGTTTCTGAAATATATATATATGCCGGTGGAAAATGGAAGAAGGCTAGGAATCTGTAAGATACTTGTCTCTCAGATCATCTACCACTTCGTCCTCGCACGACAGTACAGTGAGTATACACGAAAGCGGAAGAGAGTAAGGTAATGTAGCACAAACGAAAACCGAACGATAAACTGGAAATTTGCAGCAGATGTCCTCAGTCTTATAATGAATTGGCCGCATCACTCTTCGTTCGCTTGGTACTTTACAGTACACCTAAAGAGTGAGCGTTAGCATTTCAGGAAGGTACTCGCAGATCCCTCGTACCCCCTCCCCAAGTCATATAGAGCAAACATCCCGGTATACTAGTAGGAAAAGCATTCGAGAAGCCGGTAGAATATATGTACTCTTCTACATAATCAAAATTTACTATCATCATCTTCCAATGAAGATATCAAATCAATCTTAAATAGAATACGTAAAACGAAATCGAAAAACGAGATCCTGTCTATAATTTCAATATTTACCTAGATTATGATGTTTGAAAAATAATTGAACAATTCATATTCATACAATAGAACAAGATACTTTCTATCTATTAATCCTGGCTATTATCTCATTACTGTAGAAATATACTCCGGTTCAATAAATGCGTAAATGCGCCTTTCCAAGGTTACATCCGCCCCGTCTTGGCTACGTACAGACACAAAAGTCTGGAGACCCCACAACGTCATGAATCAAAAAAACGAAACCTTATGCGTGACCATGTTTTTGACTCCGCGCCCCGCAATGTTGATCATAGTGGAGATAACCCTTTTAAACCGTCAAAGGCAACAGCCGAGAAAATCCCCATTCGTTGCGCTTAGAAGAAAGTTATGCGAAAGGGGTAGTCCGGAGCGGGTCCGGGGTCTGGAGAAAATCGTCAAAGCTTGGCGCTGATTAACGGTAAATTTTCCGGGGAAGTCTTATTTCTTGTAGGCTCTTTTGAATCCTATATCACAAGCAGAGTCAACCTTGGGAATGGCAGTTATGACGGACGGCGGAAGCTGAGAAGACTTCAACGATTTGGGCTCGAGATATTATACTCTCTGTTCGATCCCAGTATATGGTCACGTTTTACTGACTAGAGCCAAATAGAGACCCGCCATGTCTGCGACGTCAATATGACACAAAACAATGATCACGTTCCTCCGAAACTTTCACGGATAAGTTACCTATGGTTCTCTACAAAAGACTATCAAAGACGGACATCGAATTATCTCTACCCAACCCAAATAACCCCTGCCACGAAAACAACGCGTACGAACGAACGTGTCTTGGCGTTGGTTATATACAGTACTCCAAATCAGATAGTCCAGACCATGAAGTATAAGAGCAACGCTCTTTTGTACATGTACACCACAGATATAAGGCTCAGTGGTACTGTTCGATGTAAAGATCTCGCTGCTACAGTATGATTCACCCCTAACATTAGATCAAGCAAGGCAAAAAAGGCTAGTATCATCGACCACGAACTGGATCAATCAGATCATGATGGTTCGACACGACATAGCAAAAGTCTAGACCTGAGTAAAACAACCATCTCTCGGTCCATGACAACTATGCTTCGAAAATGCATGCTAAAGCTATCGGAGCTCTCCGATGTTGCATTCTATGCATATATACTGTACTCCTGATGCAAGGATTGCTATAGGCTCGGGCGCCGAGTATTGGTTGACTGTTGGTCATTGGTCATTGGCTGACTTCCCCGGTGCGCTCCGCACCATCAGCACCAGGCGAAAAGAACTTATATCGTTTGTTGTAGGCCGAGATCATGTTCCAATACATACTGCCATTATGTCGGCCATTGTACGTGATGCCTTTTTTATGGTTGCAGGACTAATAGACCTTAAAGTTTATCATAGCCCCAGGCACAGGAGAGTAATGAAGATGTTTGTTCTTCTCATGGGTCTGTTCATCCCCCCATGGTCATATTTCTTTATGAACGATTAAGATTGTGGAAGTGTCCCCCTCAGAAGCAACGTTCTTTATCACAATGGGAATCTTCCATCTAGTGGCGTTGTACTTGCAAGAGGAAGAAGGTACTCATTTAAGATTCTCCAAAATATTGTTGTGTATTTCGAATATGCAACAAAACATATCTCTCTCCCTCAATAGTTAGGAAATATAGTGAAGTGGGAAGTGAGAAGTGACGAGGTAAGATGGGATGATATAGTACCGGGTGTTTGGGCTTGGGATGTATATTCATCACTCTCGTCTCATATCATTCTAATTCACTCCTCACCCCCACAACAAAATCTTTTGTTGCATATCTCAAAAAGAATTATATGTTTCAGATCCAACCCCTAATAGCAGATATGTCCTTGATAATAGTTTATTACATCGACTGGGAATAAGGGCACCTAGAGAATTTATTTCCGACTTTTGGTAATTCTGAAAAAAATAGAATCTTTTGAGATATGCAACAGAAGGTTGATTCTTATGGTTTGGCTGGTGAGGTATGTTTTAATATCTAAAACTCATTCATCTGAGGACAGATTATATTCGGAGGGTATTTAGCACGCATATCCTTCATCTATTGATGATTGTCCAGTGACAATATCGTCGTTGGTTCATATACATCACATCCGGCTTGATCAGAAGATCGCCGAAATACTGAAGTATACAGTATCAACCATCTTCAATCTCAACAGCCTTCCTTGTCTTTGTGTTAAACCATGGCTGGCCAGTAAGGAATCAATCAACGACTTTATTTACAACTAGTTTCAGTATCGTCTTCTGTCCAAACGTCCCATGCCATCTCATCGTCACTGCTCAAGTCAATAAACTTCGTCTTGTTATGAATCGAAGCATTGATGCGCCTGGTTATTATATTATAGGAAGCTTCAGGTGAACCGGCATTTAAATTCAATACATTTACCTGATTTCCGAGGTCCCTGGAACCTCCCATCCAAAATCAAACAAATGAACGATTATTAACCATCGCCAATCGCCATGCCATACTATCTCCTCCTCGAACACGAATCTCAAACCCCCGAAAAGCAATGATATAGCCTGCGACGGGCTGTAGAAAAGCCCCGCAGGATTTTATTACTTAGCGATGCTGTTATTCGTATGCAGCGTTTGCGTCATGTTGTTGTCGACCACCTTACCTCCAGCTTTTATACGCAGCTTGACCTGACATATTGACCTTTATTGGCTGCCTGCTGTGATCTGATGGAGATGATGAGTGTTTGCATATATATTTATGGAGTGAGGTGTTTAAGGTTTGAATGTTTTGTTCTTGCTAGTATTTTGAAATTCATTGCCACTGCTAGTATTTGATTTGAGGAATTTTAATTCTACTATACAGATATTATCATTATATTCCGTAGAAGGTCGCATTTCTTTGCATCTGTAGATAGCTGAGTAGCTGCTCAGTGATTCAGTGTATATGTGCTTCTTGTATTAGAAACTGGCTCACGAAGTAAAACCATGTCGAAGTGGATGCTATATTGTGGTTATTATAGTATTACTATTATTGTTAGTCTTTAATCTAATTAGCCTTAATTATAAGACGAAAGAAACTGATACGAAATGGATGTTATAATGATTATAGAACTAATATTATCAGTCTTTACTTGTAATCTAATTAGCTTTAGTTATAAGACGACAGAGAACGATGCGATGAATATTATATTATAGTTATTATAGTATTACTATTATAACGATTATAGAACTATTATTATCAGTCTCCAATTTAATTAATCTTAGTTATAAGACTATAAAGAACGACTATTCATTGCTCATTTCGATGTTTCATCTCTATAGCTCAAACACTGCTCGGAATCCTGGTCGTGCAAGGAGGAGTACACAACGCTTACGTCAACAACAAATTAAGGGAGTTAAGACTTTATCTCAAGTAATACCGTCTTGTGTATATATCACCTAATCATTTACCAGCACCGTCATAAGTTTGACATACACATAGAAATAACGAAGATCGGGGCTTCAATCTTATAAACCAGAAAATTGAGCTTCTAACACTGTAACACATAGCTTCCAGGGATACTTCTATAGATTGTGGTACCAGGAATCTCCGATTAATTGCATTCAAATGCCTTCAAAGATCAGAGAAATAGAAGATGCAGATACGTCTTATAAGCTCGCCAATCTCAGTCTAAACCACCTATCCCGCATCGTTTATGACTTCAAAATCATGACTTGGTGAAGGATCAGGGACCATATCTTTTATGACTCGTGATTTTGGGGATCGGCGTTTTTCGGGCTCACGTTACCGGGATGATATCGTATGCCAGTGGGAGAAGGCGGGGGGATTAAGCCCTTATCAAAGTAGCCCTTGTCATTCCATAAGCCCTTGAGTGTACTGGCCCAATCACTCACCAGCTCGCACATCATCTCCCCTGGCTGGCCCACATCATAGATCGACCAGCGCTCCCGTTCCTCAATGGGCCTAAGTATCCAATCTGGGTAAACCACACAGATGACTGCAAATTCCGGCTGTAATCCCAATTCGCCAAGCGCATTCACATGTCCTTCTGTACGTCATGTTGTTAGTATTGGCAGGCGGGAATTTTGTCGTTAACAGATGTATTCACAATTCCACCTACCAAATGTTTCTTCTGGATCCATCTTCATACTCTCTGCCCATTTCTTGTTCACAAAAAGTCTTACCAGAATGCCCATCAAGTCCCTTGTCTTACCAAACTTGGTAGGGATCAATTCTGGAGAGTCATTGGCTACCATTTCATCGTATTCTTGCTTAATCTCGGCAGACACGGCTTCGTTGCACCCAAGCCATTTCATGATACCTATGATATCATCTTCTGCAGGCAGTTCCATGTGGGGCTCATATCGATCGTGTCCCACGTTCAAGCTTGGATGGAGGGATGTGTTGTGGCCTCGTCGAAGTAGTTCTTCGATGCGAGGTGTCCATTCAAACCCGAGTTTATCTTTATCGATTGTATTTGGATCGACTGCCCACCCGTCTGTGGACGTATCCTCATCAAGTGTATTTGGATCGACTGCCCATCTCTCTGAAGTCATGTTGATAAAAAGATTAGAGACTGGATGGTTTATTGGAGAGTCTGGTTTAGAGGTTCATCGTATAGGTGTAAAATCTTAATTATTCACTGAAAGATGGCTCCAAAAGAAAAACCAGAACAGCAACAGCAAGCACTTTAATACTTTGGTGTCAACTCAGGGAGGATTAAATTTTGTTGGAAAGACCATATGAGTCATATGACCAAAGCCAATGAAGTGGCAATTAAGACCTGGTGATTTTCTAATTTTATTGCTTAAGTGGGGACTTCGGGTTCACCGTGATGTTTGTTGAGCTGCATGGGGCTTAGTCGTTCCCATGTGCCGTACAGGTATTTCATTGCCAATCGATCCGACGATTTCTCAGACATGTCTAAACGCCGAACCATACCGTCGGGTAAGGTTGACACCCATGAGTATTATGGTTTGAAGCAAAGGTCATTTCGTTGACATCTACAGTCAACACTTCTACCTCACTTCTTCACAAATCCTAATCGTTGAATCAAACTGTCGGATTGGAGATATATACACCCTTGCAGTAGACTGGATATATACACATACTTTGTAGATATGCAGATACTGAGCATATGCTTGCACTCTGACATAGTGAGTCATAACGATCGCAGAGATGATTTTTAGTTGACAATTGTCAACACGATCCCAATCACCTACTTAGCCGCTGAACCAGACTATCGGGCTGAAGGGCATAATTCAAGCTCATTTGACGAAGTATACGAATACCGGTACTTCACTTCACCTCTATAGTCCTAGCATAAGGCTGCGTCAAAGGTCCCTAATATCTTTTACAAGTAGCCTTCTATGCGCTTAGCCGCTGACTCACATGCTTGGTTTAAAGTAGTATACTACACCTTCATGTTCATTTGTTGAAGTAGACGAGTGAACACTTTGGCCCTAGGGGCTTAGCATAGAAAGCTAAATTAGTAGTCACATAGGAAAAATAAGGACTTTAAAATGAGGTGATGGCCAACCGTGTTTGAATCCTTTCTACAGTCTATGCCCGTTATACCTTCGTGTATATGCCCGCGTTTGCCATATAACCCATAAGTACGGGCCTCTTATCGTTGACTTGACCTCACTTCACTCATGTGTATACGCGCGGTAGATCAATTGGTACAGTTCAGTGCCTGTTGGACTGACGTTTGTTATTATTTGGACTCCTGTAGGATCAAATCGCCGGATCTCTTTCATGGCCAGGAGTAAGTTGAGGTCCGGACCTAGAAAAATCTGTAGCGATATTGACGATGCGTCTAATCTCCTGGAGTAAACTCCTAAATTTATGAAAGTTGATCTATGAATAGTTTGGATTCGAAATCATGGCCTCGGGACCTGGGTCTCACGTTGGCAAGCTGGGCCAGAAGTTGAGAGAGACAAATTTTGGAATATCATTATGATCTATATAATAAGCTTTAGAATCATCAAACAGTCACAAACCCAACGACTACCAAAGCATTCACATTGCTTCATTCTTCACTACTTACTATACTACTGTTGAGTGTTCCAGTTCTATTTCCTTTATACTAGCTTCCACATCATTTAACCCATATCTCGCAATAACGCCGAATCTCATATATATAAACGATGTCAGACAGAAAGAGCTCGAGCCCACCTCGCCATAGCGTCCCAAGTGGTGGACCTGGCAAGAAACCTTCTAACTCAAACCTACCTCGCCATAGTGCCCAAGGTAGATCTGACAAAAAGAATCTTAGCTCAAGCTCATCTCATCATGGCGTTCCACAGAGTGGTGGATCTAGCGAGAGACGTTCTACTCCGAGCCCGCATCGCCATGCCGCCCAAAGTGGTGGCACTGAGGAAAGACGTCCTAGCTCAAGCCTATCTCGCCGTAGCGTTCCGCCGGGTAGTGGATCTAGTGAGAAACGTTCCACTCCGAGCCCGCATCGCCATGCCGCCCAAAGCAGTGGCACCGGCGAAAGGCGTCCTAGCTCCAATGCGAGTTCGACTTGCCGTAGCGCTCCGTCGGGTGGTGGGTCTAGCGAGAAACGTTCCGCTCCGAGTCCGCATCGCCATGCCGCCCAAAGTAGTGGCGCTGGCGAAAGACGTCCTAGCTCGAGTTCACCTCGCCAGAGCGTCCCAGGTGGGGAAGCTAGCGGAAAAGATCTCAGTTTTCGGGCAAAAAATGAAGAAGCTTGGTATAAAGACTAAGATTTGTTCTAGTCTACTCACCTCATTCAAGGCTCCCAAAAATCCGGATTACAGTCAAACATTGAAAGACTATTGACCATTGACTTACATATGATCTCAATATAGTCAAAACCGAACGCAGCCGCTTTATCGCTCTTCTAAAGGAACAAAAGCTAAAGATTATTTCGACCTTGGCGGACTAAAGGACATCATAACAGATGCATCAGGAGACTTTAATAAAGCAGGAGAGGATGCTGCATATTTTGCAACCGACCCTAGATACGCCGAAAAACTTGCCAAAAAAGAAAAAATGGTTATAAAGCAAACTGTCCCTCAAACTTGGCTCCGAAGTGGGGATGCAGTAGTGTATGATGAACAGCCGAATGATGATTGGCGACAGGTAAGAGGTCCTTCTGTATATACGGTCGTTTGTTACAACGCACATTCTAACAATAGACGAAACAGAGAGTCCACGCAGACCGTCGTAGTGAGCCCCTTGCCGGACCCTCAAGAAAGACTCAGAAAGCCGATATAACAATTGGTCCTATTGCCGATACTCATACTTCGCATTTTACTAAGAATGACAAAGTACCTTCCTCTGAAGTTTTCAAGCCTGCAAAAGACCCGGAAGGAAACTACTACCAGCAGGTTGCAGTTAAGGGGGAAAAGTTGAAGGAAATTGGAAAATACCCACGGGAAGTATATAACCCCCGTCATACTTCTGAAGCAAAGCGCAACGCGAGCGAAAAGGGGGGAATTTAGAAGCTATTTATTTTTATTGTTTTATTGTTTTAGAAGGCTGCGATAGATTTGCTAGTATTGATTGTTCAATAAATTAAAGTCTTTCAAATGAATTGACTCTTCCAAACAAATAGAGTCTTTCAAATACACTGAATCTTCTGAATTATTCAAATAGTTTGAATCATTCAAATGGATTACATCATTCAAATGGAACGAATCTTCCGAATAAGATGATTCTCTCAAATGAACTGAATTACTCAGATAGTTTGAATCATTCAAATAGAACAAATTTTCCAAATAAGTTGATTATCTCAAATAAGCTGAATTACTCAGACAATTTGAATTATTCAAATGGATTTCATTATTCAGATGAATCGAATCTTCTAACCAAATTGAATATCTCAAATGAGTTGAATCTTTCAAAAGATTGCTGTTTCAAAGTTTAGAAATCCTCTTTCTTTGCGTTTTAATTAGAAGTTAAGAAACTAAAATGAGGAGTTCTATTTTATCGATAATATTCTATAAAAATTTCAAAAACTATAACAATTGAATATACGTATATTTCGTAAATTAGAACTTTTATAAGAATTCAATTTATTCAGCTCTAATATCTATAACATAACACTTTATACGCGAGTAATATAAACTTAGACTGAATAACTCTCTTAATATTATTCATAACTCTCTTCAAGTGAAATATAGACATATATTATATATTATACCGTTGAACTTCATATAGCCCTCAATTCAAGAGTATAGTTAATAGTTAACTAGTATTTAGACTAATATACTAATCAAACTAATATTTTCGATTTGTAAATCTAGACTATTAGTTAGCTTAGCCTAGTAGTTTATTTAGTAGTAACTAATAGCTTAACTAATAATTCAATTTTATAAATCTAATTATTGATTGATTTAGTATATAATATTCAAACTATTATTTCCCAATTTGCTAGTTTCTCAACTAGTTCAAACTACTAACTATACTGACTTTGAAATAGATACTTATTCAATACTCGAGTAGTTTTGATACTAAATAGAGTATTGATTATTTATATATGCAAAATGTTGAATATTAGCTGTAGTATATTTACTATTCAAGCTCATCTAGTCAATATCATATCAACAACTTAAATTTCCTTAGAGTTTATAGAAAGATTAAAATACGACATCATGAATTATCAGACTTCAGACTTGGGATATGATCGTAGGGACAATCTTTGGTCCGAATGAGAAACGCAGCTTGTTCAAAACCGCTTCGATACAACCTCTTGGCCATCGTCAGGTTCCACAGAAACCTCATCAGGCCTGAAATTAACTGTGTAATGTACCCCGATATCCCGAACGTCTAGTCTCCATTTTTACCTTTTCCACCTCTCGCTTATCCACCGCTCGCTTCTCCAACTTACTTTTTTCCACCTCCCTCTTCCCCCCTCTCTCCTCTCCAACTCCACCATAAAAACCTCCAAAAAATGTTTATTCCTCCTATACAACCCCTCATAAACATCCAAACCCTACTCTCTCACTATCAGCTATCTACTCTGTACCTGCCTCGCCCCTACTTCCAATAGCCTCTCAAAATCTCGGCAAGCAATATCCTGGGAATCAAAATCTCCCATGTGCATGAACAATATACTTCCAAATCTGTCGCCCTAGTCTCTTCTGACAAAAAAGGTCCAGCACTCATAATCATCTGTTTCGACATCAAGCTCGTAATCACCAGCACCCCAAATTATTCTGCAGTTGGCCTGGACTCTTTCCTTCGATCAGATGTCATGTTCGATTGGGATGTGTTGATAGGTTGTGAATTTAAATATCAGATGGATAGGTGGAGGATTCGTGCAGTTTGAAGTAGTTTCGATTTGAGACTATTTTATTCATTAGTTAGTAAGTTTTACTTTTTACTTTTTGCGATTTGATAAGTTTAGGAGATGTGAGGGGGAAGATACTTTTGTGGATCCAAACTAATCTTTCAGATGAAGAGCTGCGATATTCAATATTCGGATGAATATTAGATGTCGAGAAGGACTTTTGGTTGATGAAGGTTAACTTTGAAGGTTTGATGGAAATGAGGGGTAAAGGAACACAAGGTCTCTATAATCACCATACAGCATGGCCACTATGCAGTGTAACCTACTACATATGATTTCGTTTGATTAACCATGCACCTAGGAATTAAAAATTGCCGGGGCTATTAGTTAATTCCTAGTTAATATACTAACTAACTTTATAACTCTATCGACTTTATAAGCAGGTAATTAGTATAGCAAAAGCTTTATCTTATTAATCATAGCTAGCATATCCAGGAAGCGCTTCCTTGGGTCCACATATAAATTCTTCTATTGACGGGTCATATGCTGTAGCAATGGGTTTGCATAGAAAGAGCGTATAAAAAAAGGTGACGGTGTAAAAGACGATGTTCGCGATGATACCGAACCAGACAAAACATTTTATTCTTCTGTTGTTTTCGGCAAATCTGCGATGGAAACAGAAAAAGAATGAGAGTTTGATGGAGAGCGCTATGGGAATATATATTAGTCCTCCTACAAACAGGAAGTAAATGAGAGGAATCAGTTAGATAGTCAAAAGGATAAATACTACTCGAGTATACACGATATTGTTACTTGCCTCAAGGCCGATGATGAGCCATTCTGATGGGATGTCCTAGGTATAAGTTAACAGTACCCCAGACTATGATACGCTCGTAGCCTATGCATGCATCAGTCACAAGCTCTAAAAGTTTATTCTACTTATACTTACCCAAATAAAGAGGGTTCACATCTACTTTTTTAAGTGGCCTTTATTTGGACGATATGAAGCGCAGCATACATACATCCCCACTCAAATCCATATACTTTCGACATTAGGAAAGTCATTAATTTTGCAGAAAATTGCTACTGGAATGTTCTAATAACGTTTGGATAATCTAGCTGCACGTTATGTCTATCAAGAAAACACATGATATGCGTTTCTGAAGTTAAAAGTATAGACAGCGGGACATGGGCCTTCCAGGGGATACGGCTTAGAGATAGCTTAAGGTAGGGGTTACCTGCAGTTTGACTGGACTGAATGGGAAGATGCGAGTCTTTCGATACATCAAGGCACACTGGCTGACTGAATTTCCTATTCCAATAAAATTGTCGTCCTAATGTGATTGACATCTTCGATGGTGTGATATTATTACATGAATACGTTCAAGTAAATCTGATAGATTGGCAACTATTAGCTTAGCATGATACATCTAGTGTATAAATCTACATTTGCCGAGAATTTAGACTAATTTGCCGACTTCATCGTATCCGAACTTCTTTGAAAACTCCGCATTTAAGCCCGCTAGATCCTTTTCCCACAGTGGCGCGAACAGATCTTTGAACCAGCCCTTTCGGTGGCTAGTAAGGCCGAGATCATTCAACAGAGTGTCCATGTAGCCAAAGACCTCGAAGGTCATATTATTATTACCTTCCTCCCCACTGCTCAGATATCGACGTCGGTACCAAGTTGTAAACAGAGCTACATCTTTCTCCTGTTCTTCTTTGCTCGGTAAATTCAATTTCCCATCTAAATATGCCATCGCCCAAAGCGCTTGACACTCTAAGCTAGGGAAATAGTTTGCCACTCCTATTTGCCCCAGGAAGACAATTGAGCGGTCATCTTTGTCTTTGCTGGACTCTGATATTGGGGCTATATGTCGATACAATCGGTATGGAGTGTGACTAGGAGGCTTATGGTAATGCTCTGGCGGATTTCCGAGTTGCGGGAAGGTGGCCAGAACTTTGAGGTCAGCTTCTGTCTCGACCTTTGCCCAGTGAGCATTCTCAACCTTTGCATCATCATCCAAGATTCGAGGCAAGCCAAGTTCTTGGCACTGGGTTTGAGGAAAAAACTGTAGTGAAGGTACCCATCCGGTACCACATAGAATGACGTCTGAGGGTATTTTCTCCCCTGTTTTCAGACGGAGAGCATTGTCCTCCAAACCGTCAATGTCTCCGACAAAAATGCGAACATTCTGCGCAATAGTGTCGAGAAAGTCTTCGTGGTTGAGCAGCCCACCAGTACAATTTTGCCAGAAGATACTATTCTTTGTGTTAATAAGAAAGTAGTTGAGGGGGAGATGGATGACTTACGATGAGTGGGGCTCCAACTTGTCAAAGTTCTGTAGGCATTTACGATGAAAATCAGCAGACTTGCGGGCATCCTCATCAACAGTACCCCAAAAAGCGTTCATCATTCTCACACCATATTTGGTCGAATGAAGCAGCTTAGACCATGCATTTATCCCATTCATGAATGAGGGTGTAAAAGTAGCAGCCACTCTTGTCATGCTTATCTCGAAGGCATTTTTGTAGGGGCCCTTTCCATCTGGAGCAACAAAGAAGCCAGGACCGGTCGTGTCTGTACCCTTTATGACCCATGATACCTGCTTCCCAGCCTTGACTGCTTCGTAAGCCATGTCGGCAGATATTTTCCGGCTCCTAGAAGAGTAATCTTTTGTACCAAGGAGGAAGTCAAAACATCAGACGAACCGAAGTCTTCGTGGTGGAGTACCCGACCCTGAAAGTTTTCTTTTCCTGGTAATGAAGGCATGTTTGGAATCGATGTCAAACCACTTCCTATTATCAACTTAGGAGTCATGAAAGTATATTGATGTTGGTCGTTTCCTCGATCACTAGCTAAAATGGTCCAATAATCATATTTTTTTGAAACAGATTTGACTTCGAGTGAGAATTGGATTCTATCGCGGAGCGTTTTGTCGTCATATGTATGTGTATCAACATAGCTCTCGAGGTATCTTGTTGTTTGCTTAGCTTTGAAAAACTCTTTGTAAAGGTCTTCGTCTGGCGGTCGCGGCATTGCTTGGTCCGAAAACTCAGCTGTTCCTACCGTCCATTGTGTCCAGAATGTATCGTAGCCTCTTCCTATAATTGATACAAATTAGACCCAAATCATTGAGAATTGACAACCGGGTAAACGGGGACCAACGTGAATTCCAGGTTCCACCGACGCAACTATCTCTGTCAAGGATTACCAAATGAGCCTCTGGATGTAAATCTAAATAATGTTTACTGGCACAAATGCCCAAGATTCCTGTCAAAATAACATGTTACTAACAGAGTTGGATGTAAATGTACGATTCGTACCATAGCTTGTACTTACCTGCATCAACAACCAGAACATCTACCTTAACAACTTCGCTCATGATGTTAATCGAAATACACAAAATACACAAACCAAAAGGTTAAGTGACTTTTTTTGTTTTCTAATTGAAAAGTGCTGCATAAGGGATAGTAAACTAACTTGTAGTGATGTTTGTATTTTGTGGCTGGTTTGCGGCGAAGTACCCGGGTAATGCCAACCAACACCCTAGAAGCTGACAAGGAACTAAATGCAGCACCGTTAAGAACTAGATCCACCGAGCAAGGGGTCCAAATATCATATAACAATTGCGGAATTTAAACGGAGTGGCTTCCTTGGCTGACAGGTTGCGAATCTGGCGAAACTTATCCAATGAATAGGGCTAGCACCTCCCCTCCCCCCTTTACCCAACATAGATTCAGTCTACCGTATAATCTAAGTGACATAAGATTAAAATAGGCATGATTTTTGTGGCATGAGAGGAATGAATTCAATTTTAGTGGCATAAGAGTAATTTACCATTATAGTAAAGATCTCTATAAATCACTATAAAGTATAATCTACTATACATGATTTTGTTAGAATCCTTTCTATCAGTCTATTCTTCATCTAACACTTTTGTAACTTATCCAGATTGATAGGATGAATAAATCACAAACGCCATTTCTCGTCATGATCGTACCAATGTTATCTATACTACCCATGCCCTCCCTCCATAAATTCACCTTTCTAAGCCCAAATAGCTCTGAACTTTTCATCAAACTCTGTCTTCAACTTTCTGAATGCCCGATAAACAGTCATCAACTTCTGATACTCCTCGTCGTCTGTCGCTCCCGCACCACTCTCCTTTTCCTTCTCCAAATAATCCTCTTCGGCAGCCAATCTATCCTCACCCGCATCCCAATCATCTACCACCTTCTTTCTACGCACCGGCTGAGCTTGTTGAAGCTCACCGGATGGCGCAGAAACAGCTTGCGGAATTGCATCTTCGGCCATTTTCTCATCATTCTCGTTCTCAACGGAATCTCCTGCTCCCATGATATCAAGGAGTTCTGCATCAGTATCTTGGCCTAGGCCGAGATGCAAGGCAAGGGAGGTGGCGATTGTAGCTAGAACCATGGAGAAATCGTTAAGGATGAACCAGACGTCCGATTTGCGGATACCATTAGCGTCCTCGAGGGGTTGTAAAGAACCGTGCTTGTAGAAATCGAGAAGGTATGAATTGAGAGGTGATCTCGTTTCATCAGGGTGAAGCTCGAGATGGGGAATAACGGCTGCTTCGAGGAAGACGCCTTCACGGGTAGAGCTGCAAAGATCTTCAATGGTAGTGAAGGAATCACCGAGACCGGAAAGAGCTACGAATAGCGAGCGAGCATTTGGTGTAGGTAAGCTAGGAAGGAAGTCAAGGGCCAAATCTGTGTTGCCATTGGTCTTGCGTGCTTCATTTGGACCGACTGGACTTTGGGTGAATGGCAAGGCATGTTCATCTTCAGTAATGTGTTGCTCAGCGAACGTCTTCACGTAAGTTGAAAACACATCTAAAGTGCTCTTATTATGACCACGAAGTATGTTAGCTGCATCTTCTGGCATGGGCTCAAGGTACACATTCGATGGCGAGCGGTGAATCTTCTCTGCTTCTTCAGGGTCATCGATTTCTCTAACAACTCGACGACCAAAGAGATGACTCAATACGAGAACCATTGTATGTAGTACTTCTTCGGAGTTGGTGTCGATATCTGCACAGAGCTTATGGAAGTATTTCGCATTGAGAAGAGCTGACACCCGTTAGCTTATGTAATAGAAGTAAATACAACAGAAGACCACTTACCATGGAACGCAAAACTCGAATTCTCCGTAAAGTAGAGATGCGACACACAACTAGTAAAGTTGACAGGTTCGCCCCCAGGCCCAAGAAGTGCATTGCGTCTCAAATATTCGATGGAGAAGCGCAAATGATGGAGTACCTGTTCTTTGAAACTCTGACCACCAAGATACAGTCTGGGCTGGGAAAGGAGAGAGTTGATAGCTCTAATAGCGTATGGCGAGCTCTTGGAGTCATTCAATAGGGTGAATAATCGCAGTACCAATGTTGTCGTGATTGGAAAGTGGCCAGTAAGTTCGGGAAGTCGAGAGCTGAGAAGTCGGCTTGCTCGCTCTCTCGAGACGCCCTGGAATACAACATTTCCGAGAAGATCGAAACCACGACGACCAGAACGACCTGCAGCTTGACGGAAATTCAAGGCAGTCAAGAACACTGAATCACCACTGAAGACCACAGTTGCGCAAGGCATATTAATACCCAAACTGAGTGTGCCGGTTGCAATGACAACCTTCAAAAAGCCTTTACGAAACAACATTTCCACGCATTGACGGTATTTTCGGTTCATACCAGCATGATGGACACCTATACCCCTCCTCAGCAACTCAATCAAATCTTCTCTAATCTGCTTGCGACGAAGTTGTCTAATGAAGCCGTCAAGTTCTTCTTTTTGCAAACGCTTTGGGTCAGCAAAGGAGAAATCGGCTTGCGGTGCAGTAGGGTCGAAGAGATCATAGAAAGACGATCCATCCGTTGCATCTTCGCGCATTCGATCCATCTTTGATCCGCCTTCGTCATCTTGATTGGTCTTTTTAGACGGCTTGACGGGTTTACGACCTTTCTTTGCCTTCATTTCCTGGTACTTCTCATAGCCATCCATCAGCTTTTTCCAGGCCGAGCCTTTCTTCCACTGCTCTTCGGCTTCGGCCAATTGGTTCAATAGAGTGCTCGCAATGCTTTCACAGGCTGCTCGGTCGTAGTTGAACAATATAGCTGGTAGTGCACGGCGCTTGTGCAATTGATAAAGCAATGGCAGCGTTGTAACTTGGAGATTCAACGGGTCAATGAGTTCAGTCGAAGAACCGGAGGAGCTGTCGATTGAAATGTCATTCTTGAACTCAGCATTATCGGGCGTCAATTCCTTTACCACGTTGGTGAATTGCGATCGACACTCTACCATCCATTGAAGCAATACTTTCTTGAGGTTCTTTTCCCATGCGAAGATATCTGCTTTTCGAATGCAGGGTGGCAATGCCTTTCCTGGAGCCAATGATTCGGGGACGTTGTACTCCTTGCTCTGATGTTTGATCATAGCGTTCCACAATGATAAACAATCTCGAGGTTCAAGCGCAAGATCCTCGGGTATCCCTCTTGAAGGGTCAACTAAACTAGAGACTGGATGAAATGGTTCAAATCCTTGCAAGCCATCCAGACCCAGACCAAGACCAAACGAATCTCCAAGACCCTCAAATTGAAACTTCTGAGGTGGTTCGTACATGAACTTTCGTAAGTCGGAATATCTGGTTGAGTGTTTGATCATCTTCAATTCTGACCCGTTTGCTTTTTGAGTTTCCCCGAGCCAGTCCGCGAACTGCTCAGGGTTACCTACAGTGGCAGAAAGAGCAATAATAGGGCATGGAGCCAACAATAAAAGCTGCTCCCATACCACACCATCTTCGGATTGGCCAATAGAATGGATCTCATCAAAAATAATGCGCTTCACCCTCGGGGCCCATGACTTTGCATTTGTTGGTGATAGAAGCATGATCTGGAGAATATGAGGCACGGTGACGAGGATTTGACAACCGGTAGAATTGTTCACACGATAATCTCTGGTATGAATAGCCCATACTCCTTTACCGGCTTGAGGAAATCTCTTAGAGAATCGACCTGAAATATAGCATTATTAGCGACTACTTTTTGTGTGGGGAATAAGGGAATCTATTGGATTATACTTGTGATGTGGAGTATATAGTTGTTTACTCCTTGATAGAGCAGAACAAGGATGGTTGGGGCGAAAGATGGGGATTGTGCTTACCTTGAACTTCCGCCGCAATTTGATTGACAAGTGCTTTTGTCGGTGCGACATAAACCAAAACACCATCATTGTCAGCTCGTAGAATCTGCTCCATAGCATAAAAACTGATGAATGTTTTACCAGCCGAGGTGGGTGCTACGACGAACACACTCTTATCAGCATCCAACTGATCGAGCACATCTCTCTGCCACCCATCGGGCACGAAACTAGACACACGAGGATCTGGCTTTGCATCAAGCATCCTGTCCATGTATGGGCCACAATGTTCAAGCTGAAATTCCGATTGCGAAATATCAATCTTCAAGGATAAAGTTGGCGTCGGATACTTGAAGGTAAAAGATAACTTGCGATCAGTACCCAAGACTTTCGGCGAAGAGAAAGCGTCTGGAATACCAACCAATTTGCAAATCTTTTCAACGTGCTGAATGATCTCTTTTGTGACCGGTACACTAGTATCGCATATGGATCTTACAGTCGTCCAAATCAATGCAACTACATGGTAGCCACTCTTTTTCTTGTTCTCCTTGCAATAACCAGCCCACCAAGACAATAGACATTGGAGTATATAAGTGTTGATATCTGCTTCAAGAATCTTTGTTCTGGCGCCATCGAGATTGTTGAGATATTGTTTTGCCCGTAAATAACGATTTTCGTCGTTGGATGTCAGATCAAGATCCTTCATAATCATAGACCACGCAAGGAAAGCCTTATCAGTCTCTGTGTCACCTTTCTTTTCTAGATTTGCAGCACGAATCTGATCAGCAGCTGAGAGTCCACTACCCTTCTTGGTGCCTTTCTTAGCATTGGATACAGGTTTTTTGTTCTGTAAGGGATCGTCAGCTTGAAATCAATAATTGTGCGTAGGGAATGTGTACATCAGTTGGAGCTTCTTTCTTTGACTTCGGCGCGGGCTTCTCTACTTTACTCGTCTTCAATGGCTTCTCCTCAGCAACTTTCACTAGTTGCTTTGGTCCAACTACGATAGTTTCTGGCTCTAGCGCTTTGCCCTTTGCTCCTGTTAAACTTGCGGCATATGATGTCATTTCACTCATATAGAATTGATTTGTTCGAAGAGGGTTACTGTAGATTGATTAGAACCTTCGAAGACATGCATGTAGGGTGACTCTTAGAGGTTCGAGTCTGAAAGTAGCACTACTTACCGCCATTTAGAGACTTTCACTGCCACAGGAGCCTTTGTGATGAGCGGCTTTTTATGATTATGCCAATGACTTGTCTCCCTGTAAAGCTTCATTGTACCAAGTTGCGTAGAAAGAGATGCGTCTGTCTTGACATGAATGCACTGCAAATGCTTGTTGAAAACAGCATTAGTGAAGGGTAAAACTGTAAGTTCCTCCGAGCTTGAGTCAAAGTCTTCGCTCGCAGCGATTTCAGCAGAGTCTAAATCAGAGCTCCCTTCCAAGGAAAGCTCCTGATTTGAAAGCTCTTTGGTCAGATTGCAGAGTACCAGCCACTCATTTTGGATCGACTCGGGAAATGGGTCTAAGGATTCGTCGCACATAGCTTGAATGACGACACGGAATAATCGGCCATCGATAAGATCATGTGAATCTCTTGTAATATCGTTAGTTTCAACAAACTTGCCCCATGTCGGACTATCTAGAATAACTTGAGCTGTATCTGCAAATAACGACAAGAAGCTAGTAACTTCTGTCTCGAAGCTTTCGTCGAAATCGATAGATGGAAATCGACGTTTCGAAAGGGGAATTTGGTTAAGCATAACACTGTGTAATATGAGGGCGGAAGCAAAAAATGCATTGGAGGTATTTTTCTTCAGAATATGAGATGCAGAAAGAGCAGCAACACATGATCTCTCGCCCAGCTGTTCCTTTGCAGAGACTGCAGATAACTTCTGAATGATTTCGTCGTCAATGGAGGGTGTATTGCCAGAGCTACCGGATTTTAAATCTTCCGCAAATTTCACACGAGCCTGCGTAATGTACTCGGTGTATGTAGAATCCATCAGAAGCTTGCGCTGGCTTGAGATAGTCATGCTTTCCACGATCATCGTGAAAACCTTTGAATCTCTGAACTCTATGCGGTTGATTAGAGCAACATTGAGCTTGAGACAATTGAAAGACCATATCATTCCTCGGAGAATGGTCTTGGCCTCTTTCGATGAGGGGGTTTGCTTTGCTGTGGCCGCTCCATCATGCGACATGACAAAGTGAATTGGTGTGAGTTGGAGATAACTTGAGAATTCTTGACTCTCCAGGGAAGGGAAAGTATTGATCACGATTTCTGGGTGTGATAATGGTAATTTGTGGTGTAGATGTTGTTTAATCGCTGTTCGAGCGAGGAGATATCGACCTCGGTGTGAGGTCTTTACTCCCGGTGGTACACATAATTGCCGATTCTCTACCAGCGAGGTTAGAATTGCCCATTGCATCGCTTTCACAAGGGAAAAAATATACCTTCGAAGAACGCAATGTGGAAGTTGCAATGTCTCTTGACTAGATTCTCAAGGAATCGTTCCGCTACATATACAGCGTGAAGTAATTGAAATCCATCTGATATTGTTAGCTCATTCGACTTTTTGCAAATGATGAAATTAAAGATGATATTTGTGTTGCTCTCACGAGCCTTCCTCGTACATCAAGCAATGGCATGAGGCTTTCACCCACGGTGCGATGTTGCACATCATTTTGTACTGAAAGCAAAGTATACACGTGGTACAATCCCCGATATAAAATCCTCTGTGAGAATCCAGCCCCCACACCAGACAAAGAGTGAAACATCAATAGAAAATAATATCTTACCCTGAAAATCAATTCTCTCATCTGCAAAACATTCTCTCAATAGAGAATCTCCCTCAACAAGAAACAACTCTTTTCCAGCATAATCACCAACGAGATCAATCCACATAGGGCGAGTCTCATCATACCAACTCATGATAGAATTTGGAACCTGAGTGGTCCCGTCCACATCGGAAGTCGCCATATTGTTGTGGCTTTTGTCGATGTGGCAGTTTCTGACTAACAGGATATATGTTCTCCGCAATGATTTCTGATACTTGGATATGAAGATAGAATTCTTGTTATGGATTGCGAAGCTTTGGAAGAGAGAAATTTGAGGGGTGTTTGCCTCTTTGCCTGTTTGCCTTTTGCTTGCCTGAACGTTGAATGTTTTCTAAGTTTGCATGTGGTGAATAACTCGCTTGTGCCTACCCGTAATTTTTGAGTTTGAAGTTCACGTGATATTAAGATTTATATTTTTCTAGATTATCGATTTTAAGCCGATTGACACTATTATATAGCCAGAGAACTACTGATGGATATCAAGAGCATGCGTGCATATTGAAAATAGCATCTTCAGCTCTTTGAAACCCGAGTTCTGTCAATTGTTGTCTTCGAAAATATTCGGTCACGTTATCTCAAGCCCACCTATGGGTGCACGGACTGGTATTGAATGACGTTGATTGGATGTTGTTTATGGCGGTCTTTTCTTGACTTGCGAGATTTACCCATAGCACAACATCGTTTAAGATCATGTTTGAATCACCCTGACGATTCCTAGAAGCACTTGGCTGTGTGAGTTCATCCGTTTGCAGAGTATCGGTATCTAAATCTCTGTGTGTCAGGAAAAAGAAGATGCTGCGGAGGCGTCAGTACTCTCTGTCCGACTTTTGGGATATTTCTCTCGGACACGTTGGCGAGATGATGGAACTGGACGATAAGATATTAGAATGGTGGCAAGTGCCCGATCCCGCTTTTCTGATTGATCAGATATGATGTTTGGTTTGGGGTGAAGAGCATGACATACCAGGTAGACATCAACTCTATCGACACATGACAATGGTTCGAGAATCGCTTGTCTCATTAATTTACACCCTAAGTGTGTCTTTAGAGGACGGAGTGCATGATCCATTAGCTGCTTTTACGCTTATGAGCACCAATGTTGACCGAGTTTGCCCGAGTCCGGTGATGCTTCAAGACCTTATTCCGACCTTTGGAACTGCTTATTGGGGTCGTTCTCTTGGCCATGTAGATATGCCGAGTGTGTACGATTCCAATGGCTGTGGTGTTTGCCAGTGCTGTGCTCGAATCAAGAATCGCCTTATTGACTGGTAGTAAAGTCAAGATACGATCCGATGCCGTCCAGCGGCGAATCTCCTTGACAGTTCATGTTTTGTCGTCCATAAAAATTGACAAGATTCTGGGTATGATAAGGTCCCTACGACGTTTACTGCAAAGTGAAAGATTGAAAGAGCTTATTAAACTGCAGGCAAATTTCGTTAGTAGACAGTATCTGCGTGATTGTTCAGTTTCCTTATCGTTCAGTTGTCAGGCTGCTACGCACATAACGAGGTAACTACTCTATATATCTATAACATTGGAACACAATCAATCAAGCTGGTACTATCCGGAATCTTCTGCACGTTGTCTCTTATCCACGCTTCTTACATCAATCGAACTCGAAATTTTATCAAGTGTCAGAAGTCTAATACTTGCTCACAGGAAACATGCCATCGGCCCTCAGCCCTCGCTCCTGCAGTTACCTCTATCGTATACGACATCAGGCACGCGTGATAGATTCAGTTCACTCGACACTTTCCAGGTCTTCACAAACCTTACGCTCGTAAATCTTGACACTACCCCTGCTTCGGAGCTGATAGCTTCCTTTCCGTTTGCGGCCTCGTGTCTTGCATACATAGAAAGAAAAGAATCCATCATTTTCCGATAAGGCCAAGTCACCACGATCGCAAGGTTCTGAATATAAAAATTGATCTACTTCAGGGTCAAGCCAAGGATGGACACAATCTGATCGTGCCTGTCTTATGATTGACTTGCGTCTATATTTTGGTGAACAACGGTGCGAATCATATTTTGCGTGATCTTGATCTGGAATTTTTTCGAAGCTGCTTCATGATGATATTAGGTCCCAGCGGATCCGGAAAGTTGACGATATTGAGAGCGATGCTTAGAAGTACAGCGGCACTCTTTCGATCAACGCACGTCGAATAGCATACCGCCTCCAAACCCCATGGCTTTTCACAGGTGCTGTGCGCCAAATTATCTGTGAATTGGAAGAAGCTTGATACAGATCCGTGCTTCATGCTTGTGCACAAATTGTTTGCCTTTACATATCTCGAGCAGCTTAAATTGGTAAACAGCGGACCATAGCTCAAATGAAGGAAACCGGCTACCAACATACCTCATCTTAGCTATTGGAAATAGAGCCATTTACATATGCACTGCATGGATTATGTTCTTTAAATAAGTTCCAGAATCAGCTGCCAAGCTACACACGATACTGCTTGATACATCCACGAACGTGCTCTAGTCAACCTTCACGAAAGCTGACGCTGGAACAATACTCAACCGAGTCACAACTATCTACTGGGGTGACGTGTACGATGATGTTTTGTTGCTTTGGACGATCGGTTCATTGTGTCTAAATTACATTGGCTCGGCATGGATTGCAATCACAATTCCAGCTGTGTTCCTTACTATTTCATGCGTTCAACATTGGCACAAATCCACTGACCCAGGTTCTCTTGGTCTTTCACTTAACAATATCCTAAGTTCAACGAAACGTTAACTTTACTACTCCGATAATGAACACAGTTGGAGGTCCCCCTAACAAGGCGAGAAGGTTGGCCTTTGTGGTCGAAGCGGCAGTGGCAAAGTGACTCTTAGAGCCATCCAGCGGCTTTATGACTATGGTGGTATTGATCTCGCTAATACCGACCACAAATTATTCACGAACGCTTGCTCAGTGCTCACTAAAGTGAGGCGAATTTATAAAGTTCACAGGCTCATTACTAGTTTGAGTAGATGGCGAATAACTCTTAGGCAAAAAATAGATAATAGTATGTGACCCTTGAATAGTAATGTCATTGCTCACGAACTGTGTAGGAAAGTTAGGCTTTGAGAAGAAGAATTACTTGGAAAGAGAACTTAAGATCAGATCAAATGGATCATCTAATATCTAGAAACTAGAACTTAAAACCTAAGAGCTTGTCGTTCCTTCTTATATGGCATTATATCAAATTATCAACGATCTGGAATTTGCTGCGCAAGCAATCGGTCAATTTGACTGTGTGAAAGCCTAGGTGTGTCTGAATCTTCGTCTTTCCGGTTTATTAGTGTCAAATCTCGTTCAACTCTTCTCAAGTAATGAAATAAACCTTTGAACTATACTAATATGGATTATTCTTGTCGGGTAGCGGAATACATGCTCGAGCTAACTGTACTACTAGAGTAATAATATAAGTATTTTCTTCAATGATATTCGTCTAATGGTACCGGTACTCAATAAGGTGATCTTGATTCTGACAATCGAGTCAAATCATCTCACCTAATCAGATGATAATACTAACTAATTTTGATATATCGACATTGGAAGTGGAAGGATTATTGGAACATCTTTTCTACTATTTTGCAATCACCCAAAGTTTATTATTTTATCTACCAGTAGAAGAAGATACATCGACCTCAACATAGCCTTTCACATAAGGCTGAACGACTCTCAACCTCGGCATCTGAGAGCCCCTGCATGATCCCTGCATATTCCATGCATGAGCCACATGTCTCAGAATCCGACCCACAAACAAACGTTCAGGAACCACACGGCTGAGGACTTCCTAATACTCACATCACAATATCAACATCACTACCAATAACCCTTCAATAATTCAATAACCCTTACCTTACCTAAATCCACGAGTGTCGACATGTGAACTACTCAAGGTTCGCATTCTTCACACTGGCATCCTCGAGCTATATTCCACTCGAAACAATGGCATCTGCATCTGCATCTAATGCCCAAGAACCCCTCTTATCGAATGATTTGAATCAGCCCGGTGAAGAAGAGGAGGATGATGAAGATGAAGATGTCTCTATACTCCTGGAGAAGAATTTGAAGAGACCAGGGTTATTTGTTTGGTTACTTACATTTTCGGCGGGAATTAGTGGATTATTGTTTGGGTGTATGCATACTTTCTCTATCTATTTTTCCCACCCCTTGCACACTCTACTCTCTAAAAGTTCCACCCATAGAGCTATCCCACGGTAGCTAATACAAAGAAACCAGACGACACCGGCGTAATATCCTCCACCATAATAAGCCTGCACACCTCACTCGGCCGCCCCCTAACAACCCTCGACAAATCCCTCATAACCTCCTGCACCTCCCTCTTCGCACTCCTCATCTCTCCACTCTCGGGTCTCCTCGCCTCCTCTCTCGGCCGCAAACGCGTTGTCCTATTAGCAGACCTAGCATTTGTGCTCGGTGCCCTTATCCAAGCCGTCACTACCTCCGTATGGGGCATGATACTCGGTCGCAGTATTGTTGGACTCGCGGTTGGGGCGGGGAGTTTCGTTACTCCGTTGTATATAAGTGAGTTGGCGCCGTCGATGTGGAGAGGCAGATTGGTCGTGTTGAATGTGCTGTTTATTACGTTGGGACAGGTGGTGGCGTATATAGTTGGGTGGGCGTTTGTGGAATGGGGGACTTTGGAGACGGGGTGGAGGTGGATGGTGGGGTTGGGAGCGGTGCCGGCGGCGGTGCAGATGATGGTTATGATTTTTATGCCGGAGACGCCGAGGTGGTTGGTGCAAGTTGGGAGGGTGGATGAGGGGAGGAGCGTGTTGAGTAGAGTTTTTGGGACGGGGAAGGATATGCAGAAGATTGTAGATGGGGTGTTGAAGGGGATTGAGAGGGAAGTGAGAGAGGAAGATGAGGCGAAGAGATCAAGAGGGATGATGAGGAAGAATAAGGGATCGGAAGATTCCTGGACAAGTGATGCGAAAGATAGTTGGGAGGAATTAATAGGCATTGGAGGAAATAGGAGAGCTTTGACAATTGCTTGTCTATTACAAGGTCTACAACAGCTTTGCGGCTTCGTAAGTACATCTTTTCCACCCAATATAGACCCAACTAATGTAGAACCCACAGAACTCCCTAATGTACTTCAGCGCCACGATCTTCACCATCCTTGAATTTTCCTCCCCAACCCTCACGTCCCTCTCCGTCGCCCTCACTAATTTCATCCTAACTTGTGCCGCTCTCATGCTCATCGACCGTATCGGCCGTCGTCGCATCCTCCTGCTATCGATCCCAATAATGATCATAGGACTCCTCCTCTGCTCCATCGGCTTCCACTACATGAATTTCCCCTCCACCCTCTCCCCAAGCACATCATCCACATCCACATCCTCCTCCCCCTCCTCACCCTTCCCCCCCATCCTAATCCTCACCTCCATAATTCTCTACACCGGTTCCTTCGCCCTAGGCCTCGGCAACGTCCCCTGGATGCAATCAGAGCTCTTCCCCCTCTCAGTCCGCTCCCTCGGTTCTTCACTCTCCACATGCACAAACTGGTCTGCGAATTTCATCATCGGCCTTACCTTCCTACCCATGATGGATTTGCTAACTCCAACCTGGACTTTCGTCGTGTATGCGGGTGTGTGTGCAGTGGGTTGGTGCTGTATTTGGTGGATTTATCCGGAGACGAGGGGCCTGGGACTCGAGGAGGTGGGGCTGCTTTTGAGGGATGGGTGGGGCGTGAGGGGAAGGAGAATAGACCTGGCTAGATAGGTTGGGTGGTGTTTGATGCCAGTCCGTTGGTGGTGATGTATGTTCAATCCAGACGTATAGAATAGAAAGAACACGATATCCAAACAGCCCTCGCGATTCCTAGATATCTTACCAAATCTAGAAAAAAATTGAACGTATCAAGCAAGCAGTCTTTCAAATTCCCCAAAAATCACATCACATAAATCACCCGAGACCAAAAATATTTACTATCCTTTCATTACGAAATTTACCTACTTAAATAACTAAGCAAAGCTCATTTACTAGTGGATACTTCTGATACTGTATTCCCTTATTTTATTATCATCGTGACCCAAACCCTAAGCTACCTACCTGGCTCTCCCCTTCATCAGATCCTTCACATACTGAGTACATGTTGATGAAACCAAATACCAAGCAAGCCATTCCAGACCCAGAAATAAGCGGTGACAAATCCATCCACGGAGAAGATAGAGACATGTGGGTATATCCATCATTTCCTCGCATGCGTATGCAAGCGGGCAAGCAAGCAACGCCTATGCCACCCAATTTTGTGCATGATTGTTTCCCCCCAAAACTCCCTTACGCGAGCAAAACTCATCTACGGAGAGGAGGTCTACCTCTCCCCCTAGCTGCAACTGGTGATCTCAATTGCTGAGGAGATACCGGTGATGATTGAACATCCTTGACCGGTTTCACAGCCGGAATATCGCCGTCTGAACTGGACCAACCTTCTCCATCTGATTCCTCACTAAAACTTCCCTTCCTGCCAGATTTTGATGGGCTGGGATTTTTCGGTCCTGGGTTGCCATCATGTTCGGAATCGGACTCTGACTCTGATTCCATGAGTCGGACGATTGTGGGACCTTTCTTTACTTGCTTGTTCTCATTATCGTTATCAAGACGCACGACAGTCGATCCATTCTTAACAGGCTGTGCCGAGATACTTCTATCGCTTGAGGATAAAGTATGGGACGGTCCGTCCTGGGCACCTGGTGTTGGGTTAATCGTCATACCTGGTGTTCCATTGCGACTTGCGGATTGGTGGTGTGAGTTTACAGCTGAAGATGTCCTAGAGAGTGTCTGTGGATGAGTAGTCATATCGTTGGAAAACGCCCCATTAATGGGGGTGGACAACGGCGACTGTTTGGTGAGATTGACTTCCATGAGCGACGTGTTCTTGGTACTAGGCGTAGCTGATTGTCTTGGCTGTTGTTCGTCGTAGTTCATTTGCTTTGATTGTTGTGAGACAATCTTCATCTTCTTCCCTTTGAGTGCGAGCTTTTCACGAAGTGAAAGAAACTGGCTAGGCCGACCAACCATGGAAGTAGAGCCACCAGGAGGTGGAGGCGATTTAGATGAGGATGGTGATCGTAACTCGGGGGCAGGGCGTGGAGGAATTGGTGTATTTTGTGTCTTCTTCGGTGGTCGGCCTCTTCGCCTCTTGACAACCACTGGCTCCTCAATAGATGTATGGACGGAAGGATCTGCCAATTGTGCTTCGATAACTTCAGCTGCCGTCGCACTATCATAGGGATCTTCAACCATGTTCTCGTTTGCTTGCTCTTCCTCTTCAGACATTTCTGGGCTAACTGGACTGACCGCATTATTCACATTATTGCCGAAAAGACTACCATCGCTGACTTCTTCGCCATAATCTTCGCTAGCCTTCTCGGATTCATCATCGGATTTGTCGACGTGCAATTTTGGCTCTCTTGACACCGTGCTTTGACGGGTTCTCCGTGTCTTCCTAGGCTTGTCTTCGAATTCGTCGCTGTCAGCTTCGACTCCGCTTCCGTCGCCGGACGCATCAGTGATAGTTTGCCGAGTAGCCCTGGGCTTCTTCTCTGATGGCGCACTATTGCGCGAGGTTCTGGCTCTCGTGACTGGTAATTCAGAAGGATACTCTTCCTCGTCACCCGCGCCATCATTTCTTGAAAGCCATGTAGACTTCCGAGGAGGTTTGACAAACGCAGATGACTTCGATGGACCAGGGGAGGCAGCCATACTAGGAGAAGCCGCCACTCTAGATGCGAGACTCGGTCGACCACGCTTTCTCTTACCATTCGAGATGGGTGTAGTGCCGGCTTTCTCTGTTGTCTGGTCTTTGGTGAAATAACTGAAAGCTTTTGCTGCGAGATCGACGTCATCGGATGCCTGACCAACGTTGGAAATTAAGCTCTGTCGTGAAGTCGGTTGCGGCTCAGTCTCTTCTTCCGAGCTTGACAGATTCTCTACTTCTGCTAGTGGAGGCTCAGTGTAATCTTGACGTTTGCTAACACGCGATGGACGATGCTCAGGTCGAGAAATACTATCCGGTTCTGGCTCTGTTTCTGCATCAACTACCTTGGGTTTAGCCTTCCTGTGGCGCCTGGAAGCGACGAATTCTACATCCTCGTCATCGTCCTCTGGAATACCCTCAGAATTGAGGCGCTTTCTCTTTTTTGTAACGCTACGAAACTGATCGAGTGAAGCCAAAAGGTCTGCAGGATTAATAGTATCCATTTCCATTGGTTCTAAGTCAGATTTCGGAGAATCATAGAGAATGCCGTCCATGCCAATTTCTGTCGGGTAATAATTGCCACCCATCATGCTGGCGGGCTTATTAAAAGGTGTTTGAGGATCAGGTAGCGCTGATTCCCAAGAAACCATAGGTGCGACTGGTGCTAGAAGTTTCGATGGATATTGTGCTGCTCCGCTAGGGCCGTGCATTTCAGCATGATAATCATCGTCCAGATCATGGTGTGCGTCGAGAGCTCCCAACTGCTGGTGGATCTGCTCCTCGAGAGTAAATTCAGAAGGCTCCTGAGTCTGATTCCAAGAGGGATGGAGCCCGTTGGTTTCAAGTTGAGGTGGCTGATTTGTGTCATCACGAAGTGAAGGATCAATGTCTGCCATATTATTGAAATGGTTATCCTCTGGGTCGTCCTCACGGTAGAAAGCTTCTTCCCCATATCCAAGATAACTATTATCAATAGTAGGCTCCTGAGCTTTATGCTTTTCAGCTTTTTCTCTCAATCTCCTCATTCTTCCCGTTTCTTGTGGATTTGGCTGATTTTCGTCTTCGTGTTTCAACCAAGAAAGATTCGTTTTCGCAAAGTCAACTAGACTTTCAACGCTCCTGTAATCAGCCACCTTCTTGGTATCATGTCCAAGAAGTGTTCCCTTGGGAGTATACGGGGTTTGTTTCGGATCTCTCCGGCATCTTGCGCATGAGCACATCTTTAGACATTTTGGACACTCCCAATTTTCCATCTCCATTACCGTCTGAGGCATCACGTCAAACGCTCGCCACAGAGTTCCGTAGCAATAAGATGTGGAACAGGTGGCACAACGCGCAGATTGCCAATTCCAATGGTGATGGCTGCAGATATGACATCTATTGGTCTTGTTTTTTGTGGCCTGAATCCTACCTCGCCTAGAAGGCTTTTTGTATGGCTTCTTTAGGCGTCCTTCATCATCAGCTTCTGGCTCAACATCCGATTCGCCGTCTAATGGCTCTATGACCTCCGGCTTGGTGATATCTTTCCATGGCCGAAGGGCAAGTTGTTCTTGGCATATTTGAGCAACAGTTTTCTTGCCAGTTTTATCTCTCTCATCTTCCAGAGGTTTAGGTGAATCTTCATGAAGGCCTTCGAAGTTTATAACCACACCGCGCCACAGTTCATAGTTTTGTCTGAGTTCTTTCTCATTCCATTGCTCTACCCACTCCAAACAGGAGATGCAAGCACAAGAACGACCCATAGCGTAACACTCCATACAAATATCATACGTATCTTCCTCTCCCGTGGGAGCCGTGAGGATGCATGATTTGCAAGTCAAGAAGCGATTGAAGATATTGCATCGACAGTATGAGCAAGTGACGTTTGAGTCGTATGGTAGAAACTCCACGTTCTTCACGGCGCGCGCGCGGGAAAACAATTCGCTGATTAGCACTTCGGTATAGAGTTGGAATAGGCGTTTGAAATCTTCCATAACCTGCCGAATTCGACTTCCAGGTCTCATCCACATCTTTGGCTCGACCGTATCTCGTGTAAGCAAGTTATAATACTTGTCTAGCGTGTAATAGATGATGGCCTTATTCTTGTATTGTTCATCGCGACAAACGAGACGAGCACGAGGAAGTGCTTCATGGATGGCAAGCTCAAGCGTATCGACAGTCGTTCGATTCCATGCAGCCTTCATTGTCCGAGTTCCGCGATTCCAGACCTGATGAGGAGCAAGAGGTGGAATTAAGATTAGGTCTCCAGCCTTTTGCTCGGTCACCCAAACATTGAATGGGGCTTTTCTCCAGGCGTTCAGTTGCGCAAAGTGCTTTTCAACTTCTATATCGTGACCAAGCTTCGAAACGAACCATTCCGATACCATATCTCTTTCCTTAGACTCGGTCATGAACCAGATTGAGCTCCCAGGCCGTTCCCCGTTGTCGGCAGTCGAAGTTTCAACCATGAGATTGTGTCCCAAACTTGCGCACATTTCTCTGTGAGCTGGAGTATAAGTACCTTCGTGACCAATATAACACATCATATTCAAAGCTTGCATATTCGTTGGAAGACTGCTCATCAAATCACCTGCAGCCGCAACTCCTTTTCCAAATCGCATCTGACCGAATTCGTTGGGCTCGCGGATTGCTCCATCGCCACCAGTTCGGGACTCGATACAATCATTGAGGTAGAAAAAGGCTTCCGGCAAAACATCTTTCAGGTTGTCTACCCATTCAGCAGGGCAGTCGATATCTTTCAGGTAGAGTCGTTGTCGTTTTGGGTCTCGGAAGGTTTGAGGGGTGAATTGATTTGTTAGTTGGCCCATCGAACGAAGGTAATGTCCCATAGTCATCTGAAGGTCAATGCTATTGGTAATGTCTCGAACCCTTTGTACTAAAAGTGATGTTAATATTAGAGTTTGTGTTGCCGGGGAAAACAGTCGGAACACTCACCCTCTTTACCCAGATTATCTTCTAGCCATTTCGAGGAGAATAACGAAGGTGGAATATAGGAGCCCCATCCTTCAAGAACAAGGGGTCTTCCTTCTTGAACCACATGATAATGCACCAATTGCTCAAGACTTTGAACAGTATGTGACTCCAGATCGGATTGAGGAACTCTGCGAACATGATCGAAGCTTGGGTTATCATTCACTAGAGTATCGAGATCGATATTAGGTGATAGAGGCACAAATTGAGCTCTTGGATGTTGTTGCGAAGGCATTCCGATAAGCTAGGTTGAAATCCAGTGTATTTTCAAGAAGCTATGAAATAGGTCTTGCAATAAACGTAGCTAGTGTCGCATAGTAGAAGTTGTTTGGTTTGGTGGATGTAAGGTATAGGAATTGTAATATTATCGATAGTAGTCGGATTACTAATGTGGAGGCAAGTCGCGTTTGTATTGTCTGTCGGTCTCAACTTGTCGGTCTCAACTTGTCGCAACCTTGAGAATTGAGAAAGGACCCCTTGTAAATGTCTTAAATAGATAGAAGTATTTGTGCAAAGTAAATAGCTGGTCCTGGAAATCCCCAAGAAGGGTAGCCGAAGCTGTTCTGTGATTTTCTGTATAGTGTATGTATAAGTTGTAGTATCGCAATCCGAAATTTGTGAAGTACCAGTACTACTGTAGACGCGAGGTAATTTGAAGGCTTTCCTCGTTTCCTAGAGTAACGCGCTAGTGGAACCGGGTGTGTGCCTATGGTAGCTTCAATCCTTTCATTTATTAGTCAAATTTATCTGGAGATGAAAACACCAAAAAACAATGAATTGATATTGATTGAGTCCAAATTAAGTTCATTTAATCAATTGCTAATGATTTTCCATATATTTTATTCACCAGCAATCATCAGTTTGTGGCTACATTGTAGGAATGAGAACCTGCATCTAATCTAACCTTTCATATTATAAAACACTCTTAGAACGCGGGTGGTCAGTGCACGATAATGAACATTTTTTCGAAAAATCACGTGGAAATGTACAATTAATCTTCAAAATTAGTACACTCTTCAAAACTATCAATAAAACAAAATTTGAAAAGATAAGATTCAAGATTTCTATTCAATTTATATGAACTTCAAATTAATAGGCCTCCGAAGGACGAGCTGCGACGTAGGAACTGAGGTACCCTGAAAAACGATTCGCAGAGCGCAGCGAGGCGAATTGTTTTTCCGGCACCGAGGGGCCGGAGTCAAAGCTCGTTACTGTATAGTTTTCATCCGAGTTTGGGGTATCAAGTGATATTCATTCATAAAATTCTAGATTTGCAAGGGAGAAAGAATCTACTTATACTTGAGTAGCCAATTCACATCAAAATATACATACAGATGTGATATGGCATAAAGGCTAGGTATTGTTGGCTTGGTTGCTTGTCAAAGCTTCAAGGGCAAGCAGTTTAAATTAGCAACATTTGAGTTTTTGCTTTCATCACAAAAGTTTGGAATTTCCTTTCTCACAGGTTACAAAAAAGGCAGTTGCTTAATATCAAAACTAATAGGAAGTAGTGATTGTTGTCCCCCTTTCATTCAATCATGTCTAGATACAGCATATTCAGCTTACCGGGAGGCTGTCGGAATACCATCTTTCAAACCATCTCCTGGAGTCAGAGATCCTCACTCAGATCCATCAGTCATTCTAAGATCACCATCTGCTCGTACCCCGGCAAAAAGGAAGCAAGCAACATTCTCGGTGTCCGACATGAAAGACTCATTCACAATATCAAAGCACGAGCTGCTTCAACAACTGTGAGCAATGCAAAGGTCTCAACCACAAGTGACGAGATATCACCGCCTCTTATCACGCCCTACATGCCGCCAACAACTGGTCTATTATCAAAATTCCCATCTTCTTGGGTGCCATATGCTGAGCTCATCAGACTGGACAAGCCAGCAGGAACATATTACCTATTCTTCCCATGCCTCTTTTCAACTTTATTGGCGGCTCCATTGACCGTCCCGATGGTCTCCCCACTTACTGTCGTCGGCACCTCTCTTTTATTCTTTAGTGGTGCATTGGTCATGCGCGGTGCAGGATGTACTATCAATGATCTCTGGGATCGGAACCTTGACCCAAATGTCACTCGAACTCGACTACGCCCCATTGCGCGCGGAGCTGTCTCTCCATTCAAAGCCTTGGTCTTCACCGGAGGTCAACTTTTCGCTGGTCTTGCAATCCTTCTTCAGTTTCCATACCAATGCTTCTTTTACGCTACCCCGAGTCTACTTTTTGTGGCTTCGTACCCGCTGGCTAAGCGTGTAACTCATTATCCACAATTTGTCCTGGGGTTGACGTTTTCCTGGGGTGCAATTATGGGATTTCCTGCTCTTGGAATTGATCTCCTTTCCAATAGTGCTGCTTTGACCGCAACTGGATTCTTGTATGCGTCGAATGTGGCATGGACAGTTTTGTACGATATGATATATGCGCATATGGATATCAAAGATGATGCCAAAGCAGGAATCAAAAGTATAGCATTACGACACGATGCCCAAACCAAACAGATCCTGACCGGACTCGCTATCAGTCAGATTGGATTACTGGCGGCTGCCGGTGCTGCTGTTGGTGCAGGGCCAGTCTTCTTTGTCGGTGGATGTGGAGGCGCTGCTGTCACTTTGGCTGTCATGATCAAGAAGGTTAATCTGAAGAGCGTGAAGAATTGCTGGTGGTGGTTCGTGAACGGATGCTTGATAACTGGAGGTACGATTTCTGCCGGGCTCGCGGGAGACTATCTTGTTCGGTACATACAGAAGGCAGATGGTGAATGGTCAAAGTCCGAAGTGGAAAATGAGCGAAAAAAGTCTTCATTTACTGTATTATATAAATACCTGTTTTAGTACTCAAGTACTCAAGTACTCAAGTACATCAAGCAACTAACCCTACAGCAAGGGTAATTCAGGGTCTTGATCAAAGGGAAGAATAGAACCCGAGAATAGCAAAGCTACCTATATGCCACTCTCAACTTAGCTGTAATAACCAATGGCGAATTATATGCAATACTAGCAACAATAGACAATATCTTCCCCTCGCCAAGTGTCCAAACCCTCTTCATGTACAAAGCTAGAAGTTTAGAGACTTGGTCGCGATCACGATCGTGGCTCGCCAATGGAGCTCGAGCTCGAGCTCCGGCCTACGATCCGTCAATACCTAAGCTTGTAACTTTAAGTTTGTTAGGCCCGTAAGCTTTGAAATCGAAACAGATCAACAGGGATCCCTTTTCTATTTTGCATTCTGGAAGAAACCTTAACGGCTTACCTAGGTAGGTCCCTATTATATTTTACAAGTCCAGTCCATATCCCATTCCCCGACCCCATCAATAGGATGCGATCGGATAGGTAGCTGCCGAAATCCCTGTTCTCCCACTTATTATGAAGCTTGGACATTTTCTTGTTTTCTTGTTTTATTTTGATTGGAGAGCTCGAAAACAAAGAATTTCTTCAAGTTTCTTCCAACTTTTGTTTTTGTTGATGATTTCATCGATTTACTATTTACCGATGCTAGTGCCGTATCAAGCAAGCTATAAGATCGAATCGGATTACAGGATTGGATTTCTCGGAATAATTGGAATGCATACCTACTTACTACTTAGTACCTACTGTACTTGAGGAAGCTGCTTTCATCGAGATAGAATACTGCTATCTTGGGGGTAGCGCTACCGGTCATGATCATTCATGTAGGGTTGCTGTGGTGAAAATGTACGCCACACACAGCGCCACATGAATGAGGGGGATTTCCACATGCAATCAGTTCTTTCAAGATTGAAATAACAAAAGGGAATCATTCCACTAAAAACCATATACCAATTCATTCTGCTATTCTCTTTAATACATTTGTTCGTTATATCGAAACCAAATCACTTCAATTCAATTACACTCAAAGCCATCTAAATACAAATACAAATACAAATACAAATACAAATACAAATACAAATACAAATACAAATATTCAATCTCTCCCGCATCAACCGTACCCTTTTTTCTTCTCCTCACGTTGATTGGGCAAAAGGTCATCCTGAACTCGTCATAGTTGTTGCTTAGGGTACTTCACCAACGTCACGTCAAGTATCAGGTATCCCTACTTTGAAAGGCAAAAACGACAACCTTGGAGTCATCGCAATCATCATTATCAACGTCACACTGAATCGGAGCTTCATAGCGCAGAGCTTATTCACAATTTCCATATACATTTGACCGTCCTCTCTATTTGACTTTTGATCTTCATATCACCCTCTTCATATCTACAACCACTTTTCAAGTCAAAACGCCTTCACAAATATCATCACATACACATACACATACACACCCTTTTCATCACGAATCAAAACAAATCTCTTCAAAATGGTTTCAGTACCTCAACTTTTAGTGAGAGCTTTACAAGCCGTTGTAATGCTCATTACGCTTGCTCTCATTGGAAACGCGATTGATGTTCAGCATTTCGGAAACTCCAGTGTGAACTATTGCATGTTCGCCGCCGTGTTTGCATGGATAGTCATTTTCTTTGGATTCGCCGCATCATTCCTCGAGTCGCTTGCCAAACCCCTTATCCTCGCTCCTATGGATGGTCTAGCCGCCCTCTTCACTTTGATCGCCGGTATCGTACTTGCTGCCAAGCTTGGCGTACACAGCTGCGGCAACCGAGTAAGTATACGATATATGGAGACCAGCTAAAATATCTACGTTGACTGACAAATCAAATAGGATTATATCAACAGCAACAGTCTGACACAAGGAAGTTCGCATCGATGCCGGGAGCTTCAAGCTGCTTGTGCATTTTTCTGGTTCGCTTTTGTGTGTTTTGTGGGCTCGCTCATCTTGGATTTCATGGGATGTTCCAGCACGAGCATGCGTCGTAGTAGCGTTCGCAAGAGTGGACCAACCATGTCCCAAGTCTAAGTGAAGCAACGGCAATCAACAGGTTAGTTCTGTTCCCCTTTGACAGCCTCTTCCACATTACACTCACCACCACTGTGAACTTCAGCCAACTGACAAGATATCAGCGCAGGATCAGGATTCTTTACCCTATAACAAATATATCAATCAAGCGGAGGTGGAAGCCCACTATTTGCAATTGAGAAGGATAGGCATTTGGATACGGAGGGATGGTCCTTTTGTATTGACTTCGGGTGTATCAACTTATGTACAATGATGTTTATGTATTTATGGTTATGACGACGGAGGGAAGATTCGGGGGGTGTTCGGAGTGGAGGATTTCTAATGTGTACAAGATAAATGGGAATATGGATGGACTTAATAATACCTTAGCTAATGAAGCAAAATAAATATGTTCGATCTCTTACATAATATTCATCGTACTATCACAATAAGCTTGTGCATAGTCAACATGAAGAGGCTGGAAAGTCGCTTCTATTGTAACCACTGAAATGAAGAAGTGATAAATACCATATAGTGCCAAAGGTAACTTCAATCAAAGGCAGCTACTATCTTCCTTTACGAGCTTTCGTACAAAACAAGATTTCTTTAAAAAAAAAAAGCGTAGATTTCGTATTTGTATGTACTGGGTGACCTAAAGCATGTACACTTCCTGCTTGCCTGTCAAGCAAATCTCTATACACAATATGCCCCGGCCAATATATCATATATTGGCAATGTACCTCTCCATATGCTTCTTCTGTAAACGCCAAATCCCAATGACATGCTCGCTGTGTCTGGATGTCCCATTCTTATGGTAGTACCCAGAATAATTTTCTTGCATGAGGGGCCTGGTGTATGATGCATCTCTGTCATAACTTCTTGTGTCCACAGGTTTTCGTATCTACAGGGCTTCGTATCCGCAAGTTCATTCGAATCTCTCCATTGAGTCTGCGATGTAGACTTCTGAATGAATCTCCTCGGGGTCGCTTGCTCACGGGTTCCGCAACCCCCAAACCAGGGGCCCTGCTCATAATGTGGCTGCGGCTTCGATGGCTCCAGCAGCCTTGAAGGCGGGGTTACTTGTGATTTCGACGGTGACTGGAAACTTCCATGTCATGTATTTCGCCCAACCTATTCGCAGACACATGGATGTATTAGCTGTGTTTGTCCAATTACATTTACAATATCCACGTCCCCCCACAGTAGGAATACAAGAACCCCAAAATAAAGAAAGAGTAGCAGGAACATACTCCAGTAAGCAAATTTCCGCCCAAAATATTTCCCAACCCACGGCACAATCACCATCGTAAGCATCATTTCCAACTGCTGCAAACTGGCTTCCCATTCCTTCTGGGCATCGGATTCGTCTCCGTCGTCTGAAGAGGCGTAATCGGAGCTGTCGATGGAAGAAGGCAGCGAGTCTAATTCGTGAAGCTCATCTATTTCGTCATGGGAGTGAGAGGATGATGCGTGCATGTAGGAATCGGAAGCGGAAGTGGAAGTGGAGATGGACATTTTGGGTGGATGGATTAGGACGGATGTAGTGGGCGTATCAAATTGCTAAGAGAAGCATGAAAAGAAAATGAATATCGCTATCGCCGGAGAGGGGTCTGGCGATGCATTGAGGAGCGAAGAGCGTTGGAATTTGGGAGGGAGATAAATGCCTGATCATTTCATGCTTGGAGCTCAAATCGGCGCCAATCTGCCCGACCTCCGGCGCGTCCTGCAGAGGAGTCACGTGCTGGGAGATCTGGCCCTTCTTCATGCCTTAGATCTTGAGGCTAGAAGATTTTGAGTCATCGATGAAATATTAGGGTGCGGGCAAGCTTCTTGAACTTCGGTCTTGAACAAACCACCACACACACACCACATAACGCATTTTGAGTACCATAATCAAGGAATATACCATACGATTATTTGTATCAGAAAATTATACCGGAATATTCACTACCGCAATCATGGCCGACGTAAGTTACGATCGCTCCTTGGTTTTTCCTTTGTGAATCACCTTCACCCCACCTAAATCTTGCTGGTCTCTGAATTCAGGCAAACAATTTCACGTTTTTGACAACATATCACAGGAGATTGAGAATAAGCCACGCAAATCGGTAGCTTTCAGCGAAGGAACTACAATTGTAGACGAGAACGGAGAAGTCACAATGAAGGAAGACGGGCACGACGATACTAAAGAGACGGCGCAGTCCCATTCACCTAGTACGCCGCCACTTTCTCAGGCTTTGGGCGCATTTACTGATCCTTTTCAAGGCAATGACGATGAAACGACGGCGAATATTGAAGATGATGGACTGGGCGATTTGTCGATGATGAAGAAGAAGAAGAAGAAGAGCAAGAAGGTTGAGGAGGGTGAAGAGGGAGGTGATGAAGCCGCTGCGGATGGTGGTCTCGATCTCTCGAGCATGAAGAAGAAGAAGAAGACCAAGAAGACCAAGGACGCCGAAGATGATTTCACAGCCCGACTCGCAGCCGCTAACCTCAACGGTGAAGAAGTTGAAGAAGAACAGGCCGCTGAGGAAACCCCGGTCGATGATGGTGATATGATGAAGGGAACTGGTATTTGGGCACACGACGAGACCAGAGCGGTTAGCTACGAGCAACTCCTCTCTCGATTCTTCACCTTGCTCGCGCAAAAGAACCCCGACCACGCATCTTCCGGCTCGAAGAGTTATAAGATTCCTCCTCCACAATGTCTGCGTGAAGGAAACAAGAAGACGATCTTTGCCAATATCGCCGAAATCTGCAAACGAATGAAGAGAACTGATGAGCATGTCACTTCATATCTATTCGCTGAATTGGGAACCAATGGTTCCGTCGATGGTAGCAGACGTTTGGTTATCAAGGGTCGTTTCCAACAGAAGCAAATTGAAAACGTGTTGAGAAAATATATCAGTACGCTTACTTCTCCACTCTTTCAAACGCTATACTAACGCTCCTTACAGTGGAATATGTAACCTGCAAAACCTGTCGATCCGCCGATACGGAACTCAACAAAGGAGAGAACCGATTGTTCTTCATCACCTGCAACTCCTGCGGATCCAGACGTTCCGTCACTGCCATCAAAACCGGTTTCAGTGCTCAAGTCGGAAAGAGAAGAAGACAACAGGGTTAAGCTTTTTAAGCTTGTTAAGCTTCTTAGGGTTTCTACGTACGATATCAAGCATCTTTTTCAATCAATGTTATTGCTGGCGCATTTACAAAAAAAGTTCTAGGGGGTTGTACGGACGGACTACAGATGTGTTTGGGGTGGGTGTCGTTTGGGTCCATGACATCTTATTGCACATTGCATTGCATTGCATCGGTGATGTGAATGATATGATGGGATGGATGGGATGAATTGAAATGGAATGGAGATGAGATTGGTCTGGAAACGTACATAGAGGCATACTATGCTAGTAAATGAATGGTATATTAATTTCATGATGATGATGTTTATGTTTGTTTCTATCTGTTTCATTGTTAGCTTTAGCTGGTTTGTTTGAAGATATGGTTATGATTAGGTTTTTAGTCAGTCTGATTCTGAATATACTGATGCATGCACCAACTACAGTACGTACAATACAAAGCTTATAGATTGGATGGATGGTTGCTCCGGGTAGGTGAGCTTTCGCCTTTCGATCACTCACCTGTTTAGACTGGCATATTGCATATTGCATGTTTATAAAAAAAATTAGTACAACAGTATACCATTCTATTTGTGTATGAGATGGATAAAGATATATACTTTTTATAAACTTATTAAGCGCTTGGGATATTTTGATGGATATCTACCTATTTGGATTGAAAAGTCCAAGCTTCTATTTTTGATACTGGTAATATAAAAGAGCCGAAAATAGCACTGCCCGCACCAAGGAATTGCGCTGGCCAATCTACAACTCGGTTGTATGGGTGAGATGGGTGAGATGCATGTGTGCATGGGGGTTGTGGGAGAGGGGGTTGGGATGATTGGGATGATTTATATAGGTATATATGATGGGGGGCGGCTGCTGCTGCTACCTGCTTTTTTGCGATGGAGTATTTGAGGTTTGATTTTGATTCTGATTCTGATTAAAGCGAAGCAATTGCAATGCAAGTGAGAAGTTTGGATTTGGAATTGAAGTGGTGAGTGAGTACGATGTATCTTATCTTGGAGATTAGGGATGATTGATTGAATGATTAAATATTGAATGCGGGGCAAGCTGCAGAGGGTTCAGTAAGATGGGATGGGATGCGATGATATAATATGCTGACTGGAGCTTAGCTTTGCGACTACAATTACTACTCAAAGCTACTCAAAAGATAACCTAACATAGCTTTGATTATTTTCAACTGTTGGTTTGGGTTCATTTGATTATTGAGATCTATCAGTATGTCTGGATATTATCCTCGTAAGTACATTCGGTTGACCTGCTATGAAAAATTACCTTGCTAACTCTCTCTTCAATAGCTCCTCCTGGAGGTAATGGAAGTAGTGGAGGTAATGAACTTCTCAAATACTATACTAAGAAGATTCCTCTAATCTTTCATCACAAGCTCCTCAACAACAATACGCACCCCCACCTACCTCCCCACCACCAAATCAAACCTCCTTCCAATACGCCGCTCCACCTACCTCCCCACCCCCAACCCAAACCTCCTTCCAATACGCCGCTCCACCCATCTCTCCCCCTCCCACCCAAACCTCCCACGCCTATTATCCGCCACCCCCTTCCGCCTCCACAACAAGCTATACCCCTCCCCCAAACCCCCAGCCTACTCCCCCGCACCAAGCACAACAACAACAATACGCCCCTCCCCCCAATTTCTCGCATCGGCCCTCCTATTCCGGTGGTCAACATACCCTTCCCATCCACACCCCACCTTCATCATCCGCACCCGGCCCATCACAAACCCAGACCTACGCATCTTCCTCGGCCGTCTCTCCCCAAGAAACACAATTACCCAATTATGCACATCCGGCCTCCAATCCCAATCCCAACCCCAATACTTCAGACTACCCTCCTGAGAAACCCGCGCTGAATACTAGTCTCACGAGTAATTTAGATCATGGAGCACCGAGCGCAGCGCATTTTGTAGGAGCGAGTACGACGCAAGATGATGTGGGCACGTTTAATGGGGGGAGTTATCGCGTGAGCCATAGGGATACGAATAGTATTGTGACGATACAGTTGGCGATGGGGTGTCCGTTGACTGTGAAGCCTGGTTAGTTTCTTTCTTTCTTTCTCATTCCCATTACATGTTTAATCCAGTTACATCTGTGTGAGAGAAGGAGATGAAGACACTGCAGATAAATGCTAAATGAAGGAAAAGGCGCCATGATCGCCATGACGCCCACCATAACCCTCAAAGGCAGCATCAAATTCTCCATGAAAAAGCTCGTCATCGGCGGCGAAATGGCACATTCGACCTTCACAGGTCCAGGCGAACTTCTCCTGGCCCCCCCGTCTCTAGGCGATATCACGAATATTCGGTTAAGTGGTGATGAACAGTGGAGCGTGTCACGCGATGCATATTTGGCTTCGACGCAAGGGGTCATCAAGGAGTATAAGAGACAGGGAATTGGTAAAGCCATGTTTAGTGGGGAGGGGCTTTTTGTTTACAAGATTAGTGGCGTGGGTTTGTTGTGGATTAGTAGTTTGGGCGCTATTATTAGGAAGGATGTATGTTTTCTTTCTTTCATTTTACTTTCCCCCTTTCTCTCCCTTCCCTTCCTTGACCACTCAACCCCAGTCCCCCCATTTCCCTCCCCTCCTCAGAACCCCAAACTAACCCCCCTCCTTCCCAAATAGCTCCAAGAAGGCGAACGCTACATCGTCGATAACGGACACCTCGTGGCCTGGAACACAAAGTACGTCTTGGAGAGAGTGGCGTCGGGTGGCATCATTAGTGGATTGAGTAGTGGAGAGGGATTGGTGTGTAAGTTTACGGGGCCCGGGAGCGTGTTTATTCAGACGAGGAATCCGGTCGCGTTTGGTCAGTGGATTAGTGCGCATTCGGGGGGCGCGTAGGGGGTTTGGGTTTTGGGGGTTGAGGAGATGTGGAGATGGGGAGATGGGGAGGATGAGGAGGGGGAAAGATGATGGATTTTGGGAGGAAAAGATTGTGGTGACGTTTTATGGATTGGATTGGGTTGGATTTTACGCTCAGCTGGGGATTTCAATTTTGGTCGTTGGAAATGATATTATCATATTATGATGATATATTGGGAATGGTATGGTATGATATGATACCTTATCTTTTGTTTGTTATACCTTTTACCTGGGGAGTTTCGTTTTATCCATTTCATCCATTTCATCTATTTTATCCATTTCTTCAAAAGCAAAACTATACCATACCATACCATACCATACCTCTTTTCACTCAATATCCAACTGACCAACTCGACTTATATGCTATTGCTATTGCTATTGCTATTGCTATTGCATGGTAGCTGTGCTTCCATAAATCTTCCATATTTGGCTACTGTTTTTTACACTGAGATGCGTTGAATTTTGGATTGTCCGATTTTGGATTATTATTCCGTCCTATTTCCTATGGTACTCGAGTATGGGTACTCGAGTATAACTGGACCTACAGTACAGTATATCTTACCTCTTACATCTTACATAACGTCATCGCTAGTTTTAGTCGCTAGTCGCCAGGCACGTTAATACCCGAGTACAGTAAATTGAACTTTACTATGTCAGGCTGTAGCTGTAGCAGATACGATGTGGAATATATGAAGAAAAAAGATGATTCATACGTAGTGTTTGTTTGCTTGGTTGGTTTTGCTAGTGACTACTCGAGCATCGAGTATCGAATGGCTTGTTCTTTCTACTCATTATCCTTTACTGAACTATAATGTGATTAGTTAAACAGTATTACTGTTTTGACATCGATATCGGCAGATCGGTACAATATAGATACCATACATGAGCACCAATACATGTCACAAACTGTCCAAAGGGACTGCCATAAGTCCATCGGGTCATATACTTGAGTACATAGCAAAGAGCAGGCAATTTCCAACCGATAACCGAAAACTTCGCATATATTTCAAAGCCTTTACTCAAGTACTCAAGTACTAAGATTACGAAGCGAGCTCAAATATGACAAGCCTCCTTCCCCTTACGATAGCTATGACCCCAAAAATAAACGCCCCAAAGCATTGGACTAAATAAGACCCAAACGAAAGCAATCATTGTCCCCGTCCACCCAATGCTAATCGCATCAATCAACGGAATCGCCCCCGCCACGGCACCAGCTCCAAACAAACATCGAAACATATTATTTGCTGCAGACGCCGTCGCCGGTCGCTGAACATGGCAATCAATCACCAGAGTGATCAGTGTACTCGTTGCTCCCGAGATCAAATGCGATACAAAGAAGAGCATCACCAGAGGCCCCGCTAGATTCACTTGATGATTCATCGTCCATCCGTAACCTACTACTGCAGCCGCTGCACCATATATTACCGGAAGCGTAATTTGCAATCGTGCTTTTTCGACGGGCATTAGAGATAACTGCACTTGACGATTTTGAACAATCTCAATACCTTGTTTTCGCGCATGGCGTCGAAAGTTCCAGTCAATGAGTTTTCCGATTGTCCAGCGAGAGGTGAGACTTCCGGCTCCGTAAGGAATGTAGCATAAGCCGACTTGGAGGGCATTGAAGTGGTATTTACTTTCGAGTTGGGAGGGGAGTGTGCTCAATACGGATGTATAGCCGCAGAATAGTAGTGTTGTGAAGGTTATGATGGCTGCGGTTTCTTTCTGCATGGCTACTCTTATGCTATCTAGAGGAGTTGGCCGCTTATGTCGAGCTTGTTTCTCGCCATTTGGAGTTCGGGAACACACGAATTCTTCAGCTTTGGTCGTGTGATTGAGATATTGGACTAAAGGTATATTCCACCATGGAGGTAAAATCGAGCCATTTCCAACCACCACACGGCAAGTCTCTGGCAAAAAGACAAGCACTACGGTAATCATAACCCCCGCAAAGATGGCCAGAAACCAAAAGGTACTCCTCCAGTCGAAGAATTGCGTCAAAACACCACCCACGATGGGTCCAATGGCGGGTCCCAAAGTCACTCCTAGCGATGAATAGATCATATACCGTCCACGTTCAGCCCGGGGTACCAAATCAGCGGCCACAGAGCTACAGACGATGCATGCGGTACTACTACCCAAGCTCTGCAGACACCGAAGAGCCATCAAGACAGGATAGCTCGTCTGTCGCGCCAGACCAATATTGACGCCCAAATAGACGAGGAGAGAAAGCAGCACGGTGGGTCGACGACCATAGATATCCGACACACTACCCACGAAAAGCGGACCTATTCCTTGCACGATCTATTAACCCAGCAGTTAGATAAGATAAACGCATACATGCATGCTACGATCTAGACAGATGGGTGAGTATTCAAAGACCTACCATGAAAACCGTAATAGTCAAGTTAATTTTAGCATGCGATACGTGCAGATCGTGCGCTAGTCGGTTGATGGCGGGATAGTACATGTTGGCTGATACGGGCGAGAGAAATGTTACCATGGAGGCGATGGCAATGGTCCATCTTTTTCGTCGTTCGGAGAATATGGTATAGGGTGCGGAAATCTCACTTTCTGCCATGATGATGAGGGATTAACAGGAAGATTGAGTCTCCTGGTGATGACCAGCAATAAGGGGTGATATATCGTGTTAGCAATGTGTTTATGATGATGGTTTTGCTAATGTAAGCTATACTCACACTGCTTGTACTCGAGTGAGTAACAGAGGGATTTGATGAGGAATTGTCAAGTTTGGTTTGTGTTGGTTAGCGCTTCAGAACCGAGTCTTCAAAGCTGAATTTCAAACCCAAGTCTTCAAAAACCGAGTCTCCAAACCTGAATCCTCAACCGATTGCTCAAACCCGATTCTCCAAACCGGAGTCTCCAAAATGAAACTCAAACAAACTAAAATCACCCTACCTCCAAACAGGCTACTCTACTCTACTCCCCTTTTCTCTCCTCTCCTCATCCATGTAACCACATATCATATCACATATTACATATCACATCACACACCACAACCCAGTAAGTCGTAAGTCGTAAGTCGTAACTCGAGTATATCACCTATACATAAGATCATTTACCCATCTGAGGTTACACTGTTACACTGTTACACTGTTCACTGTTGCACTGTTTACAGTACTCGTACATCTCGTACATCTCATCTCCTCGCCTCTAATTTATCTCTCTCTAACTTGTAGTACCCTTCCTTACTGCAGTCCGCACAACGTACGTACGATATACTGACTTATTCTTGAGAACTTTGGGTACATAACCTTCATCATATCACCTTTATCATATACACTCCCACATCAGTACCAACATCCATCCATATCACAATCCGCACCCACCCATCCATTGCCTTTACTAAATTCATCTATTCATTCATCCATCCATCATACTCTCACATCTAGATCCATTTCCTTTTCGATCTAATTTGATCTGACCTAATCTGACCTAATTTGATCCAACAGCAAATGGGTATGTATGTATGTATGCACACTACCTATCTACATACCTACCTATGTACTTCCTTCTTTCCTTCCTTCCTTCCTACCTAACTACCTACCTACCTACCTACCTACTTCTCTTCCCTACTTCTCTTCCTTCCCTACATCTCTCCATTGCAATTACAATTAGTACAAGCCTGCCAGCGAGTACCTCTCTAAAGATCCCACCACACTACACTACACTACACAACACTATACTACACAACACTACACAACACAACCTAGTATATACTGTACTACCGTAGTACTTTTCCTCATTCGCATTCAGCATATACAAACCACGCGATATAACTTATACTCCACTATATCACATACAGTAGAAGTCATTACATAAAACTCATATCATAGAACTTTATCTATTACAACTTGACCATCATTTTTTTCTAACTTCTAGTTACTACCAATTATCTAATTATAATAATAATTTATATATTGTGCAAATGTATTTTTGTACTCATACTTGGGTAATGACAGTAGATACTATACGAACCGAGTACAGCTAGGTTAGGTGGTTGTGTTTAATTTTAGCTACTACTGAGTATGTATCAACTAGGTATATTTTATTTATCTGTTGAGTTGAGGTAAGGTGAGTTGAGATGAGATGAATTGAAACCCTGATTTATTTACAGATTTACAGATTTATATACTTTATTACTCGAGTATAGTCAAGTCAAATCAAATCAAGTCAATACTTCCGAGGTACAGTACAGTACCCTATCATACAAGTTAAACCAGTGGAATCGTGCATTAATAGTAAATAATAGTAATAGTAATAGCATAGGTATTCTCAATCCCGTTTCATCAAACTACTACTCGTATATATATAAACAAATAAACGAAACGAAAAGGTAGCAGCAATTTAGGTTTCGAAAAACCCATCATGTCACTCACTAAGTAGGTATCTTACTCCAGCGCTTGAACATCCCAATCCCAATCCCAATCCAAATGAAATCCTTCAACGTTCAAGTATGTCATTATATCAAACAAGCGTATCCAAGAATTCCATCGCACTCCCCACCAAATGAAGACTCCCAGTAATCAAGACCACGGCATCAACATGTTCTTCATCCCTACCCGTACCCCTACAACCATTATCACTATTACCATTACCATTACCATACCCATCAACCACACATCTCACCGCCTCTTCCACCGTCCTCACCACCGTCACTGCCGACACCCCCTTACTAATCCTCGACCAACACATCGCCAACTCACGCTGCAGCACGAGATCCTCGACCTCACCTCCGGAATACATCATGGAAGCGCGTTCGAGATCCGGAGCATCACGTTGTTCCCAGAGGATATTCGTGCAGAAGATGGCGCTGTGGAAGATGGTCTCGACGCCATGCGGCCATTGCGATAACGCCAATTCCATTATCTGCCAAAGATGTCGAAGAAGTGCCGTTGCATCTTTTGTCTGTTGGTTAAAAATAAGAACACGTCGGGCCTGATGCTGCACCCTCATTTGTTTGGCAGCCCACGCCCCCAAAACCCCTATACTTTCCATAGTATGGGCTCCATCAAGTAGCCAACAGATACCCTGATGCTGACGCGTCTCACATCGTCCTGGCCATCGTGCATTTTCAAGACCCCGGCGGAATTTCTCGGGTAATGGGGATTGCATAAATATTGCAGTTTCCGAGATATCATAGTAGCCCATACGGGAGAGATGTTTTGCGGCTACGGCTATGGCTAGACTAGCATTGATTCGCTGAAAGTCTCCCGGAAGACCAAGTTCAATGCAATCAAGGTCTGGATGGGTGGTGATTACCTGTAGATCTGCACCTTCTTTCCGCGCTAAATCCTCCAGGACGGCCATAGCTCCGGGTTCCTGTGGCGCGGTAAACACAGGAATCCCTGCTTTCATAATGCCACCTTTAGCCCAAGCAATTTCCTCGATCGTAGAACCCAGTATATCGGTATGTTCGAGTCCCAAGCTAGTGATGGCGCAGACACTGGGCTGGCGGAAGATATTGGTTGAGTCATAGCGTCCCCCGATGCACACCTCCACCACGGCCGTATCGACTTTCTCCTGAATAAAGGTATGGAGACCCATCAGCGTGAGGAATTTGGCAAATGGTGGACTCTGGGACGACGGTCGGTTATCTATCCCTAATCGATCCCATAGCTCCGATAGATACTGCGCAAATCTCTTTTCATCGAGAGGAGTATCCATAAAGTCTGTCGCCCGTGACTCTCGAATCCGGATCCGTTCCCGCACGCTGCGCATGTGCGGTGACGTATAGAGACCAATTTTGTTTAGCGAACCAGGAGTTTGTTCCCCGGAGACATATTTTTCGGTTAAATATTCGGACAATATCGAGAAGATGAATGCTGCGGTAGAACCCTTGCCTTTGGACCCAGCAATATGGATGGCGTTTAACACGTCGAAGTCAGCCGGCTATTGGATATCAAGTAGTCAATTCCAGTACTAATCGGGTGACAGCACTGAAGAAGCTCACACTGTATCCAATTTCCCCGAACCACTCTACCATTTGCTCTAAGAGGAAAGTCCGGTCTTCAAGTCCAATTATCTGCTTTCGCGATTCGAAATTTGTGCGTAGACGATTTAGTTTATGAAGAGCGTTCTAATTGCCTTTCAGCTTTGACATTGGGCTTGGGGATTTGTATACCAACATGATAGACCTGACTGTATGATTGCGAGTCCTCGGTTTCGGCGAGAGGATTGCATTTTGACCCAAGTGATGATGAATGTGTTTCCTCCATTTTGATGAAGGCAAAACTTATCGACCAGCGTGCTGGTCTATATATTCGACGCAGCGAATAAAATCGAGGTTCTGGTTGTCAGTTGCAGCTTGCAACTCACAAATGGCGCAATTGAGTACAAGGGCCGAATATCTTGTTTTGTGTTATGTCCAGGTGATCGCCGGTGCAGCCACCACGTCACAGATGTCGCACATTATTTCGTTATTGGCACACGATATCATAAATATATCCTTATCATATTGACATATCTCATTCGAAATAGGCTCATGGGTATATCATGAAGTCCCAGTTATAAAGGCCAAATAACTTTTGCGTCGGATGTGTCGAAACCTGTCTGCAATCATTTTCAATACTATCTGTCTGTTACGATGCAGTCGTTAAAGCAATCATCATTAATCAAGTCGAGATGGAATATTCCCATTCCTTACTGCTCCCTACCGTATTTCGTATTTGGTGCTCCCCATGAATGTCTCAGCACAAAGAAGTTGCTTATTGACACGCTTCGTCCAGAGGACCGGTCTCTATCCTTAGCCGAATACCGCAGTCTTTCTGTTCGCGTTGCGGTGGGTCTGAGGCGACTAGGGGTCCAACACAAAGATCGCATTCTATGCCTCTCAGGCAACTCAATAGCATACCCGGCTCTTTTGATGGGAACCATCATGGCGGGCTGTATCTTTGTACCTGGGCAACCTAGTCACGGTCCTCGAGAATTGGAGAAGTTGCTCACGGTTGCAAACCCTTCGGTAATTCTGACACAACGCGTGCATACAGATACGCTTTTGGAGGCTGCAGAGACAGTCTCTTGCCCGGCTTTAGAGCAGAAATCCATTTTCATTTTTGACGATGATATTCTCGATTGCACAGGTGAGTCTTACCTCGATATACCTCACTGGCAGGAATTGGTGGGTTCTCAAGCCGACAGTGACTGGAAGTATCCCGACGTCGAATCCCCGCATGATTACAATAGTACCATTGTCATAATGTTCACATCGGGGACGACCGGGCATCCCAAGGGAGTCGAGATTTCTCACTGCAACTATATCTCCGCTTCCGTGAGCTATATGCAGCGAGTGTCTCTCCATCCCGACTGGCAACAACCCATGAAAGACGCAGCAAAAGATTTCAGCCCGATCCGTGTATTAGGCGCGCTTGGAATGCACCACATCCTTGGTCAGCGATCCTATAGCGTCATCTTCCCCAAGCTTGGAGTTCCACTGTATATACTGGGTCAGCCGAGTCCGCAAAATATTATGGATGCCGTAGAAACATTCAAGATCTCCGACGCAATAATTAGGAGTTCTATGCTTACGGCAATTGCGGAAAGCCCAGCTCTTGATCTTCGAAAAAAGCTGGGCTCTTTAGCAAGAGTGGAGGCGTGTGCAGCGCCGATGGGGCAACCAACCAAAAGTACCCTCGAGAAGGTAGGGATTGGGCGGGTTACCCGAGTCTGGGGATTGACCGAGTATGAAAACAATACCCAGGACAGAAACCGACAGTCTGAATGCTGACAATAAGTTGCCCTCATTAGGCTCGGGTTGATCACCGGTCACGATACGATGGCTTGCTCGATATCTGAATCCGTGGGGGAATTGCATGCCAACTTCGAAGGCAAGGTGACGGACCCCAGTGAGCCGACCCGAATTGTGGACCGCAATACCATTGGGGATATATGGATCCGTACACCTAGCCGTAGCACTGGGTATTATCAGAATCCGGATGCAACCAGCGAGGTGCTTGGGGCCGATGGGTGGTTCTCCACAGGAGATGTAGGATATGTTGATGAAGAAGGAAAGTGGTATATTGTGGATCGTAAAAAAGTACCATGTTTCCAAACTAAGCAAATATATTTGACCAGGGCTGACAACTTTAATAGGATCTCATCAAATCGAATGGCAACCATGTGGCTCCGACCGAACTTGAAGATATCTTGCTTCGCCATCCAGACATCATGGATGTTGGAATTATCGGCGTTGCTGTGTAAGATGATCATATTTGATTCACCCTCTCTGGTCCACCTTTTAACATGCAGACACAGAGACCAAGATGAGGGGCCACGGGCCTATATTGTGACAGTCCCTCAATCGGTTGTATCCGTCACCGAAATTCAACATTTTATGGTCGACAAAGTGGCTCCATATAAGTATCTTTCCGGTGGCATCTCATTCATTCCAAGCATTCCACGGAATTCAGTGAGTAGCACACCATTCTTCTCTCTGCATAAAATACCAGGGCTGATACTGTACAGAACGGAAAGATCCTACGTGCACAGCTGCGCGAGTTGGCCAAAATGGAACTCGGTGGCTCTAAGGGGCACTATCATGGAATACGTGCAGTTTCCCTGGATATACTGCATACCTCGGTTCCCACCAATATCCTCCCATGATTCTACAGATGAGATTTAGACTTACCCAGGATCTCAAGATCATACGTGTATATCAATAATCCATTCTTTTCAGCTCTGCAGGCTCTGGCATTCCATCATAAAGACTGTATCCATCACTTCTTTTCTCAAAAACCGAGCTCATTTTGATTTCGCGAATCCTCCAATTACTTTTCAATTGCTCGTGGTCCTTTCTCAAACTTTCATCACAATCAATACCAAACACTAAACGCTTATGTGTAAACTGCGGAATCGACGCAACAATAGAGGTGTGTTGGGCGCACTATAGTACCGGCCTGGCCATTCGTGACTGACAGAGATGGCACTGGTCAATTCATAAAGCGTATTGCCTCAGCCTGACACCCCTATTTCTTCCATACACATCAATAGGGCGACCACTAACATATATATGTTCGACCTACATTGCAGAATAGACAACATACATAATGTACCCGAAGCTACCATGCTATTGAATCATTACATGGAGATACCCACCCCGGATCGGCTCACCGAACATGCAAATGTGTGAGGCTGTGCACAAAGGCAAAGAGTATTAGTGGAAGGAATATCATGTTACACTGCATGATGCGAAGTACTGCATGAAAGATTAAACTTTAAACATGCTTTTAGAAGGTTGAAATGCGTGAAATACATGCATGATCCGTGGGGGTGTAAAACCCCATGTAGGCCCCGGGCGAAGAATTCAGACATATATTGGGTGCAAATGGTGTGTTATATTTAAGCTATTGAAAATGAGAATAAAATGGTTTGATGGCTGCTGAACATGAGATCAGTCAGCACTATTATTCTCCAATTAATTGGATTGGGTATGGTTGGGAAGGTGACAATCTAGAAGGCTGGGTTGCTTCAAAATTTCCCAATCGGGTGGTATGACAGGGGCCCCGCAATGACCACAAATTGTGAGGCTGGCGACCCTCTATCCTGTTACTCGCCCTATGATATAGGGCTTTTTTTTATATTGTTCGGTGATCTAGTCTATTACAATGCATAGTATGGGGACACTGTTGGGTGGTTGGCTTGCTTTCCATGATTGGACGACACCGATTTGCATTATCATATGGAAGGGCTCGATATATATATCTTCGTATGCCTAGAACAAACACATGATGATATCACATCGAGTTGTTTTGCGACGAAATATGCCTTGCCATTCATAGACACCGAAGGATGCCTAGCAAACCCCGCACATATATGCACGATTGACAGAAGACAAATGAATGCAAGTGAAATGCTATTTGCTCATAATGACATTGCCATAACTCATGAGAAGCATACTTCATCATTATCCAAAATGTAAAGCATATAAGCATACAAGCTTCTCAGAAGAAACCAAAGAAAGAAATACATTTGGGTATAGAAATCGATCAAGAGACTTTTCTTCTCGAAGAGTTTTGAGAGACGCAAAACAAAACGCCTAATAAAACCCGAAGGTTGCGCAGTCGAAAAAGATTGTTGGCCGGTCCCACTCGGTGTACTATTGGTTTGATGTTACCGCGCCTAGGCAACGAACAGATACGCCCTGTCGAAGAGGCGAACGGTGTGAGCGTAAGGCCTGTGTACCTGCATCAACATGGGAGCCCGCATATAAAACTACTCATTCGGTGAGAGAACAAAATTCAATAATACAAGTACGAAGAATTCAAAACACTGGAGAGATAGTGGCAAAAGTCGTCATCCACACAGCCACGCACCACTTCGGCATTGCAAATATAAGGTCGCAGCGTTTCCCAACATTCCTCCTACTTTGGAAAGTTAATCCCTTGTGCGGGTGACAAGGCCGAGAATTCAAGTACATTCTAGATGCCTGATAGATACTGGCCGATGCTTCCTTGTCGAAGTTGAGCTCTGCCTTTCTTTGCCGTTGTGCTTATGGCTTGAACGTTTGCAATCTCTTTCTTCCTTTTGGAGATTGTGTGGAATTTTGGACTCTCTCTCCCGCTTGGACTTTGCTTCAGGCGTCTCAAATCCTTTTCGTACGAGACCAGGTACAAACGGACGCTCGGTATATTGCCCGGCCACAATGTAATCCGCTTCACTCATTAGGCCATTCTTCCACATATAATCGATTACGAAAAAGTCTGGTCGAATGTTTGTTTCTTGATCAAGAAGATGCTCACGACTGTGTACCATCCTTTCTCTCCAGTTACTTTTCGGATCATAGTTGTTTTCGAATTCCTCATCACAGAAGAGGCAGACACATTTCGACGGAGGAGGAAGATCGCTGAAATGCGATAGGGTGTGCTCGAGCCACTCCTCGAAGTGGTCTGGATGGAAAGTCACCTCGCAATTTATCGATATAAACTCGCATGGAAGGACGACAGTAGTGTTGACATGAGGGATTGGGGGTGCTAGGAGGTGCCACCCAACAATTGGATTGGTCTGAGCAGATTGTAGACTAGTCGTTGTCGCTGTCGTGGTTGACTTATAAGACTGCATACTAAATACACTCTCGTCATATATACTGGAGGGAGATGTCGTTGATGCGGACTCCTGGATTATGTTCGAGTGTGTTGGTTCATTGTACGTTCCATTTGCGTGTTGTTGAGAAAGAGACGAAGTACCAGCAAAACTTGTACGCTGAGTACCTGTGAGGAGCCCCGGAAGGGCATCTTCGGAGTCATTCAAATACCGGTCGAGGCTTGGATTATCAAAATCCGCCATTCTCACACGAAAAATGTTTGTGTGATACCGGTAATGATGGAAAAGGTGGAGCTTTGGATAAGATAAGAACGATCTTGCCGATCAATAGAAATGAAGCCTTACAGTAATTACGACGAGTTGTCAGAGGGATGATGAACTGAAGCCGATGATAATATAAGTCTGTGGCAGCCACTTTTATATATAACTGTAACTTCAATCAATACTGACCTGGAAGTCCAGTGTTTGTACTCGAGTACAGTATTGTGTTATTATGAAGTGCTTTGGGTGGATCTTTCGCGATTTTTGCGGGGATTGGGGAATTAATTAGCTTTGACAAGCTCGGGTATCGGGTAGCGGGTAGCGGGTATCGGAAGGGAAAGGGGAACTCTAGTCAAGTAGCGTGAAATTATGGTCCTTTCCCCAGGTTTTGGTGCAACAAACGGCTGGTGTGGTCCCAAAGACAACAATCAAGAAACACCAATAATCTTCAGATGAGATGAGGTTCAACAGTCGAAGTATTCTTCTAAGAGAACAATAGATCAGTGTCTTTACTCGAGTAAGTTCAAAAAGGTGTCCGTTCTTTGGATAGGAAGAAAGGTGATGAATGATATTTGATCAAGGTGCTGACCAAAACAACAATGGTGGAAACAGAACAATTTAAAGAAGCAAGTCAAAATTCAGTATCCACCCCAAGCAACCTTTAGCGTGGAAATTCAAATGTACTTCGGGATGGAAATCTTTTCCTTTCTCCTTTCTCCTTTTCAGTTATTCTATTTCAGGGACTACCTACCTACCTATTCGTCGTCATCTTGCGAGCCACGATTCCATCGGCCCAAAAGTCGATTGCGCTTCGATCCAGCACAGGCAAAATACATGCGGTGGACCATTATCCTAACAAATGGATTATGTCGAAATTTAGATTACTGGAGCGATGATGAATGACATGCAATGCATTACACTCACTACCTATGCCTTCTTTTGCTGCATGTAACCACCCGTCGACACTAAAAAAATCCAGTGGTTCCTAAAAGCCTTCGGCGAACTCTTATCACCCACCAAAACCCCACACCGCTTCTTGAGAAGTGCCATTCATTATCATAACTCGACACAAACTTACCAAATGTCATGCGGAAGAGGTGGTGAGAAGAAAGATGGTTTGTTTCCTAGGGACATTGATCATCAGACCATAACCAAATCAAATGGGCTGCGGCAGCACATATATATTTGACATTCCTAATTTCCTATTCGACATCTATGTCTACTCGGTCTACTCGGTATACAAGGAACATGGCTTTTGACTCGAATCGAACAGCAGCCAATTTATACCCTAACTAATTCCTCATGCGAACGCCAACGGAATGGTAGATATTATTTTTGATGCTAACATGCATTTCCTACCTATGTTATCTCCAAGGTTCTCCAGCTCGCTCTGAATACGACCATCAGCAGTACGTACTGCAAACTTTCGGTCCCGGTCCCAGTCCCAGTCCCAGTCTCTGCAGACGGTGATAGATAGATAGCGAGCGGCCACATTGATGACCCGGAGCACTATACTACACTACACTACTTACTACTCGATGTGATTGACCGATCGTAAATACCAAACCATTGAACTTAACGCCAAACATACCATACCATACCAAACCCGGCATACGGTAGGTCAGTCAGTCAGTCAGTCAGTCAGTCAGTCAATTCAATTCAATTCAATTCAATTCAATTTCAATCCCCCCCAAAAAATCCCACTCTACACTCCAGAATTTGGGTAACGCTCGCACATAGCTCGTTCTCGCACCCCGCACTTATCAATGAAGCTGAGGCTCTGTCTGCTTGCTCACTCATCACCCTGCCGCTCGCTACGGTCTACTTTTCCCCCCACTTTTGGGAAATCTAGCCTATGGTACGGTACCTACTATTACTTGCTTGCATGCTTGCATGTGCAAGAGGACGGAGTCGGACGGACGATCTTCAACGGCTAATGGCGCTATCTGTGCAACTTTCATGTGTAATCTTATATTGGGTACACGTACGTATACATACATGCACATATACGGTATGGTTTGGTTGATGGAATTGTCCGTCACAACTCTTCCAATATATTTCTTTTTGTTGGATTTCCTATCTTGAAGACTTGAAGATATGACCTGGCCTATCACTCAAGACTTACCTGCCCATTGCATGAGTACATTCGTCACATAACAGCGTAGCAAAGAGAGAAGTTCTCCACTCTCTTCCGCGGGTATCCTTTTTTGTGTCATCGGTCATAAAGATACTCCTTCCTTTCTTCCTTTCTTCCTTGGCTTTCAATCAGGAGCGCAAAGTACCTTCATCTTCGTAACAATATTAACCAAATGGTTCCGTTCTCCATTTTCATCTCCGGCCTTCATGATACCAGGGAATGTCACGCAGCTAATTTCTCGCTCGTTTAAATTATCTTCATCCTCTCCCCCAATATCCTCCATTCTCTCCTCGTCAAACATGGTTCTCTGATGATGTTCAATCACAGGCATCATAATACTGAAGCTGGCCTTTTGAACGCGCAATAGTCGTGCAAGGTCAATCGCAGTATTTATTATAATTTTTAGCGACTGGTCTCTCGCTTCGGAACTTGGTACATCACAGATCGGATCCAGCAAACGATTGAGTTGTGCAACCACGGTATTCACCACGGTGGCGGTCTCCGATTTTAGTTTCTCGGGAGCTTCGTTCAATAAAATTCCGAGCGTGGTAGAACGCCATTGATTCATGGCTTCTTCAGAACCTTTCACATCTCAAATCAGCTTTTCAATCTCCGACGACTGGGGTCGCGTTTCATACCATAAGATCCCAAGGTGATTTCCGTCTTCGCGAGCTCCAGTGCTTGTTGTTCGGGGAGACCAACGAAATATGCTTGGAAGATATCAAATACTAATAAGCTTGATACAAGTGATTGTAAGAAGTTAATTTTGGACGTTGTTGCTAGATGCTGATACATGGGTACCCATTGCTCCAATTGTTGCCGTATATTATTCGAAGCTTTGTCTAAATCTATTACGAGTCAGCTTGATTCTACACCACTATGCTTTACAGCCAATAGAATGGCAATGAAACATCTACGTGTATTCTCGCAAATGTTGAGTTTTTCCCCTTACGACGCGAAAGTGCCCAAAAAGAAAAAGAAAAAGAGAACTCCAAACCTACCAATCTTTCCCCTCCTAAAATTCGAAATGACCCAATTTTGCAACGCATTTCCAATCCACTGCATCCTCTCCCCAACCACCTCATCCGTAACCTGTTCCCCCCCAACCCCACCCCGCCCACTACTACTCACCCACTCCTTCAGCCCCCTTACCTGACCCCGCAACGCCATCATCTCCTCATCCTTCGCGCGCATCTCTCCCATAGCCTCATTATACGCCTCGCGAAAAGCATCCCGGTCCAACATCAATGCGCCAATGCGACTCTGGACGTCGGAGGGGCGCGGACAATTGGCGTGCGTGTTGCGTAGGAGGCGGAGGGTGCTGTCGGTTGCGAGGTACGTGTTGTGGAGGGTGGTGTGGGCGGTTTGGAGGAGGTGCAGGGTTTCGCGGGTGTGGAGGAGGGCGGTGGTTAGGTGGTTGGTTTGAGGGGTGGGGGAGGAGGGGGAGGAGTGGGAGGAGTGGGAGGGGTCGTGGGAAATTGGGGCGAGGATGGGTGGAGAGGGGGTTTTTGATCGAGGCGGTGATTGGGATCGAGAGCGAGATCGAGATTGAGATTGAGGTCGTGGGTGAAGGGTGGTGGGGGTGTTACTTCTTGGGAATTCGGATGGTGGATGATTTGCAGCTTTTGAACTATGGCGCGGAAGGCGTACGCGCGGTGGTGCTGTGATTTCCGAAGATGAGGGTGGAGATGGAGATGGAGATTGGGATATAATAGATGCAGAAGTAGGGGTTTTGTGATCGGAGTTTTGCGATTTTGCAGATGTTGATGTGGATGTAGAAGCGGCGGCGCGATGCGCGATGGAATTAGATGTTGAAGTCGAAGTCGAAGTCGAATTGTCGATACGAGATGATGAGGATTTCGGCGCGGGTTTCTTTTCTTTGGCGCTCATGTTTGCGTTTGCGTGAGAGAGAGGGCGGGAAAGCGGGAGGGCCTCTTTTTATAGGTAGGTAGGTAGGTAGATGGGTGGAGTGGAGTGGGAGTGAAGTGAAGTGAAGGGAGGATTGATATGATATGATATGATATGATATGGTTGAATGAGTGACTGAATGGATGTGATATGTGTGTTGTACCTGGTGAGTAAGTACACCGTTATACAAATACCGTATCGTATTCTTTCGTACAGTGGGTACCAAGCTCCGAAGTTTCAATTGCCTAGGTAGGTAGTTAGGTAGGTAGGTAGATATGGTAGCTGGCTGAGACGAGAAGAAGTAGCTTCGTATATTGATATGGTAGTTGGTGGGTAAATCGCAGATCAAGATGTAAACACTCAATGTTCACATTTCAATTGAAGGCAAGCAAGCAAGCGCATCATGAAACAAAATGAAGAAGGTATACTACATTTCTCCTTTCTTCAATAATATTATATATCTTACTCAAGTAGTATAAACAGAAAAGAAAAGAAAGAAAGTAAATAAGGAAAGAAGAGAAAATAAAAGTAAAAGTAAAAGAAAAAGAAAATTAAAAATCTCAAGGTTGTTGATAATTTGAAGAGAGATGAGAGGTTCTTAAACTGCTGCCTGGAAGTGCAGCAGAGCATGTGCGTTTTTTTGTGAAGGGGTTGAAACTTGAGGGGGAAGGGGGGGGTGGGAGGTAGCGGGTGTGTTGGACTGACTGGACGGATAACGGATAACGGAACGGATAAGTGAGGGAGGGAGGGAATGAATATCAAATTGATAAGATTTCTACTCAATAACTCAGAGTATAGTAGTACCTTGAGAAAAACAAGAATTGGACATTTAAAGAAATTGGGCAGCCTGATCTGACTTGACATGACTTAATCCATTCTCATATCTTATCTTATTATATTCCAGATCTTCAAATCACTTTTGTTTGGTATACAATGTATATACATACATCATCATAGAAGAAGAAAAATTGCCCAAGGTCGGGAGTAAAATGAATCTTCTGATTTGATGCATCTGTCGTGACTTCATGTGCTGAGTAACCATAGATGTTAAAATCTGGTAAATCATTATCAACCTCATCACCCACCCCATCCATCACTTCATCTCTAACTAAAATTTTCCTCCTCAACTTCCGTCATCCGTAGATAAACTCGAGGAAAAAGAGAAGTTAACAAAAAAAACAACAACAAATGAAAATAATTTCCCTCTGAAGTGGACCAATAAAGAGTTTAAAAAAAATCCATCAAAAACCATATATGCCATTTCCAGACGACGTAAGAGTATGTGAATGCAATCCGAGACGCCTGAGCTAACGGGGAGCTTTGTTGGGTAAGAGAAGTACACTGCTCGGGCATGAACTTCAATGTCGTCACAAGAGCCCCGATAGGCAATACTTTTTTGTTGCTTCTGCCGCATCAGATAGCCTCAAGCACGAAAACAATCCTCCATCATTGGTGTTCTTTGGGGTATGTGTGTATATGGGCCATCCTTCAAGTGGCATAAAACTTCTTCAAGACCTTCTCAACCTCCTTGTATTCCTCCTTGACCGATGCCAATGTATCCTTGATCCTGCTCAAGCATTTCTTCTCGTTGGGTTCATCGGTTGTGCCAGCTTCATCTTTCTTCTGTCCATAATGTTGAATCTTTTCACAGCTATCCTTGACCTTTGTCAATCCCAATGTTGCCGAGGATCCCTTTAAGAAATGGCCGAGCGAAGAAAGTGTTGCTAGATCACCTTCCTTACTACACATTGTCAGTAGTTGTACTTATCTGCATCTGCAAATGTCCTCATCTTCCTAGAACATATCCCGACACACATATATACAAGTGCCCCACTTACAGTGCATCATCCATTTTGGTAAAAGTTTGTTCTGCCTGCTCGAAGAAGCCATAAACGATAGAACGACTGAACTCTCGCTCATCTTCATCATCATCCATTTCTAAAATTTGCTCAAAGGTGGCCGCATCGATATTATCTCCGAGATCTGGTGGACCAACGGAACCATCATCACTCTGTTTTGCGCCCAGTCAGTTTCACTCTATCTGATTTGTAATCTCAAGATTGGAGAATGCGCAAAAAGATATTTACCCTTTCGTCAACATCTTCTTCCTCTTCCTCTTCTTCTTCTTCTTCTTCGACTGTGGGTGGAATAACAGGAGTGGGAGATTTTTCTTTGACAGGTTCAGGTTTAGATGCGGGTTTAGATATGGTTGTTGTGGTGGTTGTGGTGGTTGTTGTTGCAGGTACAGTCTTTGGAGTTGGTTTTGGAGTTGGAGTTGGAGTTGGAGTTGGAGTTGAGGTTGAAATGGATGTGGAAGTGGAAGAGGACATTATGATGATTTTGTATGAACGACAATTGTCGTTCAACCGATCAAGAAATGTTGTGATTGATTTTTTTTAGAAAGTTGTTGTTCAGTGGATTTACTTGCTTCAGATCGCGATGGTGGGGTAAAAGTAGAATGTAAACGTAAGTTGAAGGCAGGGTTGATGAAGAAGAAGGAAGACCGATAGATACTAGGTATTCGATAGGGTTTATTTATTATCAGTTGCTTAGTGATTGATGATGATTGGTAATCCTTCTTTCTACTTTGAGACTGACTTTTGAGTGAATACTGATAGTAAAATAAAAAGGTTGTGATGTTGAATACCAATGTGAATATTGTGTGAATGTGTGAATGTATGAATCCCTCCCCTCCCTCGGAAACCCAATCTCCACAACAAAGCCCAATGTTGGTTGTGTGGATTATGTGGGTTATTGTGCTGTCTGTAGACTTGTAGGTAAGGCAAGGCAAGGCTTTGGATCTTTGTCATTGATATGCTGCCGGTGTGAATCTTAGGATTAAATGGAAAGGTAATTAATACTTTTATATAATCTACTATTGTTATTGGTGTACTTGTTCTTCCTTCTCTTCCTTTCTTTCTTTCTTTTCCTTCTGTCTCCCTTTCTTCTTTCATTCCAAAGGAATTATTATCATAAGGGTACAAGAAAAAGGTGCTCACATCCCGATGTTGTAATCTTATAAAACAAGATGTTCTGGACCTTTATTTTTGTTATAAATGGATTCAATGGATGAATAAGATAGATAGTGAGGTAACAATATTCTTTTGCAACCTCTTATTCTAATACCAGCAGTACATTTATTCCTCTCTCTCTCTC